CCCTACGTGAAAGTGACATCGTTGTCCCCTTACCTGTTTAATATTGTGATGGAGAGACTAGCTTACGAGATCCAAATCAAAGTCGGGTTAGGCACTTGGAAGCCAATACACATATCTAGAGGAGGGACCGGTATACCCCACATTTTCTTTGCAAATGACCTTATGCTCTCCGGGAAACCTCGGAGCGTCAAGCCACAGTTATGATGGAATGCCTTAAAAACTTCAGTAGTGAATCGGGGCTTAAGCTAAACCTTTCTAAATCCCTTATTTTCTGCTCTCCTAACACAAATGCAGGTCTTAAAAGAAACATCAACGACAAAATGGGTATACCCATCTCCCCCAACCTGGGTTCATACCTAGGCATCCCAATGCTTCAAAAACGTGTCTCTAAAGACATGTTTACGGCTGTCATTGATAAGATGCGAAGAAATCTTGCCTCTTGGAAAGCCAACTCTCTCAGTATGGGCGGGGACCATTGCTGGAATTAAAGTCCAATTTGCGTTATCTGACAAAAGGACCTCAATTGGAAAGACATTGAAAGTCAAGGGACGTAAAATGTTTAAATTAAAAGTCGATGACTAATTTTAGAAAATTAACATAGTCAGAGGACCATTGCTGGAATTAACTCTTTTTTATTTGAGCCCGTCATCTATGGACTAATTTATCTCTCATGAAAACAAGTGTTTAGGTGTGACTTTGTGTTTTAATCCATACCATCCAAATTTCTATTTACACGACTAAGATTTGTCTAGTTTAAGGGAGGGATTTCAAGGTTTTGAGTGATTTTAAAACTGCTAACTAAATAAAAAACTGAAATTAAATTATTATAACCATGCCTTAAAAAAAATTTATTATAACCATTAGATCTAATCAAATCCAGTAAGGATTATACCACACACGTTCACAGCTAAATACTAATTCTTATAGGAAAACAAATCTATATATATTCCGAATACTAATATGAGCGGGAGAAGAATTCTAATACACACATATATATATATGGCCCTCTCTCTTCCGAATTCCGATCCCTCTAGCTACCGCCTCTTTCAAAAGAAAGAAATTATAATCTCTATAACCGACCCTCATCTATCTTGATCTCTTATTCTCATCTTTTTTCAACAACACCAACACGTACTTTCTCTTAGGTAATTGGTTCTATGGATTCTTTAATCCCAACACCGGTAACCTCAAACGACTCTTCGTCATGGCGGCGACTTTCCCCACTCTTCTTCCTAATCATCCTATCAACATCTTGGAACTGGAGTGGAGCTACCACGGCAGAGAGATAGGCTCCCTTGAACTGAAACACTTCCCAAACGAAGCCTATCTCTCTGCCGTGGCCAAACAACTCTCAAGGCCGGGTAAAGATAGCTGATTTCGGAACTTGGACCACTTAAAAGCAAATTTGACAGCTGTCAAGAGCGCCATTTCCGAGTGGGAGTCGATGCCTCCAGTGATGCTACGCTGATGCCGGACACAACTTCGCCAGAGTTGTTTAATTTAATAAGTTTTGAAATTGGCCTAAGCCTGGCCTTTTTACTAAACAAGCTAGACCTAACTAGGCCTTAATTAGGTTAGGACATAGGCCCCTACAAGGGGCCTGGCCTATTCCACCCCTATCTGCAGTTAATCCAAGACCCCAGACATCTGTTGCAAATGAATGATTTTGAACTATATTGGCCGCATGCACGCCTCTAAAATTCTGGCATTACTAAAACCGCAAATCTTTACCCTTCCATATCTATTCACTAGTGTATTCGAGGGTTGTACCCCAGACATCTGTTGCAAATGAATGGTTTTGAACTATATTGGCCGCATACACGCCTCTAAAATTCTCGCATTACTAAAACCGCAAATCTTTACCCTTCCATATCTATTCACCAGTGTATTCGAGGGTTGTATCCCTAGATGAACAATTTGCCTATCATGGAGATGCTGCAAACCGTTTAGAATTTGACCTACTACCCTGGACAATGTTCCTTCCACGGTCTATAAAAGGCAACAGTAACTTGGCAACTCCCACTACTGAACCGCTCACGAATGAAATAAGAGGAACAAAGTTGATATACTTAATACTTCCTAAAATATCTAATTCTATTGATAACATCCCTCAGGATTAAATTTTTTTTGACATTTTCTCTTTTCTTATTTTTTTATATTTATTCTATTTCGTGATATCTTTACTCAAACATCCCCATTCATCAATTAAGACCACTTTGAGCCCATTAAGTTATTTATACTTAAGTTATTTATACTTATTTCACCTTCGCAACGGATGGTGAAGATCTATTTGATTGTATAACTATGATTATATCCCTAAAATTCTATACAATTATATGAGTTCTATAATGTTTTATAAGATTCTATAAACTTCTATAATATATATATATATATATATATATATATATATATATATATATATATTGCACAAGTGAGTTCCAGAAGAGTGTTGTGGAAGTATCCAATATTTGAGATTTGCGGCCCTAAAATACTTTGAACTCCAATATTTGACCCTCTCATTGATGACATTTAAAAATTAAGCTATTAACTTCTAATTTTTTTTTCTATTGATAACATTCTTTATCTCTTACGATTAAAATTCTTTTGACATTTTTTCTTTTCTTATTTTTTTTATTCATCCTCATTTCGTGACATCTTTACCCCCAAACATCCTCTTTCATCTTCATTCGAACAACTAATACCACTTTGAGCCCCATTAAGTTATTTATACTTATTCCACCTTCGCAATGGATGGTGATGAAGATCTACTTGATTGTATAACTATGATTATATCCCTAAAATTCTATACAATTATATGAATTCTATAATATTTTATAAGATTCTATAAACTTCTATAATATATATATATATATATATATATATATATATATATATATATATATATATATATATATATATATATATATATATATATATATATATTACAGATCATATGTGAATGAATGATTTAGGTAAAAAAAAAAATACGATTAAATCCCAACTATAGATCTAGTCTAAAATGAAGATTTAAAAAAAAAAAAAAAAACGTGGTGGCATTGTTATAATTTTGAGTAGGTAAGTTTAAATGCTTTTTTTCTTTGAGTGTATATATTTCCTTCTTAAAGTGCACATTTTCCTTATTCGAGTGCATATGTTTTGTCTCGGTCGTTAAGGTGTGTTTGGTTCGCACATGGGAATCAGAATAGGAATCAAATACTTGATAATGATAATGAATTTTGGTGAAAGTATTTTGCATGTTTTGTAATAAGGTGTAATTGGAATGATTACCAATATTGATGTTTGGTTATGTATGATCCTAAAATTGGAATAAAGGTTTTAACATACAAGAACAAAAAAATCAAGATAGTTTATTCTAATATAAAAACATCAAGTACCAATATGAAAAAAAAATAAAATCTAAAAGCATTAATCCAAACTTAAAAATCAAATTACCAATTAGCAGGAGGAATAATATAATGAAACCATATGGGGTGTTTGGTTCAAGTTATATAAGATAACTAATATTATATTTGCTTGGGAGTATAAGATTCCCATGTTTGGTTCATATTATGAAATTTTCTCGGAGAATGTGACATAACCTCCACATTAAGTTTGAGATGCTCTAACCATGAGAAAAGGGTCATAGACTAAAAAGTGGACAATATAGGAAAAACCTCATTTGGGACATGCATTTATGAGGCATGAGTTTTCTTCAAATTTATGTAAATATATTTTTTTTAAATGGTTGGTGAAAGAGAAACGCAAGTGTCATTGGTCGGCTCTGATGGAAGAAACGACGACACCTTTCGACATCACCCCAGCATCGCCTTGCTCAGCGCGACACTCGGCGGCGCTCCTCCACGAAGGCGGAGACGAAGGATGCCCGCCAGCACGGTGAAGAAAATGTCTGTCAGATTGCAGCGCTGGGAACATAACATATTGTTGATGTTCTAAAATAGCAACATGGTACACTATAGCGGCGACCCATTTAGAATCACTTTAGACACACATTTCGTCTCTTGCACTTGTTGCATATCAAACTGCACAACCTCCATGGATAAGTTGATGATCCATCTTCCACTTTAAACATTGTCGTTTCTTTAATCGGAGCCAGCCAACGAGAAATACAAGTGGCACTTGTGATTTTCTTTGACCAACCAATAAAAATATAATTACAAAAATTTGAATAAACTCATTTAAACATGTGATTATGACCAAAAAAAAACACATATTTAAATGATTTAAAAAAAAAATGTTCACTTTTTAAAACATTTCCATTATTGTCATTTTTTTTTTTCCATTTTTTCCACTTCAAGTCATTAACCCACAAAGAAAGAAAGAAAAAAGGCACAAGTGTCAAATAGGCCCATCTATTACGGCAAAGTGTTCAATTCCCACCATTAACTAAATTAAGTGTCAAATAGGTCTATTTACCAGTTAAATTTGTTCAATTGGCCTTTTTTACAGGTTACCAACAGGTTGCCTATTAATTATTAAAATAAATAATTAAACAAATTAAAAAAAAAAAAAAAAAAAAAAAAGAACAGCCACCGGCTGTCCTCGCCGGTGGTTGCCATTTCAAAGACAGTCGTGGCTGTCTAATATGAGGTCCAGATCTGGACCTCATATTAGACAGTCGTGGCTGTCCGGCTGTCCTCGCCGGACAGCCACGGCTGTCTTTGAAATGGCAGCCACCGGCTGTCCTCGCCTGTTCTCTCTTTTTTTTTTTTTTTTTTTTTTTAAATTTTAATTTTTTTAATTATTTATTTTAATAATTAAATAGGCAACCTGTTGGTAACCTGTAAAAAAGGCCAATTGAATGAATTTAGCTGGTAGATAGACTTATTTGACACTTAATTTAGTTCATGGTGAAAATTGAGCACTTCCTAGTAGTTGATAGGCCTATTTGACACTTGTGCCAAATAAAACATATGGTCCGGAACACCCCTGGCTGTATTGCCGCGAATCTGGTCCGGTATGAACCACCAAAAGCACTGAAATTCAAAGCCATTTCTCATTAGAAAAATGAGGTTTCGATTCAAACAGCCATCGCTACTCTCCCGGTCAAGCCTCCTACCTCAGGCCGCGGCTTCTTCTTCTTCTTCATCGCGCGCTACCTCTCAATCTCCTCCGATTCCTCAAAAGTTCTGTTCAGTAAACTACACACTAACAGACGCATAAACAAGGAGTTTTTGTTTTCCTGATTTACTCCTTTCGGAAGTTGAACTTGTCGGTTTTTTTTTTTCGATGTTAGGTGTTCGTTTGGAATAGCATTTGATATAGATGGAGTCATTCTCCGTGGCCGGACTCCATTTGGAAACTCTCCCCAAGCTCTCCGGAGATTGTACCACGATTCCGGTACTTCTTTATTGCCGTTTCAAATTATACGGAGTATTTGATATGGTATAGTTTATGCTAGTTTTCTTTCCCATTTTATGGGCTATGAGCTGTAATGCAGTTGTAGTTTAATTTTTGCTGCATTCAAACTTCCCGGGAATGGGGAAAGCTAGTGTTAAGGAAATTTGACTATAAAGTTCCAATCTCTCAACAGTTTTGTTTATGTGTTCATCTATTTGCATCTGGATTTGATTTTCCTGTTAAGTAATCACAAGCTGTCGGTTTTTCGTTGTAGGCAACCTGGAGATTCCCTTTTTGTTTTTGACAAATGGTTAGTTCTTTACTTGATCTCTTGTTCTTATTCAAGCTAATGCTAATGTAGCTGATTTTGTTGTAACATAATGAATATTTTCTTTTTAAGAATTTTTAGAATTAGGTGTTATTTTTATTTTTGTTATCGGATGAAAAGTTAGAATCTCTCTCATTTCACTTTCTACATTGAGTAAATTTGTTTAGATATGGTTAGTCATCAAGGTGTGATGCATGTTGGAGAAATTTTGCTTAAAATAATTCATTGGTCATTTATTTAGGAGGTGGCACCCCAGAGTCCAGAAGAGCCGCTGAGTTGAGTGAACTTCTTGGAGTGAAAATATTACCTTCTGAAAATGATTTGTGCTCCGATCGGCAAACTCCTAGCTATTGATTCAGCGACGAGCAGATGATCGAAGCCGAGTATCGCTAGGGTGAGAATCAAAGTTGATTTGCTGAAGCCGAGGATTGATAAGGTTTGGATTGAGGTGGAAGGAGATGAGGAGAGTGGATTCTGGCAACAAATTTTGTATGAATTTGGTCAGTGTGGCTGAATGTTGAAGAGGAAAAGGAGGTAGAAGGCTGGAGGCAGTGGTGAATATGGTGGAGAAGGTGGCGAAAGGTTGAGGAGGAAGGTTCTAGACTCGCGTTGCAGACCTCCCATCTGACGAGCTCCGGCGTAGCAGGTGGTGGTTCGGTGGATGAGCAGCGGCGAGCAACAAGAAATGGGTTTGGCCTCAACTAAAATGACACTTATGCCCTCAAAATAACGGTGAATAGACTGCAATTGTAATAGAGGACCACATTGGGTGCGATTTTAATAGTAAGAGGACTAAATTGAGTACGTTTAATACTTTGGGACAAAATCGAGTATTAGTTAATAGTGGGAGGACCATTTGAGGTATTATCTCAACTAGTATTTGTCTCGTGCGATGCACGGAAAATATGTTATAAAAATATACCCTATATGAGATTTATTCATATATAAAATTTTTGTTATTTAATAATTATTATGTGTGAATTCCTATGATAAAATTATGAACATAAATATATTTACAATTAAAATAATATTTAAGGTGGGTGATTACTACAAATCTTAAATTTAGTACATAGTATTTTTTTTTTGAATGCTACTAGCTCTATTAGATTGTAGTATCTGTTCATATACTTTCTCAACTTACTGAAACACAAAGAGCTAATAACGCCTCCATTGAGGCTCGAACTTACAACCTTCCAAATGGAAGTCCAACCCGGATACCATTAGACCACATAGTCCTGGTAGTACATAGTATTTAATATTACAAATTTTTAAGAACTTAGGGGGGTGTATTCAATCAAGACTTTTAAAGAGTTTCAAATACTTTTAAAGTGATGGATTTTAAATGACTTTTGTAGAGATTTTGTAGACTTTCATAGAATCTTTTAAACTTTCATCAACTTTGTAAGAGTCTTTAAAAATCCATAGGACAAACATTTATAGACTTTTAAAAACTTTTTCATATTAAAAAGTCTACAAAAGTCATTAAAACTCTAAATTGAATACACCCATACAAACATTTCATAACTTTTATTAATACATTATTTATAATTTTCTTACAAAAATATATTTTTATAAACCATAAATAAACTAATGTATTGCAAAAAAAAAAAAAAAAAAAAAAAAAAAAAAAAAAAAAAGCTCTTATGACGCACGCAATAATCTCTTTGTCAACCTTGAAATAATCTTCCCACACCTCATCGCTAGCAGTAAATCTCTTTGTGATTGGATCCCAACCAAATCCAGAATTATGACGCATAAGCTCTGAAAAATTGTTAAAACGGTTCTTGAACCATTTCAATCTGCTTTGGTATTGTGCATACGATCTTTGGCACCCAAGCTTTTCATTAAGAGCCGGAAGTATCCTCTTCTCCACAGTTAACTTGCTTAAACCCCCACTACTATCACGTCATCCATTTTTTATCGCATCAACCATAAGTTGTAACAACTCATTACACTCCTCAGGTGCCCACAATGCATAATTTCCATTAACTTTATTTTTACCTTTACTCCTTTCTTGATCCCCATTACTATAAAATAAATATGAATCTCTCAAAAAATTCAACTTAACACAAATATATATATTAATAATTAATGAACATACAATAACATAAAATTATGTTAATTATATAAAACGAATTTGTAAAAATTTGAGTATATTAATTCTATTGGTTGCAACAAAAATTTATAGAAGATTTCGGATGGAAACAACCACAAGATTTAAGCATATTAAAAATCTGCTGCGAACAGCAGCAAATTTAAGCATATTAAAATCTGCTGCGAACAGGTATAAGCAGATTAAAATCTGCTACGAACAGCAGCTTGTCGCTGCTGTTCGCAGTAGATTAGTTTGCTGTTCACAGCATGTTCGCTGCTGCGAACAGCAAACTTGCTGTTCACAGCAACAAATTAAAATATAATTGCATAAATAAAAAAATAATATAAATTATAGTTTTATCAAAAGTTTGAAACGTACCGTAAATTTTGATAGAAATTGATGAAAAATTTATCTGGTTGAGATAGAGATAAAAGTCTATAGAGAGAATTGAAAAGTTTGGGGTTGGAGGGTCGGATTTCATCTATTTATATTAATAAAGAAAAAGTCCACAGAAATCCTATTCTGATGGAGTCTATGAAAGTTGATAAATATTTGAATACCAGTAGACTTTTACAGACTCTATAAAAGTCTGAAACGAATACCAGTATACTTTCAAAGACTTTTAAAAAATCTGAATCGAATACCGGTAGACTTTTAAAGAATCTTTAAAAGTCTAAATTGAATACCCCCAAACTTTGAAAGTCATTAAAAGTCTTTAAAACTCTGGATTGAATACACCCCCTTTAGTAAACTACAATAGTAATTGAATTACAATTTTAGAGTCACCACGGATCAAAATTGGAATTTTAGACCTTCGAGATTTCTAACTCTAGATGTAGGAACACACAATTGACCTTTAAAGACCAAAATCACAATCTTAGTTCGAACATTGATTTTTTCTTCCAAATACTATCGAATTAAATGTGTAATCAATAAAAAATGAGAACTAATAATTCGAGAATATAATCTTAATGTTACTAAGCATACTTCACGTCAATTAAGTTGGATAGTGTTGTTGGATAATATCCGATGAATCCACGAATAACGCATCTTTGTCTCCGTAGTCCTCAATATGCACATCAACAATCTTAAATATTAGGCCGCCTAGCTATGCCATATATTAATTTCAAACTTATAAATTTTGGGATTGCATGCAATAAAAAGTATATTTTAGATATACTAAGGGTACATTATATATGTATGTAAGGTACTTTTAATATAAAAATAATGTATTTTTAATATATTAAAAATGTATTTGATATTCATAATCCGTACAATTATGTGGACCATCGTTCACACAATATATATATATATATATATATATATATATATATATATATATATATATATATATATATATATATATATTAGAAAATGTCAGTGGAAATTATTATCATTATTATTATTATTGCAATTATTATTATTGTTATTGTTATTATAATTAACAATATTATTATGGTCTTGTGAAAATTAAATGTTGATTATCACTATTTAATTTTCACAAGACCATATGACTTTATTATATATAGGATTAAACTCTATATGAAATCAAATTTATTTATTATAACAATTCAATATATAATGTCTACAAATATTATTATCATTAAAGAATATAAGAAACTATATGGTGGATACATGTGCATGGTAACAATAATGAAAAAGATAACAGAAGTTATGAGCTAAAGAGAATATTTTGAGAATTTTGAAAATCATTTTATGAACTTAAGAAAATACTTTGAAAATTTTGAAAATTAGCTTTTGAGCTAAAGTGAGTAATTAGAAAATTTTGAAAATCATTTTACGAGTAAAAGACAATACTGAGAAAATTTTAAAAATAATTTTATGAGCTAAAGAGAATATTTTGAAAATCATTTTAGGAGTAAAAGGAATTACTTTGAAAATTTTAAAAATCATTTTATAAAGTAAAGAGGATAATTGAAAATTTTGAAAATCATTTTATGAGCTAAAGATAATAACTTGAAAATTTTGAAAATCATTTTATGAACTAAAGAGAATACTTTGAAAATTTTGAAAATCATTTTATGAGCTTAAGAGAATAATTTGGAAATTTCAAAAATCATTTTATGAGGTAAAGAGAATACTTTAAAAATTTTGAAAATCATTTTATGAGCTAAAGATAATACTTTGAAAATTTTAAAAATCTTTTTATACTTTTTATTTATGGTCCATACGTATGTAAATTATAAAAGAATACATATGTAAATTGATAAATGAGGAAAAAGATACTAAAAACTCAAAAATACACCTATGTAAATTGTAAAAGAATTAGATATCTAAAAACATAATAAATTTCAATCATGGTTATATCCTTGATTTTTGTCCATTTTTTACATGCTAATGAAGGTATACATTTTTTATTAAATGTTGTACACTTCAATTATAATGGGCAAAAGTACCCTTACACCATTATATCACCGTTACTATTTCGTTCTAACATTCATAACTTCATCATTATTCCAATACACCTATATCTATCATATATTTTTCATATTCTTTAACTATCATTTTATTAAAATTATTATATAATTACTTTAATTGTTGATTATATTTTAATTAAATTTCATGGTAAATCATGTGTGTGTGTGTGTGTGTGTGTATATATATATATATATATATATATATATATATATATATATATATATATATATATATATATATATATATATATATAGAGAGAGAGAGAGAGAGAGAGAGAGAGGGGGGGTTGCGTTCACATGAATACAATAATATATAGAGGACCGTGCAGACAGATTTTGGGCACACGACAAATTAATATCATGCACACAATTTAATACACAATGACACATAGAGCTGTCAAAACGGGCCAGCCCGGCCCATATGGGCTGGCTCGTCTCGGGTTCAACTGGAAACGGGACGGGACGGGCCGACCCGTTTTTCCACGGGTTGGGATTTTCTCAACCCAACCCGTGTAGGACGGGCTAAACGGGCCAACCTTTCAGCCCGTTTATTTTTTTTTTATTTTTATTTTTTAATTTGCATGATTAAAATATTTATTGTTGTATTGCTTAAGAGTTGAAGCCATAATCTCTAAATTAGTAGCCAAGACTATTTCCAATCAACTACATTAACCATGGTGAACAAATATGTATATTTATATATATACAAATCTGTATATACACATATAACATATACACATATACACATATGATATATACACATATAAAATTAAATTTTAGGTTTTAATATGTAATTATAATTTATTTAATTTATATTTAATACTAATATATTTTACATGTAATATCTTTTATTTTGTAATTATAATATATACTATTAAGTTATAAAGTTTATAAAATATATAATTTATTACTAGTTTATATAATAAATAAACTTTAAATTAATATTAATATTTATATAAAGATACAATTCATTGTATTAATTAATACTTGTAATAAATGTAATATAAATCAATTATATATTTAATAATGCTTGTGAATGATGTAAATAGATATATAATTATATTAAAATGTTCAACATGTGTTCTTAGCATAATTGGTTTGAATAATAATAATTTGATAACTTAATTAAAATGTTAAGGGTTCAAGCCTTGTTAGCAATAATGTTTTTAAATATTAATAAAATACTCAATTATACAACACATTTGGGAGTGGATTGGAATACGGGTTATACGGGCCGGCCCGTGTAACTCGCGGGCCAACCCGTATAACTCGTATCTCCCACGGGTTACACGGGCCGGGTTAGAAACGGGACGAGCTAGAAATCCTCCAACCAAACCCGTGTAAAATATGGGTTAAACGGGCCCAACCCGACGGGTTGGGCCCGTTTTGACAGCTCTAATGACACACAAGCATACATGAAAACATCAGGTTTCGAACCCAGACTCTATTAATTAACAAATCTATGCACACGACATACAAATTATGACACACGACTACATTCGGCCATGCACAGGATATACAGACTAATGGCACACGACTACATATGTCCTCACAGTCCTCTATAATATAGTTGTCATCATTTGAATACACTTATATATATATATATATATATATATATATATATATATATATATATATATATATATATATATATATATATATATATTTATTTATTTATTTATTTATATGACATACAAAATACACCAATATATGTGGGTATTAACTTATTATTTAGATATTTTATTTATTTATAATAAAAAGAAAGTATAAATTATATCAAAATTGTTTACATTATTATTAAATAAAATATACATTTTTTTTCTCTATAATTTTTAAATATGATGATTAAAATTTACTACTTTAAAAAATTATGAAATATAATATGAACTATAATTTTTAATTATTTGTATTTATCAAATTTTTAATGTCGGGCATAAATTTTCGCGTATCGCACGTACAAAATGCTAGTTTAAATAAAATACATCTAAAAGTGATTTAAAAACTATAAGTACAAAATTACAAATGAAAAAAATTCAATGAATTAAAATTACATATAAAAAACTATTAAACCATCAGAAAGTAAACTAATGGTAAAGAAGGGAAATTAAGGCATTTGAAAAAGGAAAACAAAAAAATCATAAGAAAAGAACCCAAGAAAATAAAAACAAAAAAAAAAAAAAACAAAAACAAAAACAAAAGAATTATATAAAAGAATGTTAAAAATTGTTTGAAAACATTAAAAAAAAACACTTCACGCTTGCCAACATTACTTATAAAGTGAAAATGTAATACTTTTTTTTTTAAAATTTAATACTTTTACATCAAAATATAAAAGTGTTACATTTTTCTATATAAATAATAAACATTTTATTTCTGATTACTATCACTATTATATTTTCTAGTATCAATATTACATTTTAATCTTGACTAATTTATTTCACTGGACAAAAATTTTAAAAATAATTTCACACAAATTTTTACCTTTTAAAAAGTAGTAATGAAGAATTAAAAAAAGAAAAAGAAAAAAAGGTTAAACCCTCTCAACGCCTCAACGGATTAATTTATCTGTTGAGGGAGTCGGCGCCATGGTATCTCCCCGCCACTCGCAGCCGCCGATCTCTCGTTTTCTTGTTCCTCACTCTTCTCATATTATCACCGCCTCTCTCTTAGAACAAAGACCGTTGGAGGGCTACCTTAGATGGCTGTGATTTCAAAAACATAAGACCGTTGAAGCGCCTATTGCACAGCTTTAAATGGGGCGCCATCTCAACTCTTCTAATCGGGCTTGCTCCTTTGTTTATAGATACAGAGAAAGATCTCAGAGAGAGTTGGAATAGGAGGAGGAGGAAGGACTGCGAGATACCCAGAAAGAAGAAGATTTTATTTTCCGAGGTATATCTGAAAGAATGGCTTCAAGACCTGTGGTTCAGCAGCAAAATAGAGGAGGTAATCATATATCTGATTTCGAAGATTTTATTACTACTATGATTCTTTAATAACGCTCGATTGGTGGGTTGATAAAGGTTATTTGGGAGTCTTGATTTTCTTGCTTTTCCGATTTTTGGACTCGTTTCACCTAATACAGGGCTGGGAGTTGTGTTCTTGACTGCTCATGAACTGTTTGATTTATTTCATATTGGTCTCTTGATTGGGTTTTTTTCAATCTTTCTTTTCATGAGTTAGTAATGTGTTTCTGAGTTGATGTATGAAAACTAAGATTGTTAGAAGTCAACTTTTATGTAAATTTATTTGATTTGGAGTCATTAAGATAAAATTCATACGATGAGACTCCTATCCTTATAGATGAGAAACATTCTGTGTTAAAAAGCCTTTTTTATTTGGGTGTTTGTTACCTAATGGAATGCGTTTCTTTCAATTTTTCTGATTTGATGTATGAAACAAGGAGTGTTAAAAGCCAATTAGTCTGTAAATTTATTTGATTTGGAGTAATTTATAGATCAGAACAGAAATATTCTTTGGTTAAAAAGTCAATAATCATGTTTTTTAAAGCTTTACTTTTACTTATTGTGCTGTTGATTTTGGCTGTGTAAATTCATGTTAACCAATTTTAACCTCCAACTCCAAATATAGAATATTCAATATTGTGAGATGAAAATATAACCATGATCAAGCTATATGAATATTCAATTTGAACCCCTCTGCTTACTGCAACTCTAACTGCTCGAAGCAAAGGTTGATTGAGATTCATTCTCTGTTCATCTCATCTCTGTTAATGAATGGAAGTCTTTTGTTTCTGTTGATTGAATAATTGGAGTTTTCTTTGGACTTTTATTGTTTTTGCATAGGCTGCTTGTGGATTGAACATTAAATAACCAAAGGAGAAGATTGAAGATATTGATGCTGGAGATGTGAGCAATGAGTTGGCAGTTGTGGAGTGTGCAGAAAACATTTACAAGTTTGGCTACAAGGAAGCTGAGGTAAATCACCTTCTGTCATTTATACTCTTTAATTAATGAATTTGAGCTTCTCTAAATGTTAGATGTGTTTACTGTATAGCGCTAGATTCTAAGTTTGATTGCTCAACTAATTACCATTGCCTGTTTTTAAAAGTACTCTCTTTTAACTTTCTAAAATGATATTCAAAATTATCAAAATACCTTCTTTAGCTTTCAAAATGATTTTCAAAATTATCAAAATACTCTCTTTAGCTTTCAAAATGATTTTCAAACTACTCTCTTTAGTTTCAAAAATGATTTTCAAAATTATCAAAGTACTCTTTTTAGCATTCCAAAATGATTTTCAAAATTATCTAACTACACTCTTTAGCATCCAAAATGATTTTCAAAATTATCAAACTACTCTCTTTAGCTTCCAAAATAATTTTGGTAATTATCAAAGTACTTCTCTTAAGCTTTAAAAATGATTTTCAAAAATTTAAAAGTACTCTTTTTAGCATCCAAAATGATTTTCAAAATTATCAAAGTACTCTCTTTAGCTTTCAAAATGATTTCAAAATTATCAAAGTACTCTCTTTAACTTTCCAAAATAATTTTTAAAATTATCAAACTACTCTCTTTAGCTTCCAAAATAATTTTTCAAAATTATCAAACTACTCTCTTTAGCTTTTAAAATGATTTTCAAAATTATCAAACTACCCTCTTTAGGTTCCAAAATGATTTTTAAAAATTTCAAAGTACTCTCTTTTAGCTCCTAAAATGTTTTCAAAATGATACTACTCCCTTTAGCTTCCAAAATGAATTTTAAAAATTTCAAATTACTCTCTTTAGCTTCCAAAATGATTTTTAAAATTATCAAACTACTCTCTAAAGCTTCCAAAATGATTTTCAAAATTATCAATTCAAAAATTTCAAAGTACCTTCTTTAGCCTCCAAAATGATTTTCAAAATTATCAATTCAAAAATTTCAAATTACTCTCTTAAGCTTCCAACATGATTTCAAAATTATCAAAGTACTCTCTTTAGCTTTCCAAAATGATTTTTAAAATTATCAAACTACTCTCTTTAGCTTCCAAAATGATTTTTCAAAATATCAAACTACTCTCTTTAGCTTTCAAAATGATCAAACTACCCTCTTTAGGTTCCAAAATGATTTTTAAAAATTTCAAAATACTCTCTTTTAGCTCCTAAAATGTTTTCAAAATGATCAAATTACTCCCTTTAGCTTCCAAAATGAATTTCAAAAACTTCAAATTACTCTCTTTAGCTTCCAAAATGATTTTCAAAATTATCAATTCAAAAATTTCAAAGTACTTTCTTTAGCCTCCAAAATGATTTTCAAAATTATCAATTCAGAAATTTCAAACTACTCTCTTAAGCTTCCAACATGATTTTCAAAATTATAAAAGTACTCTCTTTAGCTTTCCAAAATGATTTTCAAAATTATAAAAGTACTCTCTTTAGCTTCCAAAACGATTTCAAAATTATCAAAGTACTCTCTTTAGCTTTCCAAAATGATTTTTAAAATTATCAAACTACTCTCTTTAGCTTCAAAAATGATTTTTCAAAATTATCAATTACTCTCTTTAGCTTTCAAAATGATTTTCAAAATTATCAAGCTACCCTCTTTAGGTTCAAAAATAATTTTTAAAAATTTCAAATTACTCCCTTTAGCTCCTAAAATGTTTTCAAAATGATCAAATTACTCCCTTTAGCTTCCAAAATGAATTCAAAAACTTCAAATTACTCTCTTTAGCTTCCAAAATAATTTTCAAAATTATCAACTCTTAAGCTTCCAAAATGATTTTCAAAATTATCAATTCAAAAATTTCAAATTACCTTCTTTAGCCTCCAAAATGATTTTCAAAATTATCAATTCAAAAATTTCAAACTACTCTCTTAAGCTTCCAACATGATTTTCAAAATTATCAAACTACTCTCTTTAGCTTTCCAAAATGATTTTCAAAATTATAAAAGTACTCTCTTTAGTATCCAAAATGATTTCAAAATTATCAAAGTACTCTCTTTAGCTTTCCAAAATGATTTTTAAAATTATCAAACTACTCTCTTTAGCTTCCAAAATGATTTTTCAAAATTATCAAACTTCTCTCTTTAGCTTTCAAAATGATTTTTAAAATTATAAAACTACCCTCTTTAAGTTCCAAAATGATTTTAAAATTTTTAAAATACTCTCTTTTAGCTCCTAAAATGTTTTCAAAATGATCAAATTACTCCCTTTAGCTTCCAAAATGAATTTCAAAAACTTCAAATTACTCTCTTTAGCTTCCAAAATGATTTTCAAAATTATCAAACTACTCTCTTAAGCTTCCAAAATGATTTTCAAAATTATCAATTCAAAAATTTCAAAGTTCATTCTTTGCCATCCTAAATGATTTTCAAAATTATCAATTCAAAAATTATCAAACTACTCTCTTTAGCTTTCCAAAATGATTTTCAAAATTATCAAAGTAATTTCTTTAACTTTCCAAAATGATTTTCAAAATTATCAAACTACTCTCTTTAGCTTAAAAAATGAGTTTCAAAATTATCAATTTAGGTTCCAAAATGACTTTTAAAAATTTCAAAATACTCTCTTTTAGCTCCTAAAATGTTTTCAAAATCATCAAAGTACTCCCTTTAGCTTATAAAATAATTTTCAAAAATTTAAAATTACTCTCTTTAGCTTACAAAATGATTTTCAAAATTACCAAACTACTCTCTAAAGTTTCCAAAAATTTTTAAAATTATCAATTCAAAACTTTCAAAGTACTTTCTTTCGCCTCCTAAATGATTTTCGAATTTATCAATTCAAAAATTTCAAACTACTCTCTTAAGCTTCCAACATGATTATCAAAATTATCAAATTAAACTACTCTCTTTAGCATTTCAAAATGATTTTTAAAATTATCAAAGTAATCTCTTTATCTTTCCAAAATGATTTTTAAAATTATCAAACTACTCTCTTTAGCTTCCAAAATGATTTTCAAAATTATCAAACTACTCTTTTTAGCTTCCAAAATGATTTTCAAAATTATCAAACTACTCTCTTTAGCTTCAAAAATGTTTTTCAAAATTATCAAACTACCCTCTTAGGTTCCAAAATGATTTTTAAAAATTTCAAAATACTCTCTTTTAGCTCCTAAAATGTTTTCAAAATGATCAAAGTACTCTCTTTAGCTTCCAAAATGATTTTCAAAAATTTCAAATTATTCTCTTTAGCTTCCAAAATGATTTTCAAAATTATGAAACTACTCTCTTAAGCTTCCAACATGATATTCAAAATGATCTAACTACTCTCTTTAGCTTCCAAAATGATTTTCAAAATTATCAAACTATAATCTCTTTAGCTTGCAAAATGATTTTTAAAATTATCAAACTATTTTCTTAAGCTTCCAAAATGATTATCAAAATACTCTCTTTAGCCTCAAAAATAATTTTCAAAATTATCAGAGTACTCTTTTTTGCTTTCCAAAATGATTTTCAAAACTATCAAAACTTCAAAAATGATTTTCAAAATTATCAAAATGCTCTCTTTTGATTTCCAAAATGATTTTCAAAATTATAAAACTACTCCCTTTAGCTACCAAAATTATTTTCAAAACTATAAACTACTCTCTTTAGCTTCTAAAATGATTTTCAAATTTATCAATCTACTCTCTTAAGTTTCCAAAATGATTTTCAACATTATCAAACTACTCTCTTTTGCTTCCAAAATGAATTTCAAAATTATCAAACTACTCTCTTTAATTAGTTTCAAAAATGATTTTCAAAATTATCAAACTGCTCTTTTTAGTTTTTCAAAATGATTTTCAAAATTATCAAAGTACTCTCTTTTGCTTCTATATTGATTTTCAAAATTTTAAAAGTACTCTCTTTAGTTTCCAAAATGATGTTTGAATAAATTTCAAAATACTTCCTTTTAGCTCCTAAAATGATTTTCAAAAATTTCAAATTATTCTCTTTAGTTTTCTATATGATTTTCAAAATTATCAAACTACTCTCTTTAGCATCCTAAATGATTTTCAAAATTATCAAAGTATTCTCTTTTGATTCCAAAAGGATTTTCAAAATTATCAACTATTCTCTTTAGCATCCACAATGATTTTCAAAATTATCAAACTACTCTCTTTAGCTTCCAAAATGATTTTCAAAATTATCAAAATACTCACTTAAACTTCAAAAATGATTTTCAAAAATTTTTAAAAGTACTCTCTTTAGTTTCCAAAATGATTTTCAAAATTATCAAACTACTCTCTTTAACTTCCAAAATGTTTTTCAAAATTATGAAACTGCTCTCTTTAGCTTTCCTAAATGAATTTCAAAATTATAAAAGTTCTCTTTTTAACTTCCAAAATGATTTTCAAAATTATCAAACTACTCTCTTTACATCCAAAATGATTTTCAAAAGTATCAAACTATTCTCTTAAACTTTCAAAATGATTTTCTAAAATTATCAAACTACTCTCTTTGTTTCCAAAATGATTTTCAAAATTATCAAATTATTCTCTTAAACTTTCAAAATGATTTTCAAAATTATCAAACCAAATTACTCTCTTAAGCTTCCAAATTGATTTTCAAAAATTTCAAAATATTCTTTTTAACTTCCTCAATGATTTTAAAAATTATCAAAGTACTCTCTTTAGCTCTCAAAATGATTTTCAAAAATTTCTAAATACTCCCTTTTGCTCTCAAAATGATTTTCAAAAATATCAAATTACTCTCTTTAGCTTCCTAAAATGATTTTCAAAATTATTAAAGTACTCTCCATAGCTTCTATAATGATGTTCAAAATTTTAAAATTACTCTCTTTATCTTCCAAAATGATATTTGAAAATTTCAAAATACTCCCTCCTAGCTCCTAAAATAATTTTCAAAATTATCAAAGTACTCCCTTTAGCTTCCAAAACGATTTTCAAAAATTTCAAATTACGCTCTTTAGCTTTCTATATGATTTTTAAAATTATCAAAGTACTATCTGTAGCTTCCAAAATGATTTTCAAAATTATCAAACTACACAATTTGCTTCCAAAATGATTTTCAAAATCATCAACTATTTTCTTTAGCTTCCAAAATTATTTTCAAAATTATCAAAGTACTCTCTTAAACTTCAAAAATGATTTTCAAAATTATCAAAGCACTCCCTTTAGCTTCCAAAATGATTTTCAAAAATTTCAAATTATTCTCTTTAGATTTCTATATGATTTTCAAAATTATCAGACTAATTATCAAACTACTCTCTTTAGCATCCTAAATGATTTTCAAAATTATAAAAGTACTCTCTTTAGCTTCCAAAATGATTTCATGTATAACACACCTTCTGCGATTGTGGAGTTGAGTAATTTGAAGATCCACGAACACACAATATTGTTACATCTCCTCCAAATCGCATAGTTAGGGTTAGATTCTCCAGGATTTAGGATGGTTCCATCATCGAAACCTAATTTATTCTTGACTTCACGCGCTATCTTCATTGAACGGCTCCATGATGCATAGTTGATCTCGGATAGCGTGGTGAGACGAGAATCAGGTTCGGATTCTCTGTAATGTGCAGGTACATAGGATCGTTGACTTTATCAGCACGCTGGACTGGATTGGTGTTCATTGAGTTCTGATTTTGGTTTGAAGAACTTCCTGCTTGTCCAGATGGATTTCCGTCACCGTTTTGATCTTCCATTGTTACCGGTAACGCTTTGATACCATGACAAAGTAATCAACACATGCTATGGAAACAGTGGGAAATGATTCAACTGAAAACAGAGAGAGTTCTGAACTTGTGTTACAGTGTATGAAAGCTTAGCCGGAAAATAAGAACAATTGGCCTTATATACAAGATAGACGAAAGAAGGAAGTTATAACTAACTAGAATATGAATTGACAAGAAAGCCCCTTGGGCTTACTGAACCATCAGCAAGATGATGGACTAATAGTGTGGCGGCTGCTTACTTCATCAAATGATGTCAAATTTCTCAGGTTGCTTTTATGAAAAATTCACCAACAGAATAACTTGAGATTTTTAGAATGTAAAATTTTTTCATATGCAGTAGTTTAGTCAATAATTGTTTTTAGAAGTTATAAAAGTTTTTAGAATTTTCAGAGTCTTAGGTTCCCCATTCATTACTCTGGTTTTTAAGAAGACAGAGGATGTGTTATATATATAATATAATTTTCATATATTGTCAGGATATATGATTCTTGATTAAGTTACTGCAGAGCTTACGAAAGAATTTTACGTACTAAAAATCTCAAGTTACTCCCTTGGTGAATTTGTCATAAAAATAATATGAGAAATTTGATATCTTCTTGTATTTCAAAAGTTATGGTTTGATTACCTTTATGTTAAGGGAAATCAGAAACTTTTAGGATGGTGTGTTTTACATGCTTGAAGACAATGATCAAGTGTTATCTTGTTTGTATTGAGTCATAGGTTCCTTATGAGACTCAGGTTACTAACAAGACATATATACAAAGATTATTGTTTTGCTTTTGAAATAGAATGCTATGAAATTGAAAATAATGTTGCAAAAGTGGTTTCAATATAAAAAAGTGAATAAAATGTGAATTTCCTACTTTACCCTTAAAACTTTAAATATTTTTTTAATTTTTCCGTCAGTTTTAATTATTTTTTAATTTTAGTTTTTACGTAGAATAGGACTTTATTTGTGCGTTTAGGGGCATTTTGGTCAGTGCAAGTGGGTTAGCGCGTGGAGTGAGATTTAATCGCAGATCTTTCGCTCTCTTTGTTTGGTTGGAGTTGCGCAGCGTAGAACGGTAGGTCTGTAGTCAGGACTCCTTAGCAGCTTCGTCCTCGTCGATTGAGTTCCCGTTTGAGATGGCCGGAAGCGTTGGTCGGAACTCTAAGCGCTCATGGCCGGAGACAACGTCGGCTGCTGCACCAGGTTTGTTTTCTCCTTTAATTGATTTTTTTTTCATGTTTTGTAATATTAGGAATATAATGGCCAATGGTTTACTTGTGGGGGATCCACGCATGAACTTAGGACCAAAATTTCAGCTAAACTACCCACTTTCCTCCAATTTTCATGTTTTGTAACACTTGGAATGGCCATCAGGTTACTTGTGGGAATCGAAGCATAAAATTTAAAACAACAAGTTCATCTGAAGTAAAGAACTGGGTTTCCATTATTAATGAAGCTGGTCTAAAGCCCAAAGATGGTTGGTGTAGCCCTCAGCGATTTGGTTCTTTTTCTCCACAACGTGGGTTGACTGAGGATGGTAGTTGCATCCAATGGTTTATAGATGGAAAGGAATCATTTGAAGCAATTGCTTTATCAATTGAGAGTGCAAAGTCTGAGGTTCAGCTCTTAACTAGGCACATCAAATGTGTTCATCTATCTGTTATATGTGATATAGAATTCATTGCAAGTTGTATGTGCAGATATATATTACTGGATGGTGGCTTTGCCCAGAACTGTACGTCCATTTCACAACCACAGTTCCTCCAGACTAAATGCCTTACTTGAAGCTAAAGCTAACCAAGGGGTTCAAGTTCAATTCAGAATGCTTTCTTCAAGCTCTTTATTTGTTCGTTTGTTTTTATTATTTTTTTAAACAAGTTTCTTGTCATGTTTATTTGAACTCACTACGTTAAACATGCTAAGTTAATATGCTTTACTTTGTAGGTTTTTTTTCCTCACAAGTTTCTATGCTACATTACTGTGTATGTCTGTAAAGTTTTGGGTTGTTTCTGGTTATAGTGGACGTAATTTAATTACTTTTCTCTTGTGCAGTTTTTTTTTTCCCCATTCTCCAGAGTGAACACTATCATGTTATTAGTGTTGACATTGTTCGTAAGCGGATTGACATAATTGACAATTCATCTGTGCCTATGACTAATGGGGACAAGTATGGTGCTACACCTGAGGTGCTGGTATGTGTTCGAATACCCACACAGTTTTGTCATTCGGCACACACATATACATTTGAGTGCACGCTATCTACGCGCATAACATTCTAGTATTGTGTTGGTTTTCACGGTTTGGCACACACATATACTCGTATATGCTCACACTGGTTTTTAATGCGTTTAATGTCCCACCACTTGTGTCATCCTGCATGGTTTACTCTTGGTGCATTTTTAAACCATGTTTTGCTAACGGTTTGCGCGCTTTGACAGAAAGATTTCTTGTCCGTGTTCCTTGATGATGTGGTTGATATACGGTATGGGTTAGTTGTACAGAGGATTACCCCTAGGAGAATGCAGATACGTTGGCGGGATACGCTTAACAAAGTGGATTGCGGGGTCTTTGCTATGCGGCACATGGAATCCTTCTTGGGGCAATCGGTACATGTTTGGGATTGTGGTCTGCGCAAGGGTGATAGTAGGGGCCTCGATTTGTTGAGGGCAAGTTTCATGCGCCAAATTTTGTCGGTTGAGTTAAATATACACCATTCCGAAAACATTCGAAATGTAGTTGAATACCGTGATGCTTGGGGTCAAACATAGATACGATTATTCGGGTGGAGCTAGTTCATTAGCTATTAAGCTTTCTTTGTTTGGTTTTAGATTTGTATTTACTATTTAGATTATGGTATTAAGGAGCTTATTTGTTGATTCTTTTGGGACATTTTTACTGAATAAAAGGGTGTTAGAATTCGCAATGTATGGTAGTTAAGATGTTGTATATTTAAACAGGTGCACAGCTTCCAATATCTATGTGCTCACACTGTGCTCGTGCACCCACGATGTTAACTCTGTGCTCACATAGGTACACCATGTTCTTGTTGGAACTTCCATCGCAGCGCAGGTGCACACAGGATCACTGGGTGTGGCACACTCTATTTGTTACATGTGCACACTGTCCAGTACAATCTCGTTTTTTCCAAAGCAACTTCTAAGACAGTTTGGTTTTAATCAATTCATGCCGACACGTGTATGAGTATATTTAACCAATTCGGTACACGCTTATTCGTACACAATTTGAGTAATAGAGATTGAGGATAAAAATGTAGTGAAAAAAGTTCTGTATGGCACACTGCTGGTCTCGGGTGCTCTTTTGTTATTTGGCTTTCAATCGATAGTTTACTCCAGGTTCTATCTCAATCCTGATTATTGGATTCGTGTATGAATAATCCTCTAGCAACGTCATTACTCAGGGATAAGTTCATGGGGGTGTAGGGCGCGGGGGGAGAAAGCCGCAGGAGAGGTGTGGCGCACTTTGTTTTGTATAGGTGCACCTTGGCTTTGTTCACACTTTCATCGTAGCGCAGGTGCACATACGACCTTGTTTTTTGATATATAGTCAAATCAACAAGCGAGGCACACCCTGTTTGTTACAGGTGCACACAACTTAGTACAATCTCTTTTTTTTCAAAAGCAACTTCTAGAACATATTGGGTCTAATGATTTCATGCTGACACATATGTGTCTATATTAAAACTATTTTACAAACATTATTCGTACACAAATTGATCCGGGAGAAATATTCATCAAACAGCCGGTTGACCCCATTGGTGTGTCGTTTTCACCTGTTGAGGATTGCAAATTCATTAGTCCAGTAAGTAGGTAAGTACTGTGGCATCAAGTTTATAACCAATGTGCACATTTAGCACAACACAAGTGCACATTCACCCATTATAGCCGATGTGCACATTTAGCACCACACAGGTGCACATTCGCCCATTATAGCCAATGTGCACTACTCCGTCCCACAGGTGCACATACGCCCATTATAGCCAATGTGCACTACTCCGTCCCACAGGTGCACATACGCCCATTATGGCCAATGTGCACTACCTCGTCAATTTGGGTGCACACAGCCACAACTGCTAGATTTGTGTGTGCACATTAGCAGCATAGGGTGTGCCATGGTGGATGGCGAACCCAGTTCGGGGGGGCCTGAACAGTACAAGTTCCGCATGCATTTCCCATAGTTCTATGGGATTCAATTTCATGCCTCAGTGCATGCTTAAACACTCCATTACCATTCCCATCAAATTAAAATTACAAACACAAACCATGGTTACGAATTCATAGGGTATATTTCACTTACGTTCATCGTATTCTCTTGCCATCGTTCTGTCCGGAGAAGAAAACTTCATTCACCGCTTTGGATGCACATGATCGGTTGTAAATCACAGGCGCTCGTCGAACAGGCTATTGGACCAGAGTTGTCGTTCGCGGATGTGGAGAAGAATTAGAATCCTTCATAATCTAGTCTCCTATATTCTTGGACTGAATTTAATTATAATATTAGTTATTAATCCAAGGGTGCTGGAAATTACCCTAGTATCCCTAGTAATTACTTTCATTAATGGGCTCCTTATTAATGATTAGTTAATCTAAACCATTGATTATATGGGATTATAAGGTTAAGATTAGTTCTTATGTTCTTACCTAACAATGGTTCCTACTTGAATCCCTCCCTATATATATATATATATATATATATGTCTCCGTGAAGAAAGAAGACAAAAGAATTGAATGAATTAAAATGATTAATGATGAGGAATGATTTACAAAGCCAAAAAGCGTAATCTATTTATACACAGGAAGAAGAGAGAAATGCGGCATGAATATGAGAACATGTATGGACATGCATGCTACCTGGGAGGCAACTGAGGTACGTGCGTGATTGAGTGGAAGACGCCAATGCAACATGGTGAGATGGTCTTCATGTATTTTGAGCCACATATTCATGTCTTAAAACTCTCCACGCTCAATATAAAAGTCGTCTATTGCAATTCTATTTTGTTAAACGGTCAGCAAACTAGGTTGCCCACCTTCCACCTAGGGAGCCTGGTTCTTTGTCTGATCTTATTATTTGGAGTGATGTTCCTCCTTCATTTATTGTAAGTTTTTTAATAAAATAAAAAAGCCTCGACGCTCATAATCGCAAATTTCCTGTGTCCTTTTCCCCTCAAAATTCCCCACAATCACTAAGTGTTATCGCAACGATGTCGTCGGAGAAGAAGGTGACGTTGAGAAGTTCCGATGGAGAGGTGTTCGAGCTGTCCTTGACTGTGGCTCAGCAGTCGGAAACTTTAAAACGCATGATCGAAGACGATTGCGCCAATAAGGACTGCATTCCGCTTCCGAAAATTACCGGAAAGATCCTCGCAATGGTGGTTGAGTACTGTAAGAAGCACGCCTCGACTTCGCGTTTGAGGGAGCTCAAGGCCTTCGATGACGAGTTTATAAATGTCGATATGGACACTCTGTGTCACCTCATACTGGTAATTTTATGATTCTGATCGAAGCTTTAAAATAATTTATATATGTTCCCCAAGTTTGTTTTAAGTTGTTGTGATTACATTATTTGTATTTGCGTTGCATATGGATGATTATGGTTGTTATTTGATCTTTTAGGCTGCGGAGTACCTGCGTATTAATGGCCTTGTGGTTCTGACTTCCCTTTCCATGTCGAGGTTGATGATAGGTAAAACTCTACCTGAGCTTTGCCAGACATTTAACATCGATAACTTGACCCCCGAGGAGTTTGAGCAGATCCGTCGGGAGAACCATTGAGCTTTTGAGTGATATGCTATAACTCTCTCCATTTATGACTGATTCTTTGTGATGCTGGATACCTGGTTTTAATCATTTGTTTCATTCACTGAATGCTATATTTCATGATGTTACTGTGCTTACACTATCCTCAATTCTGTCCTTTATTTTGGACCTTTTGGTGATCTCTAATAACTTGAAATGGAAAATATTGCAAATTATGCTTAGAAACTGTGAGGTGGACAGAGTTCCAAAACTGTTCATAATTATAAATATAGAGTAGTTCTATAATTATGAACATAGAGTTCTATAACCACAGTAGAAAAATGTTGAAAAAACTAATTAATTGTGCAATAAACTTGATTAAAAAGATATTAATTAACAATAATTAAACTTCTAACTTTTATTCCGAGAAGAACAGGTTGAACAAAAAATTGATCTCTCTTAGGTGAAAGCTAGACATCCTAACCACTGGACAAATTGATGTTGCGTGGATCACTTAATTCCTTTACATCTCATTTATGTAAAAAGTTCTCAAACGCCCTCAAAAACTACTTGTCATATCCAAAACTTGGAGGAAGAAATGTGAGTTGAATGAGATGAAATACAAAGATGTCATTTTATTCGTATCTTATTATTATAAAAAAAAATATTATTAAAAGATTTGATATCTATAAGTGAAGGGGGGTTATATCAAATTGAAGCATGTGCTCCATCTCAACTAAAAGGCTAAGTTGATAGTTGAATTGCATATTAATGGTTATATGCTCAACACAATGGTCCATTGCATATTCCTTTAAGTTTCACAACATCTACTTCATCTGTTTAAAATAAAATATTATTTTAGATATTCAATGAGATAACGAATCTATACTATCTATATCTATATATATATATATATATATATATATATATATATATATATATATATATATAATTAAAAGTAAAATTCTCCTTTTACTATTTTGGATTTGACCTAGGTTGGTCCAAAACTCTATAACGTGATATATCATTTACAATGTTCGAACCCAACGTTGCAATTGCATTAGCAATAATATGCTTATAACTATCCTAAACTACTAGGTTATAGCATTAACTTTTAAATGTTTATGAAATAAATAATAGTGAACCATCTATAGAGGTAAGTTTAATTTAATAGCTTAGTATATTAGTATATTTGAAATCGACTTCTAGAAAAGCCAAATTTGAATGAAGTCCAATTTGAGAAGCTAATGCATGGTTTAATTATATATAACTGAGTCACTCGACAAATCCTGGTTAATTTTAAATTGTTGAATATATATAGTGGAGTATTATTTATATGTAACTAAGTAACTTAAAAGTAAATGTTGATGGCGACGTCATACAAAAAGCCACTAGGTAATGCAAACTTTACTTATATTAGTACTATACTAGTTTTTCTTCAACCTAATGCAAATAACAAACATCACAAATCACAATTAGTTTAAGAAATAAGGGTCACATAGGTCACTCAAATGCACACTAAATTATGGATCTTTGAATAATACAAATTCATACAATTCAACCCAAAATGTGGTGGTCACTAATTTTAAAAATATTGTTTTAAACAAATTTTTGTTGGGTAATATGGTTGAAAAATCCCAAAATAATAATAATCCTACGGAAAGGTTAATATTATATGGGAAAACAGAAAATTGGGAAGGAAAAGGTTGAGTGTTTGGGTATGGGTTTAGCACGAGTTCAAACACAAGGTTCTTTTCCTTAAAACCTTATTTGCTACCTCCCACAAGTGCTAGGAGCGTTGTAGCCTAAATTTCTCAGGATAAAACGTGCTACGATTCCTTGTTTAAGCACCTAAACAAGGAACCCGTTGAACAAAGCAAAGCTTGGAACACTGGTTGGCTAAAGAAGAGAGTAGAAGCAGAGTTTTTGAGAGAATAGAGCTACTGGAATTCCTTTTTGTTTCTTCACTGTGTAAAATGCTACTGCTTCTACCTCTCTTTATAGCATTCAACATGGCCATTAAATTGGTGTTAAAACCAATTGTGTAACACCTGTAACGGTCACCACTAAGTAGGATTAAACTCAGAATTTAAAAATTGGAATTAAAACAGTATTAATCCCGTCCCGTAACAGATGTGAGTTTAATCTGTACAACAGGCTGAACTTTCGGGTTTCAGGTTCACACGAGAGCACACGGACCAGGCAACACGAGAGTACAACTCTCGTGCGCACTGTGGTGCTCTCGGTGCACCACAACCTCTCTTGCTCCTCTGTAGCACGAGAGTAGGTGCTAAGTTAGGCATAACTTATGCCCTGAGCTCAGGCTTGAATTCAAGCCTTTTCGATGTCCTCTAGCGCACGCGAGCTCGGACTTGAATCAAGCCTTTTCGATGTCCTCTAGTTGGATTTTGATTTGCACCCCCCCCCCCCTCTCCCCGCGCGAGAGAGCCTCTATGCTATACAATTCTACAAGCTTGAAAAGAGCTCATGTATATAAGGGGGGCAAATCTTGTTTCCAAACCAATGTGGGACAAAGTCCTACATTTTCCCTTAATTTCCCAACTTAAATGGGTCTACTTTGAGAATCAATATCTCATTCACCCATTATCCGTTTTGAGCGTACAATATATCAATCTCTTCGTCTTATTACGAAGAATCCGAATCCACTTTGACCCGACCCAAATCGGAAGTGGACCCCACTGATAATTGTACCACAAAATAGCCACTTAATATGCCATTTTATGCCATTTTAAGTTAATTTTTTCCAACAATTTTTAAATAATATAATTAATTAAAACTTAAAAAAAAAAAAAAAAAAAAAAAACAAGAATTTTCGCAGACGAAGTCTTCGACCGGTTTGTGGTATATATTAGATTTGATGATACAAATAAAAGCTTAACATGAAAATATTTAGAGGTATTTTTTTTTTTTTTAATTCTCTAGACTAGATGAATGACGATATCGATGAAGACAGTGTAAGATAAACAACCATGGTGAAAGAATAAGAAAATGGAAATATGGATTATCACTGATATGAGTTCTTTTAGTAAGAAGCTTCGCAGAAATGGGTTCAGTTGGTAGGGTTATGGATTTACATATTTTATATGATATATATATATATATATATATATTGTTGGGAAAATACATTCAAAGTTTGAAGGAGTTTTTCCTTGTCCTAATTTCATGGGTGCTCATGGTTGTTATCTACACAATTAGTGTGAATGTGGAATGAGGAAACAAAGTCAAGGTCTAAGGTTTTATATTTTTATATGAATGTTGGAAAAAAATAGCTTAAAATGGCATAAAATGGCATGTTAAGTGGCTATTTTGTGGTACAATTATCAGTGGGGTCCACTTCCGATTTGGGTCGGGTTAAAGTGGATTCGGATTCTTCGTAGTGAGACGAAGAGATCGATATATTGTACGCTCAAAACGGATAATGGGTGAATGAGATATTGATTCTCAAAGTAGACCCATTTGAGTTGGAAAATGAAGGGAAAAAGTGTGCTTTTGTCCCACATTGCTTTGGAATGAAGATTTTTCCCCCTTATATACAAGAGCTCTTTTGAAGCTTGTAGAATTGTATAGCATAGAGGCTCTCTCGCGCGCGGGGGGGGGGGGGGGGGGGGGTGGTGCAAATCAAATTCCAACTAGCAGAGATTGAAAAAGGCTTGATTCAAGCCCGAGCTCCGTTGCATGGAAATCCTCTAAGCAAACTGTGATAGCTAGATCCACGATGGAATCTCCGTTGCATGGAAATCCTCTAAGCAAACTGTGATAGCTAGATCCACGATGGAATCTGAGCTGATAGCCTTGGACAAAGGTTGTGAAGAGGCTGAATGGCTACGCCATTTTATAGAGGATATTCCTAATTGGGAAAGACCGGTACCTCCAATATGTGTGCATTGCGATAGTCAAGCCACAATTGGGAGAGTACAGAGTCATATGTATAATGGTAAGTCTAGACATGTGCGTTGTGCGTCGTAGACATAATACCATTAGACAACTGCTCACAACTGGTGTTGTCTCGATTGACTACGTAAAGTCAAAAGACAATATAGCGGATCCGCTGAAGTTGTGGAGAAGTTGACACGAGGAATGGGTCTACTGCCCTTGGACTAAAAAGTTCTATAGTGGATACCCAACCTAGCTGGCACCTAGGTTCAATGGGACAACTAAATTATGGAACGGAGCGCGTCACTGTGGGGGTCTCGGACTCCCTACCACTCCTCGTTAAAACAGTGACTCCCGCAAGAGGCTACCATATTAATGCTTTAATGATTCTTGAGTATGCGGGATACTCGAGAAAGAATCACCTATGTTAGAGAGAAGTGAGGGTCGCTTCAAAGGAGAATTGTTGGGCACAATTCTTTAGAAACTCTCGCAGAACCAGGAACGGTGACCCACGACCAAAACGGGCACACTCATGAGAGCAAGAGCATGGTTGGGAGATTCCTGTGTGAGATATGTCATCGTCTACACAAACGGCAGTCGGTTCAAAGACATCGCGTTCTACCATACAGCCAGTAGAGTAAACATGTCTTTACGAGGGAAGGTTCAAAGGGTATAGTGACTCCCTACCTATCCTATGCAGGGATCGACCGTTTGAACACAGTTGTTTCCGATTTCAAAATACCCCGAAAATCAATTTTTCATTCATGTGGGGGATTGTTGGAAAAAAAATAGCTTAAAATGGCATGTTAAGTGGCTATTTTGTGGTACAATTATCAGTGGGGTCCACTTCCGATTTGGGTCGGGTTAAAGTGGATTCGGATTCTTCGTAGTGAGACGAAGAGATCGATATATTGTACGCTCAAAACGGATAATGGGTGAATGAGATATTGATTCTCAAAGTAGACCCATTTGAGTTGGAAAATGAAGGGAAAAAGTGTGCTTTTGTCCCACATTGCTTTGGAATGAAGATTTTTCCCCCTTATATACAAGAGCTCTTTTGAAGCTTGTAGAATTGTATAGCATAGAGGCTCTCTCGCGCGGGGGGGGGGGGGGGGTGCAAATCAAATTCCAACTAGCAGAGATTGAAAAAGGCTTGATTCAAGCCCGAGCTCGTGTGCGCCGGCACCTGGGAATGTCGTCCGGAATTGGCTGGCCTAAGTTATGCCAAACTTCGGTATCATTTTCCAACTGGTATAGCCACTTGGTTCGGGTTCGGCCAGAACCGAACCGAGAGCACACCTACTCTCGTGCTACAAGAGAGCACGAGAGGTTGTGGTGCGCCGAGAGCACAACTCTCGTGCAACAGAGTCCACGAAAGGTGCAAGGGCCGAAACTGGATGAGGTCGAAAGTTGAGACCGAACCCTGTACACTAACGGTCAGGAACCCGAAAGTTCTGACTGTTGAGGGGATTGAATTCATCTGTTACGGAATTAATTGTCTATTAATTCCAATTTTGAATTCTGAATTCAATTCCCAGGTAGTGGCCTGCTGTTATAGCTGTTGGAAGGCAGCTTTAATGTCATTTTTAATTGCCATAATAAAGGCTATTGGCTCCTTCAACCCTATATAAGAGAGGGTAGAGGCAGTAGAGTTTTACACACAGCTTTACACAGCACGAAAGTATACTTTTCCAGCTTCAAAAATCTCTGCTTCTACTCTTTCTTTAGCTATACTGTGTTCATAGCCATTGTCTTGCTCGCCGGATCCTTTGTTTGAATGCTCAAACATTGGATCATAGCAAGTTTTATCCTGGGAAGCCTAGGCCACAACGCTCCTAGCATCTACGGGAGGTGGCAAATAAGGTTTTAAGGAAAGAGTGCTCACTCGACTCTTGCAAAAACCCAACACCAAACACTAGCCACTTTTCTTCATCTTTTCTTCCCTTCTTTCCAGAAAATAATAGTCAATCTTATTTGATTATTATTTGTTTTCCTACCAACGGTACCAACAATGAATGCATGGAGAAATTGAATTCTGTTTTTTACGTAGCCATAACACTAAATTCTTTCCAACAAAAAAGTATTGACCAGATGTACTTTTTCTGTCGTCAATGTTTCCTGCCCAATCAGCATCATAGTAAGCAAATTTAATTAATAACTATTCATAATGCACTCAAAAAGGAAGTTTCCTTTTTTGGCTTTTTTCACTTCGTACATACCCTCTAGTCTGAGCATATATATAGTCAGTTCGCCTACGTGGTTGCTAGTGCAAGTTATCCATAGTAGGTCTGTGTAGCCTGTCGAAAGCGTGACAGAGTTCTAACTGCACCGTTACCGGGCAAATAACGCTTTTAAGGTAGTATTATTATAACACGGCACAGATTTCCTTTCAACCATACACCCGTAGTGTCGGTGCTTCTTAAAAGGCTTCCAGATCGCGCGTTGACGTTGAGACTATTTTTCAACAGTAGTTAAAAACGTTATTTTAGCAACAGTCAACTACTCGAATCATGGAACAAATTATAATAATTTTTTGGCGACATGATGGTGTAGCAACAACAGAGATTAGCAGTGGAAGATAACATGCATCATCATACAGAACACTAGTGAAACACACTGCCTCGACTTATGTGTAACTTTTAAGCAATGGAGTACAACAGAAATAATTATTGAGTTCATATCAGAGCTTTAACCATACTCCGATGAGGTTTGTCTCCTCATATTTTAATATGACACATGCATATTTATATGATAATAGATTATCATATGCAAATGATTATTTTGAGCACAACTAGTCATATATTATTGGGCATTGACCATATTCCTTTAAAACTATCATAATGGCATAATGTAGAAGATGGTTTGTCTATATCTTTGCATCCATTTGATTATTATGTTTTGAGAGCATTTGAAACGTAAAATATATATTGTGACAAGTATTTTAGAAATCACCATTTCATATTTTATATGGTGAGTGCATTGAATATTATAGAGAAAATTAATAGCGTGTGTACACAAAGATAAGTGAATTGTTAGTATTCACATGGATAAGCTTTATGATCATTTTGTTGTGTTAGAATTGTTGATTTAACACTACTGTTAAGTGATTAAATCATCAATCTGATTTAAAGCTTATAAATTGTGTACTTATGCACATATCGAATTTATGACATTGATTGAAATAATTGTGAATATAACTCGAATCCATCTACAAGATATACCCTGATCGATGAAATTTCAATTTTGGTCCTATGACTATAGGAGTCTTGTTAATTTCAGTCTTCGACTTTCAAAAGTGTCAATTTAGTACTTTGACTATGCAATTTTTGTCAATTTTGGTCACTCCGTCCAAATTGCCGGTCAAATTTCACCAAAAAATTTTAATAGGTAAAATAATGAGAGTATTTTAGTCATTTTACCCTTTTCCTTTCTTCTCTGACCTGTCGGCGACCTCGTACTTCCTCAGTTTTCCTTTCTTCAAGGCCACTTTGGTTTTAAAAGAGGCCTTGAGCCGCTTCGCCTGTACTTTCGAAGTCGGGAGAACTCGCCGGAAACAACTGAAACATGGTAGACTCGAAGGAGAAGAAGAAAAGAGATGTGAAATGACTAAAATACTCTCATTATTTCAAGTATTAAAATTTTTTGATAAAATTTTGCCAACAATTTGACCGGAGTGACCAAAATTAACAAAAATTGCATAGTCAAAATATTAAATTGACACTTATAAAAGTCGATAACTGAAATTAACAAGACCTCTATAGTCATAGGACCAAAATTGAAATTTTCTCTATCCTGATCCATATCATAACTATTGATTTAAACTTGAGACCTCTTGAGGAGCCACACAAGATAGACCCGATCCATACCATAACTATTGATTCAAATCTGCGACCTCTTGAGCCACAGTTACTCACTCGACTAATTGTACAATTGTTACAAGAGTACATTTGAAGAAAAATTTAGGTGAGAAAACGGATAGAATGAGAGAAGTGAATGAAGCGTAGTCCAAAGTCCGAAGATCGTATAAGCTTATAATTGGCTAATTGCATCCTCCCTTGCTTCTTCATCCTTGTTAGGGTTTTGCTTTCTGTGATTACTAGAGAAGGTGACTTCATCGTGATCAATATCTCCTTCACGGAAGCCTGTCGGAGAAGCGATTGCGGTTGGGCAAAGGTTAGTCTCCTTGTCATTCAAGCTAGCGGTCTGTGTTAGTAAAATTGATTTTGCGCTTCTTCTCAGAGGTTGAATTGATTTTTTTTCCCTGCCTCTAATAACTGTTCCACGTTGCTCCTTGCTAGGGTTTGTTTGTTTGTTTGTTTGTTTGTTTTTGTTTTTTTTTTTTGTTTTGTTTTTTTTTTTTTTTTTTTTTTTGTGTTCTTATAATTTTGTCTGATTGGTTGATTTCGTTAATTAGATTGTGAAAAATGCCAGGCTTGGGAGAAACTGGAATGAAATGTTCGAAAACTTTTCCAGTTGATTAAAAGTTTCATTTAAATAATTGGTGCATTTGCTGCTTTAATATAATATCAATAAGCGTATTTACCATAGTCTATTCTGATTTCTTTTCCGTTTCATCTGGTTCTATTTTCTATAATTACTTTCATGCATTCGACATGGATTAAAGGCCTTTTAAAACCAAGTTGTTAACTTGTTCTTCATATTATATTCTCTAGGAATCAAATTGGATTGAGCTTTTGTACATATCGTCTTGATAAAAAGAAAAAATAAATGTCTGGACGAAATCTTGGTCCTCATTCGATAAAAGGTGCACCCCACACTGTGATGGCTCCACCTATTCATGAGCCGCCACCCTTTGCAAGAGGCCGCGGGCCAGTTCCTTATCCTGTAATGCTTGAGGAAATGAGAGAGTCACAGTATGGGATGCCGCCGCCCAGGCAAATTGCTCCACACCCTGCTATCCTTGAGGAGCATCTTGCAGCTCAGCATGAGGATATTCAAGGATTACTGGTTGACAACCAGAGGTTGGCTGCAACTCATGTAGCACTCAAAGAGGAACTAGAAGTTACACAATTTGATCTTCAGCGAACAGATCAATATGCACGTGCCTTGTATGCTGAGAATGACATGCAGATCAGAGAACTTTATGAGAAGTCTGCAAAGATGGAAATGGATCTCCAATCTGTAGAAGTTATGAGAGTTGAGCTTATGCGAGTACGTGCTGATATTAAAGATTTAAATGCTGCAAAGCAAGAGCTCACTACTGAACTCCAGGGGATGACTCAAGATTTGACAAGGATGAACGCAGATTTGCAACGAACTCCAGCTATAAAGGCAGAAATTGAAAATCTTAGACAAGAATTGCAGCGATCAAGGTAATAATGTTTTCATTTGCTTTATGCCCCTATGTTTTCTTGACCATATTGCCTTTGGTTGTCCTGTAGGGCTGCCATTGAGAATGAGAAGAAGGGATATGCAGCAAACTATGAGCATGGTCAGGTTATGCAAAAGAACTTGCACTCAATGTCTCGAGAACTGGAAAAACTCCGTGCAGAGATGGCCAATGCAGAAAAGAAAGCTCGTGCTGCAGCTTCAGTTGGGAATCCTGGTATTTATTCTCTCTCTCGAGATCTGCCAACTTGCAGATAATGGCCTCAATTTTAGGAGTTGGTGCACTTTCTTTAATGCTTTTGCTAGTTTCTTTCATTTTCTTCGGCAACTTTTAGTCTGTAATTTTATTTTTTTTTGGACTTAATTTATTGGCTTGAATTTTCTTGATGAAGTTAATTGCCTAAAATAATTTGATTGAAGTATGAACCTTCTAATAGTTTTATATCCTCAATTGATTTCAATTGAATTATTAAGTCTTTTAAGTTTTATAGGCTTTGCAAACTAATTTAGAAGTCCATATTTCACAACGGTGGAGAAATTTGTACTTGCATGCATAAGTTTTAATGTCATGAACAATTAAGGCATTGCTAAACTTGCTTGACAGGATTTTGTTTTCAACAGTTGCAGGTTATAATGGAAATTATGCTAATCCTGAGTCAGGCTATGCCGGAAATTATTATCCTGTTGGTTATGGCATGAACCCCGTAAATCCCGTGCATCCTGTAAGTGGAACGGCACAGATTTTATTTTCTCTAATAAGCTTTGCAGAAGGACTTATTCTGATTGAGTGATTATGAAATAATTTCTTTTGAAAATATAAACCCCATATATCCTTCTATATGTATGTAGACTGATATATTCCTAATCCTTTTTCAAATTTTAAGGTTTGCACAATAAAATATTTTGATTGAATGATTATAAAGTGCACTCTTTTGTGAGACATAGTTTCTTATTTCCTTTGAAATAACCGAAATGTTTTATTATTTAAAATTTCCTTTTATCTCAGCCACAGACTGGAGCTGAAGGTTATTCTCAATATGCACCTGGACCTGCTGCCTGGGGTGCTTATAATATGCAGCAAGCTCAAGGACTCAGATGAACTAGTTTATACTAGGTTGCAACCTTGTGTTTTGCATACTGCATTCTGGTACTTCACATTGGAACCCAGAGTTAGGTTTCAAATGATAGAAACTTGATTATTCTGGGACGTGCTTTATTTGGGTAGAAAATTTTCATGTCTGTTGCTGTTTGTTTCATAATCCAGGACAAATATTTGTCACCATGTTTTATAGGAGATATTTTATGGTATGCTTAGTTGCCTTGTTTTGTTTACTTTCACTTATTTCATCCTTGGAAAAAATGCAATCTGTGCATTGTTATATTGAAGCAGCTTCATATTTGCAAATACTATATATTTGCAATTTCTATAATCAAGCAGGTTCTATGTGCGAATACTAAACTGAAGCAGCTGGGATCCTTGTACTTGTTCCTATGTGTTTAATTATAGGTATCCGTCAGGTGTATCTTCATTTCCGTAGCACAGTAGCATTTTCTTTTAGTGCTTGTTTGGTTCATCTTATTTTGGAGCTTATCTACTAAAAAAAAAAAAAATAGGAGTGGGGCCAATACTAAATAATATAACAAGGGGGTTTTGGGGTGGTTAAGAGTAAAAAAACCAGTGCCCCCTTTTTGTACAAGCCATTAGCTGGGCCAAACAAATACTTAGGGGCTTATTACTTCAATGGAGGATGATTCATCCCTGTTGCTAATGTGAATTATGAAGGGATCATGAATCCCTTCAATAGTGAACAGATTATTAATCCCACCCAGCCACGGCCAAACAAATACTTAGGGGCTTATTACTTCAATGGAGGATGATTCATCCCTGTTGCTAATGTGAATTATGAAGGGATCATGAATCCCTTCAATAGTGAACAGATTATTAATCCCACCCAGCCACGGCCAAACAAATACTTAGGGGCTTATTACTTCAATGGAGGATGATTCATCCCTGTTGCTAATGTGAATTATGAAGGGATCATGAATCCCTTCAATAGTGAACAGATTATTAATCCCACCCAGCCACCCCTCACACCACTTTATTCTATCCCATTTTTTCTAAAGATTAGGTGGTGGGCCAGCACTTAATTCCGCACCTTATTATTTGGACCAATTAGGAGAAGAGGGGATTATTAGACCAACCTCGCTTTGGTCCCTCAAAGCCAATTGATCTGTATATAATTGATGGCATCTTCTATGGTTGCTTTATAAGTTAAAATGGTTTTGGTGGTTTCTAGTGATGTCCTTTTGTTCTTCACTCTCAAGAATCGCTGTATCCGAATCTCGTTTCTTTGTTCTTTGGATGTTACATCCTTGGTTTTGTGGTGTTGGTAGAAGAGTAAGATCAACCCTTGCAGATGCAATGCTATTGAAAATATGGAGAATAACTGATGGACTTTTGAGGTAGTGGAAGCTTAAGAAAGGGAGACAGGGAGTGCAAACTGATGTGCTCCTTCAAACAGCATAAAGAAGCATTATCTAGTATTTTGATGTAACTCTTGTTCTGTTGAGTCTTGTATATTTGGAGGCTGGAGACTTGTCTTGGAATAAGAGTAATGTTCCCGTTATCTGAATCCTTACATTCATATGGGCACATTTGAGAAGACCGAGTATTAAGTAGTCTGGAAGTTTGGAGCTTTGGGCTTGAAGGGAGCTATTTCCCATCAATATGTATTAGTATCTCTCTGTGCTGATTTCTAATAGGGTGGAATAGCCAAACTTCTTTGTGAATCTTTTCTGCACCAGTCTCTTGCCCATGGAAATGAAGACGAAAAAGAGGTCAAATGCCAATAAAAGAAGGTGCTGGTAGGCAATACTTTTTTCCCCCTCTCTTTCTGCTTTTATGATCCATGGCTGGGTTAGAGAATTCATCCTATAACACTGTATGATAAGATGCATAGTGATTTTGTAGTTCAAGTTGTATGAATATTCTAAGACAGTCTATCTTGCTTCACTACTCTCTCTGTTTTCACGTATCTAGAACTCTAGAGGACTGTATCCTCTCCTATATGTGCATTCAGAAATATATGTTCTAGATAATCTTCCGTTGGTTCTGTATTTGAGATTTTGAGTTTACATGGAGGGGTTGTTATTATCAAGAAGAAACTATGTTATTCAGTTATAAAGACTCTAATATACTTTACTGTGCCTTTCTATGCTAGTGTTGTGTCAAGATTGCGTTGCAAAGATATTGTCAAAGGTTGGGTATTTAAAAAAAAAAAAAATTAATTGAATCATGTCTCTGTACTTATTCAGAAATGAAAATTTGAAAACTTAAATCCATATTTTCTATTTTATAATTGTCCCTAAACTTGAAGCCAATGTCATTGATAATTAATTACCTTTCCTGAAAGCTGATTGCAATACTGATATTAATCTACTTATGTTTACAATTAAAATCTTATGTATTTAAATATTTATTATTATTTTCAATGATATTTACATAAATCAATAAATCATCATGCAGTATTACAGATTTGATTTTTCAAAGTAGTTCTTCTCAAATTAATGAATAAACTAGTCATTGTCTAAACTCAAATTTTGTGGTAAAAATCTTGATGCATTTTACAAGTACAGTAGAACTATTATTTTTAGTTTTCAATGTTATTTTGTATAGATCATGCACTACCAAAAGATTTTATTATTTTAAGTAATTTTCTCAAATTAATTTATTAGTCATTGTCTAAAATAAAATTTTAGGGCACAAACTTAATACTATTTTTCCGAAAAATAAATACTCTTTGCAGTGGTATATATGGCCAGAAGATACTTGAAAGCATTGATGGAATATGAGATACAATAATCATAAATCACTGCAAGAGTGTTAACTGTTAGACTAGTCAGTAATTTTGTGGATGGTCAAGGTCTGTATGCCTGGGTGGATATCTAGGTGTGGATGGTCCCAATATTTGTAATGAAGGTATTGTTGTTATTGGCTATGTCCCAGATAATAACTTTTAGATGTGTCAATGATGACTGTTTTGTTTTTTGGATTTTATAGAAGTTTCTTAGCTGTTAGCTTCTTTGTGCAGATTATTCTGTGGGTAGGTGGAATGAAGTTATATGCATATAGCCCACTCCGTACATATTGTTTTGCAATGCATAGTCCCAAGTTATAGTGCTAAGTTGGTAAAGTTTCTCTATGAGATGTGGGAACTGTCTAGTGATTAGTTACTACTTTGTCATGAAGTCTAGAGCCACTGCTGTGCATACTTGCAGGTTATAGTGCTATGCTGTTTCTGTTGAGTGGTTACGCGGGTGTGTTTTTTCAGTAAAATTATTTTTATTGAAAGCACCAAGCGGTTAAACCAAAGATATAGCACTTTGTTTGTAAATTATATAGTAAAAAATTTCTTGCAATAACTTGTCATCTTCATATGTAGAGCCATGGGCTAACCTATTCCAAAAGCTTATGGCATGCTATCTCATAGCATGAAAAGTTCTGTTGAGAAGTGTCTGGGAAGTTATATTTATTGCTTGCATATATGCTTCAGTTTGGAAATCAGTTGAGTGAAGTAAATACTTGTGGTGGAACAATGTTATATAGATGTCTAAGTTTATTCCTATTTATAAGTTCTATTACCTAGTTCTTGCAGAATTCTTGTAAACCCCAACTGAATTCTCTGGTTCTCTCTGCTTTTTCTTTTATGTTAATATTTATGCTGCATGTCATTTGTTTGCTCCATTACCCAATTTGAACTTTTGTTACTCTAATATGGGGTTTCACCATTTGTCTGACTTCCAAATGGTCTTTGATTTCCAGATTGGTACTTGGATTTCAGCGAGGACTCTGTTAGTTCCACTCAATCTTTACATGAAAATGTGGTAAGAATATCTTCAGACCCTTTACTTTGAGAAATTCTGCTGATTTCTCTTGCCATTTTGAACACTTTATAGCAGTTAGCCATTTCATCAGTTGTTTATCATGGGCACTTTTATGCTTTGATTTATGGTTAATATTGAATCTCTAAGATTGATTCTATGTTGCTTTAATAGACCACTTCTTCTTCTTATTAAAAAATATTTAGAAATGTACACTTATATTTGTATATTTCTCTCACATTTCGTATCATGTTTCTCTGTGTGCCTTTTCCTATTTGCATACTATATCTAGGTCTTCCATAAAAATATTGAAGCATCCATTATGATGCTTGTACTTAACAGTGCTTGGCTCCCATTGGGTCAGCATTACATTTCATAACAGCATTTTCAGCTTTTGCTGTCAAATACTATTAAATGTGTTTTCGTTGATTTGCCTTGTTTCAAAAAAAAAAAAAAAAAAAAAAAAAAGAAGCTAAGCTTTGCATTCTTATTGTGTGTCTAAAATTCTATATATGCTTAGAAGATATGAGATGTTGGGAATTTGAATGCATATGTCTTGCAATAGTAACAATATTCTTTTATTCCTGATGATGTGAGAATTTCTCACAGCCCATTCTGTAAACAATACTAGCATAGTTGATTCTACAAATGTAACATGAGGGAGCATGGATTTTAAAGATTTCATTTGAATGAACCGAAGAATATCCAACATAGAAATTGTTATTTGTACCATGGTTTTTTTTTTGGCCCCAAGTGATGTCTCTTGTGACATATGATACAACCTATTCATTGGCTGGAACGTCATGACTGATTCCGATAATGCCATATCATTTGGGACAAGGTTTGGTAAAAAAATTGAGCTAGTAGCATTACCTCTGAACACTGTTTACTTATGTTTAAGACAAAAATTTCTAAGTTTTACAGTTTACTTACAGTTGCAGGTCATTATGTGGCATTATTGATATCGGTTTCAAATTCTAAAAGAAAATTATTGTTTCAGCAGATTGACTAAGATTGGGTAATAGGTGGTGGAAGTAAATAGAAGCAGGCTGCAGAATGCATCTCTGCTATGCTACCAAATACTGGGATTGAAGGAGGAATGGAGGTAAACTTGCAAAGAAGCTATGAGATTCATAGGTTACTTGGTGTAATATTTTAGTCTTTCCATTTGGCATTGCAATATGAATATACAGAATACAGATACCATCGATTAACACTCAAAATCTTATGCCAAATATTGACGGAGAGATTTGCAAGAGTTCAATTCATAGCATATTTACGAGTATAATTTTATTATTTATATACATTTAACAATTTGGACAAAATTGAAGACATTACTTTTTTTTTTTTAGTACTACAATCTAACCTATCCATATTAGTTAATTAGTGTAATATATACATATTTTTCTTAAATTCGTGTAAGAGGTTTTTCATTTTAATTGAGCATTTGGTTCATTGTTGTAGACCAAAAGTAGGGCTTATTTAGTTATTTGAGCAAATAATTAATGCTTTTATTTTTGATTGTATTACCTATTTTACATCTTCATTTCTATTTTTTATATTAAAATTAAAAAGTTTCTCAATTTATATAAAATTACCGAAATCTAATTTTAATATTGGAGTTGAGCGGAAAGATGAAAAACTGCATTAGATGTTAGTACAATAGTTGAGCTCAAAAAAAGTTTCTTAAAAATGGATTATGTATTTCTAAGAAATGGAGTGCATGCCTTGGTTTTGAAAAGAATGAATGTATAAATGTTCGCATGGGCAACTCAGTTGGTCACATGTGTGAAGTTTCAGTTAATCACAGGAGTGAAATTTGAGAACAATAACTCGGGATTGAGTCGGTCATAGGGATGAAGTTTTTGAACAATAATTCGGGATTGAGTCTTATCAGTGATAGTGTGAGAGCAACGAGTTTCACCAGTGATAGTGTGTTCAATTGAGTTAGAGTTTTACTAGTGATAGTGTGTTCAATTGAGTTATCATGATTTACAGAATGAACGACTTCATATAAAAGGAATAAAAAGAAAAAATAATATTAAAGCCAATTTTTAAAGTGTACTTTTATTGTCTATTGCTATTGGATTACAATTTAGAAAGATTGTAAAAAGTGGGAATGTTGATGCTAATTTGCGGAATTTGTTTTTTTGGCGGCAATATGTTCCGTTAAAAACTTAAACCCTCGCCGCGACAGCGTTTTAACATTAAAATGGGAAATACTTTCCCGCTATAACCGAAAACATTTGGGAATGGAATTCCAAATTTGCCCAAATCCCATTCGCATCAAATTCTCCTTCCTTCCCGCGTTTTCAAAATTTTGATTTTTTTTTTTTCATTTAAAATCTTCTTCTTTTTTATCTCATCCCAGTCCCAAATTGAAACCGCACACACTTAACTAACACTGTTTTCCATTCTCCAATCCCATCATTTCTGCAATTCTAATGGGGGGCAAACTTGAAGCATTACCACCTCTCAAAAGGTTCATTCTAATGCAAAAACACCAAGAAAATGGCGCTGTTGTTTCCTCCGATCTTCCTGCGAAAAAGCGAAAGCATTTCCCAGATCAACCTCTCCCTTCCCCTTGTTGCCTGCCGGCCAAGAAAAGGGTGTGGGCAATCAACCCACTAGACCTCAATCAAGAATACAATCCCCTATTTGATGCCCAGATCGAGGAGAAACAAATCCTCCACGCTCCAGAAAATCAAGAACCAGAGCAACTTGCAGATGAAGAAGAAGCTCAAGAACCAGAAACTAATGGCGGCGATGATGATGATGATGGGATTGTGTGTGCTATCTGTGAAAGCACAGACGGGGATCCATCAGATCCCATAGTTCTCTGCGATGGCTGTGATCTCATGGTTCATACCACCTGTTACGGCCACCCCTTCACGAACGGAGTCCCAGAAGGCGATTGGTTCTGCGCCCACTGTCTCGCAAAACCCCAAACCCCTTCTTGCTCCCTCTGCCCGCTCCCCGGCGGCGCTCTCAAGCCTACCACCGACGGGAAATGGGCCCACCTCGTATGCGCTCTCTTCGTTCCCGAGGTGTTCTTCACCGACCCAGAAGGCCGGGAAGGGATCAACTGCAGCAAAGTTCCCAACAGAAGATGGGAGCGCAAGTGTTATATCTGCAAATCAAGAAATGGGTGCGCCATTGATTGCTCTGAGCCCAAATGCCCTTTGGCCTTTCATGTCACTTGTGGCTTGGAACAAGACTTGTGTATTGAGTATAATCAAGGCAGAACAACTAACGGCGCCATTGTTGCTGGATTTTGCAGAGCCCATTCTGATTTGTGGAAAAAGGTAAAATCTTTTGCTTCAAATTTTCATTTTCTTTTGGCCCTCATTCTTTATCCTATGATTTTAATTTTTTCATTAATGGATTTGTGCAGCAACAACAAACAGGGAAGTTCAAGATTGTTGCCAGAGATGAGAAGGAGAAATAGGAGTGGGGAAGAGATTAAAGTTTGTTCAAATCTTGAAAGAGAACTGAAATTTGGGCTGTTTTAGTGAGAAAATGTATACCTAGTTTGTAGCAGGGCATTGTTGTAATTCATCACTCAAGTTTACTTTAATTTAAATTCATATTAGCTTTTTAGTTTTTGCTAAACTAGATGAGATAATTACACACTTACTTATATCTTCATAATGAATATCTATAAACGTAATTTACAAATAATGAGAATTAAATTGTTTGGGACACTACTGTTACAAAATTTATATTCAAGTAGAAATGTTTTTAAAATGGAAAAATATTTTTTTTCCATTTTTTAAAAAATTGTGGAAAAAAATTTGATTTTTTAAAGTTGGAAAACCTGGATAAGGCATATGGAACACGTACCCGGGATAGTATTTATAAAACATTTCTTATTTTGCCCCATTTTTTTCATTCTGATTTTAATTTTTTTGGCTTCTTTAATAAATGGATTAATGGTGAATTCTTAAAAACAAAAACAAAAAAAAGAAGCAATTTTCTACTCCAAAATCTTCCCTAATATTTCATTTCATAACATGATTTATAATCATTAAGTTTCATTAATTAGATGATTTTACATACTTTTAATTAAACACTAAAATAATTAATTATATAGTGTCCGTGAGCAAGAAATAAGAAATAAAATTTTAGAATGGGTGGTGTAGCATTGTTAAAAAAAAATCATCATACCTGTCATGCTTTACTTTTGAAAGTTCATGTTTTGCAATAAATTACATTATTTTAACTTAGCCACATAAAATAAAACAAAACTCTAAAACATAACAAATTCATGATTATTACAATATTGTCACGTTTGGTTCTTAATTTTTAATTTGATAGTATATATATTTTTTTATTACAAAGGGAGGGGATACCCATACAATCTACGTCTACACTGAGGCTCGAAACCTCCTCCCACATAGGAGAGCCATCCAATACCAGTGGACCACAAGCCACTTGGTTAATTTGATAATATTTAGTTCCACAATTCGATTAGTATTGTTATATTTTGGAGTTAATACCCACTTTAGTTATCGACTATAATAGTTTTTCTTGAGTTAGTTCAAAATATCTTTTTGTGCTTAATTGAATTTTAGACTTTGATAATTTTACTTAATTGAGCCATTTGTTAAGGTAGCTTGATAATTTTTCTTCGATTAATATTCTCTTCAGTCATCGATTATAGTAATTTTATCAAATTTAGTTTTCGATTATGGTAGTTTTATAATTATTCACTTTATACCTACTCGGTATGTACTCATTAAGGCGCAAGGAACGATTCCTGACCTGAACCGACCCCAATCTGTGATCTGTACCGAACTCCCAACATATGCTTCTCTTATAAATAGAGCATTTATTGCCTATCGTGGGAGACCTTTAGATTTTCACTCAACTCATATTAGCTCGAGAGCCTCCGACCCACGATCATACATTCCCGAGCTCACATATAGTAATCACTGCATAAACCTCACTCATATAGCCATTGTATTTACCACATCAATGATAAAATTAACAAATTATCATATACATGAACGATAATTTATTTAATGAAAATAACACAGGGTGAAATATGGTAATGTTAATAAAGTCATTAAATGATTAAATTAAAAATCCAAATCTAAATATGACAACATCATGGAATTAAAATTAAAAATAGATAAAATATAAAATAAAATAAAAAGTAAAAATGATAGTCCACAACCCGTAGAATGAGAGCCCAATTTGCGTGAGTGGGAATTGGGGAAGACTAGAAGCTGAACTTCCGGTGACACTAATAAACCGTTAATTAAACTTTAACAGCCGTCAAGAAACACAATCCAAGAAAAGCTTGCGCAACGACCCGAACAGAAAAGAGGGAAAGCACAGCAGAGTTGCATAGATAGAGAAAGAGAGCGCTATATACACCCAGAGGAGGTTTTGATCAAGAAAAGCTGAGGAAAGATATATGGGTATGGATGAAGTCGGTAGTTATGGGCTGTTGAAAGATCTTAAACTGGAATTTGAAGATAGAGTACAAAATGGGGGCATCACTTTGTGTTTCTGGCTTTACCTAAACAACCCCACTGCTCTCCCTTCTACAATTCTTCATCAGGTTCTCCTCAGATTTCCCAAAGTTTCTCGTGTTTTTTAGGTGCTTATATGTGTATGTATATATTCTGTAAATGTGTATAGGTACTAGCATCATGTTTATGAGTGGGTTGTGGAATTAGCTATTTTTAGGTGTTTTGTTTTCTTTTAATCTGATGTGTGGACTGAAATGATGGTGTATATAGTTAGCATTGATGATTGGTTTCTAATTTCCTGAGTAAAAAGATCATAACTTTTTTGGATTTGGGGATGATCTTGTATTTCAACAGGTGCTTTTTGGAGTTTGAATGCATTTTCTAAGCATTTTCATCGACTTATGTAGCTAAAGATAGGATTTTTGTGTGATATACCCTTCTATACTGGTTGGTCTGTGAATTTTCATAGGAGAGGTACTGCCAATTTTGCAACTTTAGAATTTTGTATTTGTGTTTGGAAGCCTGCTAGGTCTAATTGTGTGCTTTGTTCCTTAAAAGTCTTATAATTGAACTTATGTGTCTAAAGGCTGGAAATTTGTTAAGTATGATGACTTATGCTCTTGTGATATATGGACGACTCATCATATTTGACAATTTAAGTCATAATTTTGTAATAAATAATGGAGATTGGACTACTTCCAAGCATAACATGTTGCATTCATTAAAGATCTTGAATTTCAAAGTATATATTGAAAGACATTCTACATCTTGTGTCCTGTGTGCGCCTGTAGAACTAAAAATGTTTTCTAGATCCTTATGATTTCTTCTCTTGCTATGATTTTCTGCTTCTTTGTGATTGAAGCTAGAAAGCCAAATAATTTCATAAATTTTCTATCATGCAGGAGCACCCAGATATTGCTTCCAATGCTCCTTTCCTTTTATTAGATGAACAGAGTAGAATCATGCTTTTCCCATTGATTTGTCTACACCAAGAGGCTTCAAGACCTTCCAATGCCATTTGCTCGAAGCAAATTCCATGTGCATCTAACAAGAACGAATTCCCTGTGAAGAAGTGGGTTCATATTGCATGTGAGGTACAAATCTTATATATTTCTTTCCTTCATCATGCTTCCCTTTTATTATTTTGAGTGATGAACAGCTTATCGTATACTGCTAATAGTGGTAGTATTGGAAGCCTTACTGCACTCTGTTATGCCTGTTAAGTATTACAATATTCTAATCTTGCCATGGCAAATTAGACGTTTTAGACTTTGGTGTTCTGTTGTGGTGTTGACATTTAAAATATGAATTTGAACTTCGGGTCTCCTGACTTAAAACAGATAATTTGGTTTGTCCTTGCCTTTGGTTCTGCATAACTTTGTGCAGCCCAAAGCTAAGTGCAATACGTGCACCTATAGCTCTCTAAGATTTTACTATATAAATCATCAACACACATTGCAGCCTTCTGGTGACCACGGTTAATTTCATATACAGAATGTGCTTCAGTGGCTCTCTATATATAATGCACATAAAGAAAGAGTTATAATGCCTAATCATGATTAGGAATCTAGAACCTGGGGGGTTTGGTTGAATGGAAGGGACTCATCCATCCTTAACCAAAGGTCAAGGGTTCGATCCTTGGCTTTGGGTATGGAGCAGTTTTAAATCTCCAGGCCATCTTGAGTGGATGTTGAATGGGAATATAGTATAATCTACTAAGGAGCTTCTACCTAATCTTAAGGCATGCACTTGGTAAGGATTCTTGTTCAATTGTTGGTCTCTTTTTGCTGATCATGTACTTGAGTGCTATTTATCTCCTTCAATAGATGCTTACCCTATGTTCTTTTCAGATCTCGCAAGTTATTTTGCGACTGCACATTGATGGGGAGATTGTTGGAGAGAGGCCTTTGACTTCCTCTCTTAATAATGATTTGCATTCTGATGTTTCAAAGAAGGTATCTCTATGTAGCATACGGGGAAATGATGATGGGTTGCAAGGTTATGTACATGGCGTAGAACTCTTCCATCAAGACTCATCTATTCGAAGTCACTACCTTAAGGTCTTCATATGAATTTAAATAGTGTTTCTGCATTCATGTCAATGTTGTCCTTGCTCACACTTCCCATCTCTGCAGGACAGTCCGCTACAACTATCTATTGATAGTTCAAGTGCCTATGAAATCGATGAATACAATGATGGTGTATGGAGCATTGTTGGTGGGAAGGTTAAGAACACGAAAATGTTTTTCTTCTGTTATTGTTGATTTCTCCTTATGTACTTTAATCTCAGCCAACTCTAGATGGCCCTGTTTGGTAAATGGTTGTTAGCTGATAGCTGTTAGCTGATTGGGTTAGAGGGTATGATTAATTGATAACATTAGCTGATTGTAGAAAGGTGTTTGGTAAATTAGCTGTTTGGTATAATTTCTTTTCTCAAAAAGCTAATTGAAAAAGTTGCCTTGAGCTGCTTTTTGAATTTAGCATTTTGGAGTTACAAAAAGTTGATTAACCAAACAATTATATTGATTTTTTTAACCAAGCCAAACAGCTAATAGTGGTCAAATAAGCCAAAATTGGCTGATAAGTTAACTATTTTACCAAACAGGTACGTAATTTGTGTGCACTGATTTTCTGTGAAATTTGTAGTGTTAATGTTAGTGATATAACAGCTGGCCACGTTCACACATAGGTGTCTGTCGAATATGTATATTTGCTTGCACTGCAATGATTATACTCCATACATTTTGTAGGGATAATGGTTTCCTATTGGTGAAAACATTGTCAATTAGCTTTGAAAGGCTTACTACCTGTAATATGTTCTTAGTTTTTTCTGTATGCTTTATGAATAACTTCTTTATTTTTTTGAAAAAACAGGCATCTTGTCGCAAGAATTTCTCGCTAGACGTTATGTTACTTGATGCCCTTGGCAAGCCTGCATATAAAGAACTGGAGGTTTTCCTTTCGTGTTTTATTCATTGTACAAGTTAAGCAAACTCCGAGTGTGAATGTATTTACACGTGCATTTCTTACCATCAGGTTTTCGCTTCACTTGTATTTGCTGATTCTGAGGCACCCGTTGAGAAGCCGCTTGATGGTGAGGCTCCGCTTCTTACAAGTTACGATGGACTTGAATTTGATTCATCTGATCGACCAAGCAAACTGATTCAGGGCCGTGCTTCCTTCAAGCTCAAGATATCTCAGGTATCGTGTATTTGCAATTCTATTATTTTAACAAAGAGTACAGAAATCTTGATTTGTAGTTTTGAGTGGCATCGTTGAACTAGAGCATCTATCGATTATTAGCTTTTTTCTATTTATCTCAGCTCTCGTCCAAGTGTGATAATAGGCTCTTCCGCATTAAGTTTGGCATTCAAAAAACGGGTAGATATCCGTTCCTTGAGGCGTTGTCCATACCAATCCGATGTATATCTCGGAGCCGTACCTCAAGGTCATCTTCTGTAACAAGGAAAAAGTCGCCATCTTCTATCCATTTGGATGGTGGATTGCCCGAGGTTCTGCATAACATTGTTCATGAAGCAAAGCAGAGCCCTTCATCAAAGCGGGTCAAATTAGGGCAAGAGAAATCACTTGCAGTTTTCAAGGATGATTGTATATTGAAGGAAGCCGATGAGGAATCGAAATCTCATATGTGGACTACTAATGAGGTAGCTATTAAATGTGTTATTTCTGCATTAGTAGAACTTTCGATGAATTATATGATATTGATTAACATGGTCAAAATACATAATTGCAATGTGTATTTTTTTTTTTTTTTTTTTTTTTTCTTGTATCTAAACTAGGGCAATAATAATGCATATAAGACTGGTGCTGTGGGGAGGCCAGAGAGTCGTGATGGAGCAGAAAACTTCTCGTCTGATTCAGAGAATAGCGAAGCAACAAACTCAGTTCCGGGCAACTTTTCTCCTCACAAAGGTCCAATTTCAGATCTGATTATTTTCAAATACTGCCTCGGTGGCGTCAGTGAGAGGTGCCTTTTGCTAAAGGAAATTGCGATGACTTACAAAGAAGAAGCGCTCGGTAGCTTTGCTGAGCAGGTTTCTTTGTTCTCGGGATGTGCGCATCACAGGTATGTATTCTGGACATTAAATTGGCTTGTGATAAAAATCGAAAAACCCTAATTTCATTATTCACATTTATCCCGTTTCTTTCATTTTTTCACCAGTATCCTAATAAGATAGAAGACGTTCCAGATTGATTCACAAATTAGCCACGGGTTTTGTGCTTACAAGTGCATACTTTATACCTCTTTTTTCATATGAAGGAGCTTTTATTTTCAGGCGTCAAATACTAATCTCCAAGAGACTTATTGAGGATGGTATAAAGTGTTGGAGCTTTATATCGAGAAATAGCCACAATGTCCTCTGGGATAATCTGGTGACGGGGCTTCAGGACCATTTCATGAAGTTAACATTCTGCACAACCAGATCCTTAACAAGACAGGTATGACGACTTTCACCATATTCCACCGACCAACCCCCCCCCCCCCCCCCCATGCCAAAAGCTATAGCTAGTAGCGAAGACGCAATTTTATTTCCTTATAGACCGCCATCACATTTTCGAGAGGCAGGGTGCTGGACTTTTGAAAATTCATATAGAAATCGCATTGCAAAAGAATGACTTTTGAAAATTCCTTCGTATTCCATCCAGGATTTCGAGATTTTGAGGAGAATAGCTGGTTGTCAAGAGATGGTCTCTCAAGAAAACTTTGAAAAGATGTGGTGCTGGTTGTATCCCGTTGCTTTTACGTTATCTCAGAAGCAGATGAACTCGTTGTGGAGTTCTTTGTCGCCCAAGTGGATGGAAGGATTCATTACAAAAGAAGAAGCGGAGTCTTCCCTGCTGGGCCCCGGAGGTGTTCAAGCCCCGGGAACTTTCATATTACGTTTTCCAATGTCAAGGAGCTGGCCTCACCCGGATGCTGGTACTTTGGTTGTCACTTATGTCGGCAGTGACTATACCATTCACCACAGGCTGTTGTCTCACGAATCTGTTTACTGGTATATACTCCGCACTCTCTCATTTTCTCGATACTAACCATTCTAGATACCTGTGTTAAGAGTCTCACATTGAAAATATAAGAGAGAACATATGAGTTTATAAGGTCATCTATGGGTTAGACTGGCTAATTGATTGAATTCAGTTGTCTAGTATAGTTTGGCTCATGTGCATTATAGGTCAGTTGAGTGACTTTGACCCAATCTTAGATTATAACGACCTGCATGCACAAGAAAATGACATGTTCCCTCTCCATTGTATTTTTAGCTCCAAAGAAATGACAGGGAAGCCTCTACAAGAGATGCTGCTCGAAGAGCCTGAATTGTCCCGATTAGGAAGGTGAGATCCTCAACCGTTTCAATCCACTTTTCTCATTCTGAAACTCTTTGGCATTGATGGGAAAATTCTCGAAAAAATGCAGGACTTTGAGAGGTCAATAGTTGGTTGAGTTTAAACTTTTATGTATGTATACATATAGTCATCTCCCGGGTTGGATGGCCTCTACATACAACATTCTTCCTGTCTCCATCTTATGCCCAGTCCAGTTGGTTAAGCTGTTTTACAGGTGGCCTCAGTGGTTTTAGATTTTTCGATTTATACAGTGAATATGTAACTTTTTTTTTTTTTTTGAAGATGATAAATCTCGACTTTTCACGGTCATATTTCTCTCGATTCACGTAACAGTTGAGATCAAAAGTGTTGTGGTTTAATTGGTAGCATTTGGAAGTGCAAGTTGAAGGTCTTAACTTCACAGGATTCATACTATGATTGAAGACTTTTAATAAAAGGACAGAAATGTAGATATATATATGTGTGTATTTGACAGCCAAATGTTTTGGGTAAAGGCCAAAATGATGGTGGTGTTTGGTAGGTTTGTATTATGTACAGCTAAAAAGGTTCCAAGTTTCATGTGCCAAATAATCAATGCCACAATTCAACTATTCATCATTTTATATCATACGTAATGAATATCACTTGGTAAAAGTTTCTATTCATCATAATAATAATGACAAATATCAATCACTATTACATTATTTCTTAAAGTTGTTTTTTCATATCTAATACATTTACAAGACATGTCTCAATCGACATGCCAAACAAGATAAGATGAGACTTATCATATACTCCGTATATATTTTTATTACATCAATTATTTCTTAAATTTATCTTTTCATATCGAATACATTTACTAGAAATGTCTCAATTGGCATGGGGCTACCAAACAATATAAGGTGGGGCTTATCTTATAAATTTGTTTTTAATTCAGGATGCTATGTATCAAATTATAAGTTACAATTGATCAATAAATATCGCTAAAATAACACCTAAAATAATAGTGGATAAATAACACAATTTACATAAAACAGACAAGTAATATGATATTATTAAATTATTACTCACTTAGGCTAACAATAACCCCAAAAGTTTATCACTTTCAGGTGAGGTGGAAAAAACTTTATTATTATTATTATTATTATTATTATTATTATTATTATTATTTATTTTATAATTATTGTAAACTTGAAAATTTAGTAGTGATAATATTCTAACTTTAATTTCTCGATCAAAACAAAGGGTATAGATATGTCCACACTTTTTATAAGAAAATGTGTTTTCACCTGAATCCTCCCATACACGCACATATGTATATATTGAAAAAATATACTAATTTATTATTGTGATGTGCAAGTGAGACCATTTTTGAAAGTGAAAGAGTACTGAAGGGATGTAGATAAAATAGTAAATGAATTGCAAATATGGTGAGGTACTGAGGCATGATTTTTTTTGAGTTAATTCCACCGGAGGTCCATTGTCTTTGGTGACAATTCCAAATTTAGTCCCTACTATCGTTTTTGTCATTTTACATCTCAGACTATTGTTTTTTGGACACTTTTAGTCCTGCTCGGGATTTTTTCTATTTTTAGTAAGGGCATTTTTGTCTCTTCATATTTTTCTTTTGTTATTTTTCCGGTTTCAACCAGTTTAATTGGTTTAGGACTTTACTAAAAATTGGTTGAAAAATATGATTACTAAAAATCAGATGTTACCTAAAGTTCTAAACCAATTAAACTGGCTGAAACTGGAAAATAACAAAAGAAAAATATGAAGAGACAAAAATGCACTTACTAAAAATAGAAAAAATCCTGAGCATGACTAAAAGTGTCCAAAAAACAATAGACTGGGATGTAAAATGACAAAAACGATAATCTGGAATTAAATTTGGAATTGTCACTAAAGACAAGAGACCTCCGGTGAAATTAACTCATCTTTTTTAAATTGAGAGTATTTAAGGATAATGTTAGGCTTAGAATTCATGACTATTGGTTCTGACATTGAAGACTTATGATATAATTGGGTAGGGTATGTATGAATCCCAACCATCATTTTCTTGGACTTAAAACAAAGCAACCTACGAATGTCAACAAAAGTGAGTAGCCACATTTTATTATGTGAAACCATGAATCAATCAGACCATGGTCTGAAACCTCATCACTATTAATTTCTTCACTAAATCAAAATCCCCACTAAAAACATGAAGTCCGTGTTAGAGCAATAGTTGAACCAACAAGCTAAGCTAGGATCATATATATCATAGGATTAGTACAGTGTGAGAGCACTTGCAGATCAGATCATCAGAATCGAATGGGGAATTCTCGGATTCTTCCATTCTACATCACAGTATGCGTAGTTTCGTTCGTGATCTCGAAGATTGTGATCACAGTACTATGTTATCGCAGGTGGAAGAGAAAACAAATGGAGGTTCACGACAGTTTGTCTGCAGGTAACCTAGCCTTCTAGGTTGTTTTTTTGAGTGTTTTTGGGGATTCGATTTGTCTGATATATAGAGATGGATGGATCGAAATGGTGAGGTGCAGGTGGGAAGCTAGTGATGTTTAGAACAGCGAAGACGAAGGGAGTGAAGAGCAGCGCGTTGGTGAAGAGGACGATGAAACTGAGCAACAAAGACATCATTGGATCCGGAGGTTACGGGACGGTGTTCAGGCTGTCAATGGAGGAAGAATCAGAATCAGAATCAGAATCATCGTCGGTGTGTTTTGCAGTGAAAAAGCTGAATAGGATTAGTGCGGAGCAGGACAGAGGTTTCGAGAGGGAGGTGGAGGCGATGGCGGACATAAAACATAGGAACATACTCACACTTCATGGATACTATACTACTCCTCACTATAACCTTCTCATCTATGAGCTTATGCCTAATGGGAGCTTGGATCAACTCCTTCATGGTATGTCTTCTTAGCTCCAATGTCTTACAATCCCAATATTTTGTTATTTCTCACATAGGCTAATCTGGGTTTGCTATTTTGTTGATAAGTTTCAAATCTTGATTTCTTATTCTAAATATTATCTACTGAATCATTTTACTAAGCCTGTGCGGACACCACTCTACCCATTTCAAGGCTAGATAAGCCAGGGAGGCCAGCGGATGACTAGTAATGATGGAGCTGGCCAAATGACAATTCCCATTTTGTAGTACTATTTATGAGTCATATTTGGTTGGTGGGAGGTATAAGCTAGCCAATTGGTTTGCCTACTCTTATCCTGTTAGAGCATTCTCAATAATTGTGATTTTTGAGGAGTTTTTATAGTGTGAATAAGAAAGATAATATGGAAGGGAAGAGCAAAAAGAAAGAAAAAAACAAATTTGACACCAAAAAAGAAAAAAGAAAAAAAAAAAAAAAAAAAAAAAAAAAAAAAAAAAAAAAAAACAGAAGCCATTATGCGTCCAAGGGCACGGGCAGTGCATGCACCCATTGGACGCGCAAGGTGCGCTAGACGCACCCAATGGTGCACCTTCCTTCCTCCACGTAGGACCCACTTCTCTGTCAAAAAATCAAGTCTTTATTGGAGACATTTTTTTTTATTTTTATTATTTCTCCTCACCCTCTTTCCTCCGCTTCATCCTTATTTTCTCAAAACTCTCACGAAAAATCATTGGTGGGGATGCTCTTATATCTACTGTTTGATTTAGGGTTTAGGAATCAAGAGTTTGGATTGCATCTCCCTCAAATGCTGCCCAACATTGTTGGGTGCAAATTGACCAAAATTTTCCTAATTCCTGTTCAACTTTAATTTAAATGCGTCCATTTGAGTTGTTTTACTTTTCAAGCTATCAATCATTCAATTGTACTGTCAACTTTTCAACGTGCTTTAATTTGACAATATATTTCCTATTTATGCGGAGGAAAATTATAAAATAACTCAAATTTTTTGCTGATTGTTTATCCAATAAAAAAAAAATTATAATTCACTTTTTTTTCCTCGAAATCGATTATTAGAACGTGTTCACATTAGTAAGGAAAATATGGCTAAAATGATTGAAGCTAGATTTGATTATATCAAGTTTAACTTATTCTTATTCTTTTTTTTTCTTTAATACTACCGTCTCGAACCCATAATTATTCTTATTCAAAAAACTTATACATACATCTAATATCATTTATAGTTAATTGGGAAAAAATTAAACAACATAAAATTGCCTTTAGTAATAAATATTTATAATAAAATGATGATGATGATGGTGCAGGGAAATGTTCAAACAAGAAGGTATTGGATTGGAATTCGAGATTAAAAATAGCTTTGGGAGCTGCAAGAGGATTATCATATTTGCACCACGATTGCATTCCTCACATAATCCATAGAGATATTAAGTCTAGCAATATATTGTTGGATCACAATATGGAAGCTCAAGTGTCTGATTTTGGACTTGCCACTCTTATGCAACCTGACAAGACTCATGTTTCAACATTAGTTGCTGGAACCTTTGGCTACTTGCCTCCTGGTATGTCAAACTTACCCAACAACGTTGTTGTGTATATGTAAATGTGGAGTTGAGTCATTTCTTCATATTTGAAAAAAAAAAAAAGTAATTAATTTGGATTAAATTCATCAACTTTATAAGACCGACATCTAAACTTTACACCAAAAGCCAATTAGGCACCTAAACTTTTAAAAAGTGCAATTAAACTCTCAAACATGTTATTTTTGGTTAAATAAGTCAAATTTGCCTGTAAAATTACACTATTGACTATATTTTTTCCCTTTGACCGGAGAAATCTTACCGAAAAATATCATCATCGACCAAATGATCGTCTTTTGAGTTAGAATAACGTATTTAATTTTATGAGTTAAAATAATATACTTTATATATTTTAAGAGTACTATGGTCCACACAGCTGTGTGAACCATGGTCGATGCAATAATGATTGATCCATCTCCCCCTATGCAATGGTGATTGGATTTTGAGTTTTGGAATATATCATAATTTCAACCTGTGAGCAGTTTTTTGGGATGTATACTTGTAGTCATATTTATATAATATGAATTTGTACATTTATCGATTGTTATATATTTGTTGTATTCAACTATGTGATCATGGAGGAATTAATCAATTGTTATACCATGGATAAGGGTTCACCATGCATTGTGTACTTTGATCCAAAAATTATGTGTTGATCTGCAGTTAACATATAATGTGCTTTCAAACTTTTAGTTAACAAATGATGTACATGTAAATAAATTGAAAGCACATAATATGTTAAATACTACAAAGTACAAACACAATATATATGTTAGCTGCATGATTTAATTTACCAAAAAAAAAATATTAATTTGTATTGCTTAATTGTAACTCATTTTCTTACAAAATTAATTGCATGCAGAATACTTTGACACTGGAAAAGCTACAATGAAAGGAGATGTTTATAGTTTCGGAGTAGTCCTTTTAGAGCTTTTAACAGGAAAAAAACCGACAGACGAAGTGTTCATTGAAGAAGGATCAAAGCTAGTAAGCTGGGTAAAGGCAGTTGTTGCAAGCAAGAGAGAACAATACGTAGTTGATAGCAACTTGGAAAAGTGTCCACTAGATGAGACAATCCAAGTTTTTAATGTTGCAATGATGTGCCTTGAATATGAGCCATCCAAGAGACCAACCATGGCTGAGGTTGTTAAGCTGCTTGAACAAATAAAGCTAGATGCTTTAGTATGAGTTGCTTAATCTTAGGGGGTGTTTGGTTCAAGATATGCAAGATAACTAAGGTAATATGTGCTTTGAAATGTTAGATTGTCATGTTTATTTGATTCAAATTATATTATTTTTCTAAGGAATGTGACTTACTCTCCACATAGGATTTTGATCTATTTTTTACGAAATATGCATGACTCCCTTACTTGTCTTAGGTTATGTGAGATTCCCTTGCATTTTTACTCTTTATGCCCTTTTAACTATATATAATGTTTAATCTTTAATCAATATGCTATAACATATTGCATAAATTAGCGTGTGTCTGTGTGTATATTTACCAAAAAAAAAAAAAAACACACACACACGCACACGTGCACACGAAAGAAAATAATCATGATCTTTTAATATTTTTGGAAGGAATGTGAATATGTGATACACTTCCCTTCCTTAAGAATCTTGATTTAATATTTCTAGACTAGATGGAATGTTATTAGCTTGCTACTTAGCTTATTGCATGTGTGCTAGCTAATTATTTTTAAATTATTTACTTATATATTTTTATCATTGCTTATTTAATTATTTTAATTTTGAAGTTTATTGACACACAGTAAAATAACCATTATAACATAGAAGATAACCCTCAACCAAACAAGTTTATATTACATACCTCAATTTTAACCAAACACAAAAATCTAACATTCTTTACAATCCAACATTTGCTAAGATAATCTAACATTCCGTGAACCAAACGCCCCCTTAAGGTGTCTGTATAATACAAGAAATAACAATATATATATATATATATATATATATATATATATATATATATATATATATATATATAACGTCATTTTAATGTTATTTAAACATATTTGTTGATGACAAAGGACAACAAATGGTCTTACCACAATAATTAAGGCTAAATGGGGATGTGTTTTGAAAAAAAAAAAATAAATAAATCTAAAAGTAAACTAACATCTATAAATGTAGGACCAAAAATGGAATTAACTCGGAAAATCTTACATGCCACCCCTAATTTCTTTAGTAAGTAGTACTTGTGCACTATTTTTGAAATAAGTATGCCAATTTATATTACCTATTGTAATTGAAAGTTTGAAACCTTAACAACTTGAGATGTCATCATGTCAATTTATGATGCTAAATATAAAAGGAGCATAATTTTAATTTTCGTTTATTTAAGTGTGTTTTATTATTAATGGTTGTAACATGATCCACACAACATATCCTACCTTAAATTTCCAAGAGTCTAGTCTCGAGAAGAAAAATTCAACAAGGGACAACCCACTACTACCTAGCTAAGTTGATCGTAATCACAATGTTCTAAGTTTGACTCTTGATGAGACTTGAGAGTGGCCTATTAATTTTTTTAGTTTGAGCTGATAAACTATATATGGACAACTTATACTGGTTTACTTCATTGTGATCCTTTGTTGGCTTGGATCATAAGACGAAATTTACTTGTACTCTCTATGGTAGTGACTACAGATTGTTCTGTTAAAAAAAAAAATATATGAAACAATGTTTTGCTTCAAAAACAGAACTTCAATTCCAAAGATGAACGTTAGAATAATGTATGTATGGTGGACCAAGTAGTTTTGACAAAGGTGGCAGAGTTGGTTGAATTAGGCGTGTTATTATAATAAATGTAACATAAATTATTTTGAAATAATAAGACGACGCGCGACCTACCGTTACGGTAATATGAATTATTATATCAATTACGGAGTAATTAATAGCCACCATAGAAGATGCTATTGTCTTCTCTATTACATAATGCTATTTTTTTTTTTTTTTTTTAAGTTTTGAAGTTTTTGTGCATTAGGTGACCATAAAGCTTAATCTCGTATGCCTAATTTATTCAATAATTATATGTTACATACGCAAATAGCACGTAACTAATTATCTTAACAACTTTGTAAATTACGGAGTAGAAGAAAAAAAAAAAAAAAGAAACCTTACTTATAACGTAACTTGTAGAGTAGCATTCAATGTCTGTGGGCCACAATTTAGAGGGTATTTATTTTTTTTTTTTGAAAACAATTTAGAGGGTATTTGTTTCAATAAACATTTTAAGGAGAAATTTATCACAAAGGATCAAATATCAAATTTCATCTTTGGTAGTGTGAAAATAATTTCTAAAAAAATCTAGTCAAGGTACATTTGCGTCATCATCATTTACTCGTCTACAATTTGGATGACGAATTTCACCTTTTGTCACCGAATTTGGTAGTGTGAAAGTAATCTCTAAAATAATGCTCGCACCGGCTTAACTCAGTGGTTCAGTAAGCAGTATTTGGGGGAAGATATAATGTACGAACTTTGACAGTGACAGTGTGGAGATTATGTCTAAAGTAGACAGATCACTTGTGTTCACCGACATTTAGTCTTATCCCGTGATTTACATTCTTCTAAGGGGACGTTTGGTTCACAGAATGTTAGATTACCTTAGAGAATGTTAAGGTATGTTAGATTTCTGTGTTTAGTTTAAAACTAAGATATGTAAATAAGATAACGGTAATAAAATAAATTGATTAAAAAATACAAAGCCCAACATTAGTAATAAGACAAGGGAATGTGAGATTACTTGAGAAATTGGAGGGTATCTCACATTCCCTTTCAATAGCTAAAAACTTAATGCGGAGGTTATCTGACATTCCTTGGAAAAGTTACATAATCTGAATCTGGAAATCTATATTATCAAGCAAATATAACCGTGGTTATCTTATATAACCTGAACCAAACGTCCTCTAAATGTTTTATCGAACCGGAGTGTGGGGCCTGCGAGCTTGGAGATTCAACGTAACTTTAGGTAGAAGGAAAAAAAAAAGTTAAAGAGGAAGGGAGGAGGCATTTGCATTGGAAATTGAATGTTTGGTGTAGCTTTCTTGGTCCCTTTCCCAGAAAAACAAAACGTTCCACGTAACGGATCACGTGCGAATGATTTAGCCGTTAAGCCTTTCCCAGTTCTCAATTCTCAGCTCCATGCCTCCATTCCACTTTAAAACTCTGCTAACACCTGCTTCTGTTAAACCCAGAAATCATTCACTCACTTGTACTTCCCACCTCCACTTCAGATCAACAGACCCATTATATATATATATATTGCTGAACCGATCACTTAATTGTACAAATTTGATCTCCCAGTCTCATCATCAATCAATCAATGGCTAAAACTGCCGTAGCTTTCTCCCTTCTCCTCATGCTTCTGTCCTTCCTCTCAGGTATATATGTTAATTTTGAATCTCATTAATTTCCAGGCAGATTTTTGAATTGGGTTGAACCATATATGCTTGAAATATAAGTTTTAATTCCTCAAAACCCTTATTACAAATAAATGCATTCTTGTTTGTCATATATATGTGCATTATATTCTGATACATTTCCTGTCATCTTTATAGATCTGCAATGGTCTTGGATTTGCCTATTCGATCACTTAATTTCTTTTAGGACTTAATCAAACCACCCAAAAAAAAAGTACATTAATTGTCTCAGATCAGTTTCTTGATTGCCTGGATTGGCTTTGTACTTGACCAATATTGATCATACATGTATGTGAAGTCAAGCTGCTAGTAATAATTTTGTGTTTGTACTTACAAATGTTTATATCTCCAACTTTTGGTTAGTTGTTGATTTTGATATGGTCACATCCATGAGTAATTGATAAATATACTTGCATTGATTCTTGCTTTTGTTGTGTATAGTAGGTGGGACCTTGGCACTCAAGAATGAACAGGTACATATTCTTAATCCCAAGTTAAAATTTTTCTTTAAAAAAAATAAATTTTAACCGTTTTCATTTTGAATTGTTGAGACTAATGTTGAAAGTAATTAAGATGAAGGGATATGATGATGAATTACACTAATTAATTAAATTTAAAGTAGTATTGGTGTTGTTGTATGGTATGGATTTCCAGAAAACATGGTGTGTGGCAAAGCCTTCATCAGATGAGACAACCTTAAAGAACAACATAAACTATGCTTGCTCCAATGTGGATTGTAAGATGTTGCAAAAGGGATGCTCTTGCTTCTACCCTGACAACTTCATCAACCATGCTTCCATAGCAATGAACCTTTACTATCAAGCCAATGGAAGGAACTACTGGAATTGTCACTTTGGTGGATCTGGCCTTATTGTCTTGACTGATCCTAGTAAGTCAATTCAACTTTTTTAAATTAAACAAATTTTCATTCAAAATTATACAAAACTCAAAAAGAAACAAAATCATTAAAATCTCTCAATATTTATCCTCTTCTTTTGTCTGTATAAAATTTTGCAGGTTATGGAAGCTGCTATTATGCATGATTGGTTGGCCTCTATTGTATTGCTAGTTAAATAATTAGAGCATTGGATGATTGTATTGTAAACAAAACACTGTTTTATTTTAGCAAAATAGCTAGAATTTGATGAGGAGTACTCTAGTCTGGCTTTTAGAGTAAATAGGCGAGACAAGGATATTTTAATGCTTGCATTCGAATCCTAGTGATATGAGTAGATCATGGAACAAATAAGATTATCTAAGAACGTTCTCAATTTAGTGGTACGGAGTAAATCATCTATAGTTGCACGAAATCTCCTTTTAGTCCGAGTCCAATTGAGTTTCTGTTGCAATGTGTGGTAACTTCAAGAATTCACGAGCAAGCGTGTCGAACTCTAAATAATGGTTCTAAAGGGTTGAAGAATTTAAAAAGTTATTAATCAAGAATTAACACCTACACTTTGAGTGTAAATTAAAGGTGAAACTTGAAAATAATTCGAAGGAATTTCATTAAATCAAGACTTAAGACTAAAGGGGTGGCCAAACCCCACTTATATGAATAGTGTTAGGGTTCAATCAGATACACTTACTTAAGGGGCAAGATACATAATTTTCTAATCTACTTTGAAAAGCAAGAAAGGTAATTAGTTTAGGAAAAGAAATTGAAGATTCCTTTCTTCCTAAGAAGATTACCCAGAATCAACAAAAATACAATTAAAATAACCTTTAAGTTTTCAAAAAAAAAAAAAAATCTTTAAACTCTTGGTCTTCATTTGAGCTTGGACTTTTATTTAAATTCCATCATCTTTGCACATGTCTAATAAAGAGTTGCCTTAGCTGATTGGACTTGGATCTTGTTATGGGCCAAATTGACACTCGTAATGGATCAGTATCACATAGAAAAAGGCTCAGTCGACTATACATTTTAATTACATAAGACACAAAAATTTGTACGAGTAAAGACAAAACATGATTATTCTTTATATAAAGTCTTGAAAATTGAAAACATGACTCCCTTGTGCTACAAGTTCCCTCTTGCCTTTAGATGCAACTCTCATTCACAAATATGAGTAACTAATTTTCTCAAGGTTAGATTGTTGTCATGTTGCAATATACAAAAAAAGTTCTTGACTAAACTTTTATTTAGTCCCTTGTCATAATGATAAAATTTCAATCCATACGTTTCTTGAAACATCACTGAAGATATATACTAGAGAAATAAAACCCAAGCATTCTCTTTTATTGTATAATTGGATATTAAAATTTCTAAATGATAAAAAGAGATATAGAAGGAAACTTGAAAGATTCTTTGGTTTGGTTTGAATTTAATTTTTTAGAATCTATACGTTTGTAAATGAGAATGATTTATTCTATAAAGATGTAGTTATCTAGCCATATGAATAGTATATATATATATATATATATATATATATATATATATATATATATATATATATATATATATATATATATATATATATATATATTAATGAACAGTAAAAAAAAAAGAGGGAACACTAAAAAATGATGGAAAAACTGACGGCTAATTAATAAAAATAAAAATTATTTTTCTCTCAAGGGTTGAATGACTTGAATCCCCAAAAGAGGCCCCCACACTCCAAGTAAAAATTATTCTTTCTCCCAAAGTAAAAATTATTCTGCATCTACTATCAGATGCATGAAGAAAAGTCCTACTTTTTATGACAAGTCATATGTTGCATGGAAATCAATCACAAGAGAAACTATTCTTGTATTTCAAACACGTTTTTCTTTTAAATTCATAGAATAAGTATAATTGTTTAGAAACCCATTAACAAATGTCGCTTTGGCCGAGTGGTTAAGGCGTGTGCCTGCTAAGTACATGGGGTTTCCCCGCGAGAGTTCGAATCTCTCAGGCGACGATTTATGATTTTAATGATGAAATAGATCAACTGTTGCGTATAGAACTAGATGAAAGTCGCAGTACTGTACTACTGATGAGCCACGCTAATAGCTGCCTGCCACTATATTTAATTTTGTTTTTCTTTTTAATTAATACTTCATTTTCACAAGATATTGTCTCCTAATCAGAATATGTCCTCCTTCATATTCTGAAAATTTGGGTGGAGTGATAATGGTATATATATTTTCATCCAGGTTTTACTTATTTTTTGTTTCTTAGGTGTATATTTATTTATTTTTTTTTCAAAAAAAGAGTGGTTACAAAATTTTTATTTATAAATTGACATATGATGAAAATTTTATTTTCAAAGAATTTACCAAATTACCATTTTCTTTTTCAACTTAATTAACTTTTGAATTTTTACCTTGTTTTTTTTTTTTTATTTTATGAATTGTGACCAAGCGTTATAATTAGGGATAAATAGTTTGATTCGGGTTATTCGAATTGAACCGAAATTGAATCAAATAGTTCGATTTTGATTTATTATTACAAATTGATCGGTTATATATTCTATAGACCGAATGGTTTCGGTTTGATTCAGTTAAAACAAAAACAAAAAATCAATTGGATATACATGCACACACACACCGTTTTAGGTGTGAACCATTGCTATCATGTGAACCTATGAACTTCCATGCATTGTTGAGATGTGAAATTGAACGACCAAGATTTGAGGAGTAGTGCAGTGGTGTGGTGCATTGATGCAATGATGTATATTTACCATGTCAAAATCATTATAAATCACAAGATCGATCAAGATGAACAGTACGTCAGTACATAATGGTACACAGGTTCACATGATAACATTGGTTCACATTTGAAACTAAACACACACACACACACACACACACACACACACACACACACACACACACACACACACACACACACACACACACACACACATATATATATATATATATATATATATATATATATATATATATATATATATATATATATATATATATATATATATATATTGAGTGATTCCGATGCGAAGAAGACAACATGTGAAATATGCGGATAAATCTCAGTCTTAGATCAAATGCTCTTTAAAAAAAAATTGACACCTACGATCTTCAACAATGTGCACTAAAAGACACAACAATGTGCTCTAGAAGGCTCAACAACGTGTAGTCCAAGGCAAAACAATATACACTTTGAAGGCACAACAATGTGACAATGTGCTCTCGAAGGCTCAACAATGTGGACTTTAAGGCAAAACAATATGCTCTAGAAGACTCAACAATGTGCTCTGTAAGGTGAACAATGTGCTCTGAAAGATACATTAGTATGCTCTGGAAGGCACACCATTGTGCTCTGAAGGGTACAACATTGTGCAATGCAAAATGAAAAAATGCTTGAAAGACAAAAAAAATTAACTTACAAAAAATTATCATATTGTCACTGTAATTTTTTTTTTTTTTAAATAGCTTCATTCTGACCCTTGATCTGAACTGAATAAATGGATGAGATTAAACCCTATTTTTCACATAAGGGGACCTTTTCATCTGATCTGTTATATATATAAATTTTTGTTTGGTAAATGACGGTTTGAAGCAGCAAATTTGCTTCAAAACACCAAAATCTGAAACGCTGCAATTTGCAGTATTTTAGATTGGCGTTTTAGGCTGTGGCCCAAAATGCCCTTATATCATTTTTAAAAAATATTGTTTTGTTTAATAGCCTCAGGCTTCTTAATAATAAATGGGCAGGGATAATTAAGGGGGCGTTTGAGCTCCTCTTTTAATGAGTGAGTTCAACGCCCTCTTTTAATTAGTTTTTCGATATGGGATTTTCAAATTTTTTAAAAACTATTATTATTGTTATGTGGTGATGATTATAGGGAATATACCTCGGGTTTAGACTCTCTGTATGCTCCATGCTCCTGTTTGGGTCGGAGTCAAGCGGTTCGGGTTAACCCTTGGTCCTATATAAATGACACTAGCCCTTCATTTTAAGGGGTTCCTCTCTTTCCTCCTTACACACACTCTCTCTCTCTACACGTAGAGAACACTCTCCCTTCTCTCTAGAAAATACAAGAACACTTATGAATAAAAGATCTCTTTGAACTACTTCTTCTTGCCTATTATCTACATTGTTCATACATATACTATAGTTTATACACACGGTATACTCTCTACGTACATCGGGTAATTGCCACTACCAGCTCTAAGTCCGGTTAGACCGCATATCGGCCTTAAGCCCTACGAGTTAGGCAATTGAACCCATGAGGTCGGGCTTCCCACGCCAAGTAAAACCAATCCATCATTGGCAAAGATTGATTGCCTGATCACGCTCAAAATCTGATCGCTCGATCGGTAACATGCAAATCCTCTATCGTGTTAGAGACTCAATCTCTTGATCGGTGAAGTCAGATAAGTATTCTCAAAGTCCTACAAGTTAGGCAAATCGACCATCGATGTTATGAGCATGGTCCGGTGCATTGGCATCATAGACCCGACTGGGTCATTTCCCGATCGCGGGCAAACTTGAGAAACTATCGTATTTACTCCCTTATGCTAATGATTCTTGCACCTAAGGGAGTGGGGGCTACACTGATAGAGTAGCTCGTTCGTCAAAGTGCTTCACGCGTAGATCGATCTTCCCGGTCTTGTAGATCGACCTTCCTGGTCTTGTAGATCGCTTCACGAGTAGATCGACCTTCCCGGTCTCGTAGATCGACCTCCCATGTCTTATTATCACTTCACACGTAGATCGACCTTTCCGGTCTCGTAAATCGCTTCACGAGTAGATCAGCCTTCTCGGTCTCGTAATCGCTTCACGAGTAGATCGACCTTCCTGGTCTCGTAATTGCTTCACAAGTAGAATGACCCTCCCGATCTCGCTATCATTAGACCATCGGGTCTCCTAGTGTCCCTCCGCTTGGGACTTTCGATTCGTTAACCGAGTGCACAAGGGGGAAATCGCCCCGATTGAATCATTATTCGTTTTTCAAAAACAAGTCTTAAGTCATTAACACGGTAATCAAAACCAACCGAGCGCAATCGGCTAAGAACGATCTTTTAGTCAAATAGTTTAGGTTAAGGTTTGACCGAGCTCAAATCGGTTGCGACTAGTTAGCCCAAGTGAATGGCATTGGGAAAAGCGTTCCCGTTTGCGATCGATAAGATCGATAGAGGCCTCCGGACCGTGAGCAAAATTCAATCTCTCGATTCGTGTAACCCGATCCTTAGATCGGTGAGAAATGACCTCCTTATCACGCAAGAGTTCTATTCTTAAATCGTGAGTAAATCTAATATCATGATTGGTAAAGTTAGATCTCCCGATCGCAATCAATCCAGCGTCCCGGTCGTACCTAGTAAGCCGGTCACTAGATCGGTAAAGTAGACCTCTAGATCACGGTTAACTCGTTCTCCTGTTCATAGCTAGCATCCCGATTGCCATATCGGTAAAATTCGACCCCTTATCATCCAAAAGACTGTGCTTATGGTTGTACTTTTTTTCCCTTAGCTAGAATTTTTTTCCCATTGGATTTTTCCTAGTCTAACGTTTTTTAACGAGGCAACCGATGCATGTCATGGACCGTGTAGTCGGCTTTTCTAGCCTGAACCCTTCCTCACTAACTCATCGTCATGGCACGGACTAGGGGGGCTTCTTGATGGGAAATATACCCCGGGTTCAGACTCCCCGTACGCTCCGTGCTCCTGTTTGGGTCGGGGTCAAGCGGTTCGGGTCAACCCTTGGTCCTATATAAAGGCCACTAGCCCTTCATTTTAAGGGGTTCCTTCTCTCCCTTTCCTCTACACACTCTCTCTAGTTAGAATCCTCACATCTCTCTAGTTAGAATCCTCTCAACTCTCTCTAGAAATAGTGAAAAACAACTCTCTAGAAATAGGGAAGAACAAGTGAACAACAATAAATAAAGAGGTCTTTGAGCTAGTATTCTACAAGGTCTACTCTACATTGTTCATTCATACAACACACATTCTACATACACGAGAATTAACCGTATCAAATAATAATATTATTATTATTATTATGAATATTCTTTTATGTCTTTTATCAATTAATTGTTAACATTAAACCGATAATACAATTCGATGGTCAAATCCGCTAACACAATTCTCTATTCATTATATGCGCTAATAGCTAACCTCTAATTGTCAAATAAGGCTTTGTTGTGAATGCTTCTATTTATGATTAATTAATTAATATTTTTCAAAAAAAAAGAAGAAGAATTACAAAATACTATCGACAGTTCGATACGCACACACGTTGTCTCGGGACTGTTAATTGTCCTTTTCCCTCCGGTTAGTCACTCATATACTATCTTGGTACGAATAAAAGCATTGGTCTAAAAAATTGATGAAATCAAATCCAAGAAATCATATTTATTGTGGTCTTTCTTGATCCACCCAGTGGCTGCTTGACAGTTCCTGTTGCGAAGTAGAGTTTCTCTTCTACTTCTCCTCTCCTTTCTCTGAGCAGCACCAGCTTGGGTTCAGTTCTTGCTGCTCTTCACACACAAGATTTGAACTTTCACGATTCAAGAATTGTGCTTTTGCCGGCGAATTTTTGAAATTGAGCAACTTTCTGAACTGGGTTCTTGATTTGAGGGAAATATTTTGCAATTTTGCTCGGTGGGTGTTCCCAGCATAGTTGAGGATGATGTCAGTGACCTACCATAATCTTGAGTTTGGAAGAAGTAGATTGGACTTTGGGGCTGCTGGGTGTTCTTCAAATGCCGCCATTGACGTGAGAAAGGTGACTAAGTGTGTGTTTAGGAATGTTAGCAGAGGAGGCTTCAATGCTCGGAAACTGCTATGTTGCCGCCGTGATATCGGCCACTGCCGGGTGTTTTGCACTGAGACTTCCGGCGGCCTGGTTAATGGTAATTTCTCTTTGCAGCTTCGATATTAATGGCAGTAAAAAACTGTGTTAGATAAATTGTATAGGTATTAGATTAACTGTCAGTTAAAATCCTACTTCAGCAGTTGCACCTGCTTCTCCTCCTGTGTTGGATTTGAAGGAAAAGCCCAGAAGCCCTGTGTTGCTAGCAAATATGTTTGGACCAGTTGCTGATGACCTCCTTACTCTAAACAAGAACTTACAGTCTGTAAGTATTCATTGAAAGTTGCTTTATTTTTCTCTAATTACTTGCCCACAAAAGGTGAAATAGGAACCCACACCCCGGCCCAATTGTGGAGGGATAAATCACAGTGACTCAGTGACCAGTGCGTAACTTGTGTCCTTGCCCACAATCTGTCATCGGGAATGGGGAACTTCTATTTTTGCATTATATGCCTAATTAAGTGATACCACTTATGCCAACCACCTTGTATTCAGATGGCACCTTTGTGACTCTCCTTGAGGGAAGGTCACAAGATCGAATCTTGGTGTATTGACTCTTTAGACTGCAATAGATAGAGAAAGTATAGAACAGATACTACATTGTATAGGAGGTGTTACAGTTTAGTAGATGAGTTGAGACATGCTTTGGCAATGGACCGGAATATATAGGAATAGTTGAAGCTTTGTTTTGACATATATGCATAGTCTTACTTACCGTAACCCTGAAAACACTTGAGACTTGCCCATAACGGAGGTTTTTAATAATTCTGTTTATGAACATTAATCTTGTGGTTGGAAGTGATAGGCCTTTCAATCCCTCAATTTGAACAGCTATGGATCTATTATTTTCTTAACAGGATATCCATCCTTAACCATCCGTAGATCATTTACCACTTTATACACGAGTCTGATTGAAATCATCTATTAGATTGTTGGTGCAGAAAACCCTGTTTTAATGTCTGCTGCGGAGCAGATTTTTGGTGCTGGTGGGAAAAGGATGAGACCTGCTTTGGTTTTCCTTGTTGCCCGAGCCACGGCAGAAATTTGTGACCTGAAGTGAGGATCACCGTTTTCTCTTTTGTTATTATACTTAATTGTGTACTATGTTGAATTGGCTTACTTAGGATTTGTAAAACATGTTTGCCACTCAGGGAATTGACCAGAGAACATAGGCGGCTTGCTGAAATCATAGAAATGATCCACACTGCAAGTTTGATACACGATGATGTTTTGGATGAAAGTGACATGCGTAGAGGTAGGCCTTTATTTTGATTATAAAGTGATTCTTGGAACTAAAGATAGAGCCGAGGTGCAAGGCTTTGCATCATGCCGGGTTGGGGAAAGATCCGAACTCATGACCTAAAGACCAACTGAGGAACCGTAGGCCTAAGTGAAGTCCCAATCTCGGCACTTGAAGATCAAAATTATTATTCCATTTGTTAGGATCAAGAGTTTACCACTAGGCCAAAAGTTATAGTTTGTAGCAAATGTGCAACTTTATTTCCTTATACTGCCGGGTGCTGGACTTAGCCCTTCAGACCTCCGCCCAACAATTCCCCAGCACCTCAACCTTAACTGCACTCTGATACCACTTGTTAGGATCAAATGCTTACCGTTACGCCAAAAACTATAGCTCGTAGCGAATGCGCAACTTTATTTCCTTATACCGTCACATTTTTTAGAGGCAGGGTGCTGGACTTGGCCCTTCAGGCCTCCGCCCAATAATCCCCTAGCCACCTGGTGTTGGACTTGCCCCTTCACTGGCTTCCACCTAACACCATTAGTAATTAGTTAGATAGATTTAAGGTTCTTATTCCCTCTACTATGTGTTTACTTTTCAGGAAAAGAAACTGTCCATCAATTATATGGTACACGGGTCGCAGTGCTGGCTGGCGATTTTATGTTTGCACAATCATCATGGTACCTAGCTAACCTCGAAAACCTCGAAGTCATAAAGCTCATAAGTCAGGTATATTAGGATTTACTTCGACTTTTGCAGTTTATAACCCCGTCTTTGGCTCCTGAACGAATTCTACCTAATTAATGTCCTCTCCCTAAAACCAATTTTCATAGAAGGTTGATACTTTTCGTTGGAGAAGCATGCGAATTCATTTCAGCTAACGCACTTAGTATTCTGGATGTTATGAAGGTGATAAAAGATTTTGCTAGCGGTGAAATAAAGCAGGCATCCGGTTTATTCGACTGTGATGTTGAGCTCGAGGAATACTTGATCAAGAGTTACTACAAAACGGCTTCCTTGATCGCTGCTAGCACCAAAGGAGCTGCCATTTTTAGCGGAGTTGACAATGAGGTCTGCGAGCAGATGTATCAGTACGGGAGGAATCTTGGTCTGTCCTTCCAGATTGTCGATGACATATTGGACTTCACTCAATCAGCCGAGCAATTAGGGAAGCCGACTGGAAGTGACCTAGCAAAGGGGAACCTCACTGCCCCGGTTATCTTCGCGCTAGAAAAGGAGCCAAAACTGAGGGATATGATTGAATCTGAGTTTTGTGAAACCGGGTCTCTTGAGGAGGCCATCAGCATTATCAAGAACTGTGGAGGTATCGAGAGGGCTCAAGAGTTGGCGAGGGAGAAAGCTGATCTAGCGATTCAGAATCTCAAGTGTCTGCCTCCTAGTCCTTTCCGAATGGGGCTCGAGGAAATGGTGAAGTATAATCTCGAGAGAATTGAATAGAATCCAGATTAAAGCACAGTTCGAGAAATGTATCTGCTATGAGTTGTAGAGATTGAAATCGAGCCTCGGGGAAGAGCCATTCTCGTTGAATTCTTTTACTTCAACTGCTTCCTTCCTCATCTGCAAGTAATGAGCAGCTTTTGCTCCTCAATGGTTGTATACTCATAAAAGGTCATGAGCAATGACTCTAGCTCTTAGTATACCTCAATGTTATCATTATTTTTTTTTCTTTTGTATTGGCAAAGGAGAATGAATTTAAATGTTGTTGTAAAAATGATATTTCAAGTTATAGGAATAATGTCATGGCTATTCTTTTGCTTTGCTATTTCTGGGATATAATATAATGCAGTCCATCTTGCATTGTTTCATGTTTCTCAAGCTTGTAGGAACATCAAAATTGCCTCTATGTGAAACCAAAGGTTACTTCATTTATAATCTCAATATTGACCCCTCTTTACTCTTAGTCAGCCTCTTTCTTTTACGAAACTCTCAGCCTGTAAATCAAATTTTATATTCGCTTTTTTAAGAGTAATTGGTAAAAGAAATAGGAATTTCGTACTTCGCAGTTCTAAGAGTAAAGAGATAGTCATTACTGAATTGTTCCTCTATTAAACAAAAACACACAAATCTAAAATTACATTAAATCATTAAAATAGTTTAAGACTAAATTGAAAAAAATCAATATAATTAATGATCATTTTGGGTATTAAGTCTGCCTAAAATGGAGGCCAACAGGCAAAACTTAAAAGGGAGGATTTCATTTTGGATTTGAAGTTGGCTCCAATTCCTAAAATAACAAACACTCTGGAACACACATTAACCCCATCGGCTATCAGTCTCATGAAATCGGTGGTCCGGCCGACACGCTTCCGAGAAACCGAAGACGATGATATCCAGATTTTTCCGGCACATCAACGTTAACCAATGGGGATTGAAAGCCAAAGAAGGATTCCAACAATCCCTCTTATTCGTCAAGTTCCTCTGTATATTGCACGTCGCCGACCGATACGTCTGCTCCCCTATCCTCGTACACTTCCGCCAAAATTTTATCTCTTTACATTTCCCCTCCTATATTTTAGGTTTTCTTCATTTTCTTCTTTTTAATTTTTCGAAATTTTCCTGCTCAGGTGTACGGCCCCAGCATGCTTCCGACGTTGAACTTGACCGGCGACGTGTTGCTCGTCGAGCACGTGTCCCCGTTGCTGGGGAAGGTGGGCCCCGGTGATGTCGTCCTAGTTCGCGCCACTGATAACCCTAGAAAGACTATCACCAAGCGCATTATGGGTATGGAGGGTGATTTCGTCACTTATCTAGCTGAACCTGGACGCAGTGACCGCTCTATCACTGTAAAGGTGTGTGCTTTTCTTTCTGCTTTTGAAACTCAACTCCAATTTTTTGGGTGCTATAATAGCTAAATTGATTAAGGCACATTAATTTTGTGATTTCTGGTTCTTGATTATTTCAATGTAGGATTTATATGGAGCAGTAGGAACTTGTGACTAGTTTGTTTTAGTATTAGGGGTATAATTTCTTGTGAGAACTTGTCTGCATCGGAATCTAAGCTTAGTGACTGTAAATACTAGTATCAGTTAAGGTTTTGGAAACTGAATTTCAATAACAGCAACTGGGAATGATATTAATTGAACTGTTTTCCAAGTTGCTGGCAATTTAACTTATGCTGCTGCATTTTCTTCTTTTCCCAAAAGGCTGAATCCCCAACCCTAAGACCCCCTGGCCCGACAGAGCATGTGGGAGGGGGTAAATCACGGTAACTCATGGCTCAGCAGACATGGCCAAATGTTGGTGTGCACAAGGGATCTGCCCACTTTGGACATAATCCCCACTGAACATTGGTCTGTTCCTCCAAATACTGTCTATTGAACTACTTAGCTAAGCTTGTGTGGGCTGCTGCTGCATTTTCTGAAAGTCAAGATTGTTGTCCTTGAAATCATGTTATATGTTTTATTATTAAATTCTTTCTTGTTTTCTTCCTTTTCACATTTTGTTGTGCAAGTGTAGGTGCCAAAGGGGCATGTTTGGATTCAAGGAGATAACATCTATGCATCCAAGGATTCAAGGCAACTTGGACCAATCCCATATGGTCTCATTCTGGGAAAAGTCTTCTATAGGGTAAGTTGTACTTTTGTTTGTTTTCTTTATTCCTGGGGTGGAACTTTTGCGCTTCATCCAGTTTTTATGTTGGATTGGGTGGTCATTCTTAACCCTTATTAAAATGTTTGCACCAGTTTTGAAGTTGGTCTTCAGTTTTCATTATCTGAATCTTTGGTTTGCACACTAGGATGTTTCTAGATTCATTTTTGAACTTGAACTAAATGGTGGTTTTTCTCTTTAACTTTGAAATGGAAAAAGGTTAATCCAAATCAGATTATGTGCCGTTTCTTTTGGTCAAACTGTGTCCTAAAGACAAGTGACCATCCTCTTTCTTAAGGTTAGATGGTATGTGTGCTTGTTGTTGACTTTTGAGAATGTTGGCATTTTTACATGTGCAAATGCAATATAAAGTATATAACAGCCAAAATTGGTTGCTTAGTTAGGTAGAGTGGAGCAACAATTTAAAAAAAGCTCATTACCATATTTCCTTATGACTATAAATAACATTTAAAGATTCAAACATAGAACTAGAGTTTTCCTTCTACCTCACCATATCTGCATATATACTCTGCAGTGTATATTCTTGTGAAAAAAGATGAACTGAAAGTGTCATACTGAAGGATGCATGTGGGGTGAAGCCATGCTATATATTCACTCTCACGGAGTATTAAACATATACAGATTACAGTAGCCAGGTTCTTGTTATAAAACCAGTAGGGGATGGTAATTAAAGACCTTAAAGTCCACTGGCTTGGGGGCCTGAGAGGCTGAGACTCTAACTAAGAGGATTCAAGTTCAATCCCCAATCCTCTCATGAGCCCTCTCTCCCCAAATACCTCTAATTTGGTTTGAACAGTTAAAACTAAACTCTTATAAATCTACTACTTATCAGGAAAAAGAAACTTCATTTGGTCTGCTTGGGCCCCTTACCCTGTAAAGAACAAAAAAGAAAGCTCCTTTGATGTAATGTACAGAGTAGTAGTTTACCTGATGAAAGGGTTGCAAAGGGTCTTAGAAAAACCATAACTTTCCTCTTAGTTCCTTTTGATTTTGCTATCAATGTGTGAATCATAATTACTGGGTCACTGCTAAGCGTCAACTAATATGGCAACTATTAGCAAGCATCTGGGCAGCTACAGGTTACAAGGAAAATACGTGATCTCATTCCATTATTTTAGTTGGTGTGGTTCCCCGACCATCATTTCTGCTTACACTGGTGCCGTTTGCTCTGCAGGTATGGCCACCCGAAGGCTTTGGGTCTTTGGCACATGAATTATAATTGTTCAAATGGATATATAGAAATGTGAAATTTACTCATGCTTACTAATCAGAGTATCTCCTAGACTATGTTACTCTGCCAATTCCCTTGGTGTTTCATATTCCTAATTCCTTCCTGTTCCAGCACGTTGTTTATGGCTAATTGACAATATGGTTTAGGGTGCAATGTATCTTTTATACTCCGTAGTTTCTGTCAACCGAAAACAGTTTGGAGAAAATATGGTTAGCTTCTTACTTTGTGTTCCTTAATTTTGCTTAGCTCATGTTTTTTTTTTTTTTTTTTTTTTTTTAAGAGTACTACTGGCTCTGTTACAATGTAGTATATGATCATAGTTATTTTTTCAACCTATTGAAACACAAAGAGTTAATACTGCTCCCACCAGGGCTCAAACTCATGATCTCCTATTTGGGAGAGTCACTTCATGCCACTAGATCACAAGTTCATTGACAAAAAATATTTTTAAATATTAATAAAATGAAATTTGAGTTTGGCATGACAATATCATGTTAGGTTGATGTGATAGTGATAATGCAAATGTTATGTAAATAAATAAAATTAAGCTAATTAGCGAGCTTACCTCTACTACTGAGCTTTCTGTTAATGTGGCTATATTGAAGTTTAAAATTTGATTTTAAATCTTTATGGATCCATCGTTTACAGATTTTTTTAGAGTTAACTTTACACTAAAATCATAACAAAATAAATAATGAAACTAAGAGGCCATTTGTTATGTTTTCGTCAATTAAATTTTTGAAAAAATAATTGCAATAGGATGTATATATTTTTTGTGACTTAAACTACAGTTAAAGGTATCTCAAATATTTGATTCTCTTAAACTTTTTCAAGAAAATTTTGTAAATCTCTAATACATCCTCACCACATGTAAACATAAAATATTAACTTATACCATTAACATAAAATGATAAAACAGACAGTCTTTTATTTATACATTACAAATAGAAGTTTAGAAGAACACATTATTTTGTGCAGTATGTATATTATATATATGCACACTGTAGTCGGAAAAAAACTTAAAAAAAAAAAACTTATTTAAGTAGATGAGTAGATTTAACTTCAAAAAAAAAAAAAAAATAGATTGAACAGACGTAAAGTCAAAACAGCAAATTATTGTGGACCATGATGTATTTTATGTACAAAAATAATATACTTTTAACATATTAAAAATATATTTTTTATTTATGGTCCACAAAGTTGTACGAACTCTATGTAATAATATTTGAGTCAAAGTTCATTGACTAATTTGGGCTGCTAGATAGATGGGCCCAATAGGCCCACCAACTTCCATTATAAAATGAAGCCAACCTAGGGTTGTAACGAACAGAAGTGCCTTGAGAGAACCGAGTGAGCTTCAGTTTCTACTGCCATGGCGCTCGAGTTCCGTTGCGGGCATACAGTGAAACCCTAAATCCCTTTCTTCTTCTAGCAGTAGGAGCTTTTCTCTCACTTCTCTTGCTCCGAAGAAAGGTTTTACACCAAATTATCCCTATTTTTGTATGTATGTATATGCGTGAGAGACAATGGCCGATCCAATGGGCTCTCGCGTAAGATGAGATGTGCGAGAGCTCAATTTCACCCGGCCTATATCGAGTTTCATTGCTTTTAAAGGGGCATCCTCAAGGTTTGACACCTAAGCTTTTGTTTTGTTTAATTCGGGGAAACTGCCCTACATTTTTGCAAGTTCCATACAATCTCCGAGTATAGATTGAATTTTGGGACTTTGAAATATTTAAATGTAGAAATATAAAGATGTATTTTTATGCATATTTTTGTTTGATAAACATATTTATTTTCAAAAGGTTTTTGGGATTTTCTTTGTTAAACCATGCTTGAAATGAAATATTTGAGTCAATTATAGAAACATTGAATGTATTAGGATCTAAAGATACAGAAAATGTGAACAGTAAGTTTATTTGCACTCAATAATCAATAAAATTGAAGAGTTGAAGCTCTACCTATTAACAACAAAGTGTATTAATATTTTTCTGCGAAGAAGAGCAAATGACATCTTCTCCGAGTATAGCCACAACTTTTTGTTCAAATGTCTGCAAGGTTTGAAACTGATGCAGGAATGACAGATCTTCCATTCCCTGTAGTAGAAACATAACCATGTAAAACCATATCTGAAAACAAATACTCAATCAGGGAGAAGGAAAGGGAGGAGAGAAAAATTAAGGATTTAAAATTTGGGGTCAAATGTTTACAATTAAATCACAGTAAAAACCGAATAACTAAAAATGCAAATTGTAACTTTTTTTAAAAAAATATTTTGTGGATCAATTTGAAGCTTTTTTGAGTTTAGTGGCTTAATTACTATTTTTCAAATGGCTTATTTGCACAATATTAAAAGTATTGTAGTTTGGTTGGTAATTTCATAACACTTAATTAGTAACTTTACCAATAGTTTTGTTATTATAGTGGATGATGTTGCATGTTTCAATTGCCTAGGTATAAGTCTATTCTTATATTATTAGCATGGAATTGTTTAGTGCGGGTGGTTTGATTCCTGACCATAATGGAGAGTGGATTGTGGGCTTCATGACATTATCATGGGCTGCAGAAGGTAGTGGTCGAGATTGATTCTGAATTTGTTTTCCAGGCCAGCTAGAAGAGAGCAAGTCTAGGCCGGAAGCTCACACGTTCAAGACATCATCATCAGTCATGTTCCTAGGTAAGAGAACCAATGTGGACTACTTGGCCAATCTTGATCAAACCACGGACTGGGGTACGACAATATTGGATTGACCACCAGAAGGTATCATGTCTCTTTTGTTGAAGGATGCTAGAGGGGTTGTGACGAGAAGAATCTATTAACCGGGACCTGAGTGGCCCTTTGGGGCACCAAAAAAAAGCATTGAATGTGTATTAATTATGACTGAATTGAGGGAGTAGTATGAAATTGTTAACAACACTTGTTTTTTTTGAGTTGTGGTATTTGTTGTGTCTAATTTCCCTACTCATGTTGCTAATAGGAAAGTAGACTTTTGAAGTCTATTTGTTGGATATTTGGATTAGGCTGTTTGATTAACTTTTTTTTTTGTTTTTTTTGTTTTTGGAGTCTTGTATTTTGTCAAACTGCCTAGTATCTCAATTTTTAGAGGAAAATAGACAAACAATACAAAACAAATACTCTTTGAAGTTATCACTATCACAAGATAGCCTACCATTGTAACAATTATGTTGCTAATTTTATACTCTTTCAATTCAATCATAATTCTTACACTTACATTATGGTGGAAAAGTTTGGAGGGAAAAATGGAAAATGGCATTTTCCTTTCATTGTTGGTTGACTTATATTGATTGACTCGTCATTTTGATAAAATGAACATCTAATATTTTCTTAATGAACCTATTTTAGGTTCATTTGTATTATATTGTAGTTGCATTAATATTGTGAAAATGAATCTGTAATGTTTCATTAATGAATCTATTTGAAATCTACTATTACAATGTAAACTCAATATTTTGAAAATAAACGTGTAATATTACAATGAAATATTGAAGATACTTTCTAACTCACAAGAATCTCTGAGTGCTCAAGCATCCAATCAATATTTGCTTGGATGGATAATGAGCTTTCCTTTTTTACCTTTTTAGAGAAAACGGAAACCTCAAGTCAAGAATATGACATATCTAATATGGGCGGGGTACGGATTAGATCAAATAGGAACTAGCAATATGTAATAGAGATATTGATTTCTCTTTTTCTGTTTTTTGCTTAAGAAATATCAAATGAAAGTGAACAAAAAAAAGAATAGGCCTGACCTACATGTGAACCTACCGTATTTTAAAAATGAACATAACATAGTGACTTAATATTACTATATGTTAATTTAAAATATTAAAATAATATTAATATGGGTATCATTTGAGTCTTAATTAAAACTTTTTAATGTTATATATTTCTTATATATTATATTTATTTGTACAAAAAGAAAAAAAAATTGGTTAAAAAAAAAAAAAACCTTGTCAAATGGACTATTGTATAATAATCCTTCTTCATAATGTAAGTATACATTTTTTTTTTAATATTAGCATTTATTTGATTAAGCAACATACTTTATTTAATTAGTCTTGTAGATAAAAGAATATTCATGACCTTTATCCTTGAAAAAATGTCAAGTTAACTTCAACATCTTGTCTTCTTGGTTAATTTGCTCTTATGGGATATTTGAATGATGTTTATTTTCCTCTTTTACCAACATTCAGTTTCAATGCGAACAATGCAAAGCAAGACATGAATCACACCACAATGAACACACCCTTTGTTCTTTATATACTATACTATCCAACTTAGGAAAATGCTGGTAACCTTTAGCCACTAGCCTTGCTTTGAGCTCTAAATATCGCCTCTGGGATGTGCATGCCATGAAGGGACAGCTTATTGTTTTGTCTCTTGAAACCCACAGACCACGTTAGCAGGGACAGCAACATCCATCATCTTTGGATACGACAACTTCAAATCTGTCATTTAACATTACCAACAGTTAACAAAGCCTCGGGCGTTTTGTATTTGCACGCAAGGGAACATAGTAATACATAGGATACTCACTTTCCATGATTTCTTTGAATGTCTCCTGCAAAATGTGTTCCCCAAGAACATAAGTCACGATACGGTTATGCAAGTCTCAACAGGAAATAATTGAAAGGCTACGTTTATTTGGCACTGATTAATATGTCAATGTTCGAATTCTGTAGTTCATTAGTACCTTGTCTTTTGTCAGGCGCGGGTTATATTGCATTTCCTCTCCTACTGTACTAACCTGAAGATGAAATGGGAAACATGGGAAGACTATCTTTATCGGTGCATAACATAGAAGAGCAGAGAGGAAAGACATCCTTACAGTGAATCCCTTGTAGTCATGAGCAGGATACACCAACGTGTCTTTTGGCAACGAGAATATCTGTGACCAGAAAATAAGGATCAAAACGGGGACAAAAGAAGGTGCCTCACAATTAACTTCGAATTCTTTTACTGGTTCTGCTTGTTGGAGGTAAAGATTGTGTGCTTGCCTGTGAGTGAACAGACTCATAGAGCTGATATGAACTTCCACCCTACAATAAGATTTTAAAAAAAATATATGGTCATAGAAAAGTTTCTCTCTTCTCTATTCTTTCAGACTACTTCAAGAGTCGGTACCTGGAAGTCTGTCCTTCCACACCCACGTATCAATAGGGCATCACCAGTGAAGGCCATTCGCGGGTAGGGCTGATTCGATCCATCTCCTGTAACATAGGTGACACAGCCTGATGTATGCCCTGGAGTGGCACGAACCTGTGACAAACGCCCACTTCTTTTAAACCACAGAGCACAAAGGAGGTAAAACCTCTCAGCCTCGAAGTAGTAATAAAGCCTTGATCACATACTCCAATTACGAGAAGAAAAAAAAAGTGACCAAGGGATGAATGTTTCATCTATAGCAAATTGAATCTGTTCAATTACAAAACCCCACAACTTTGGTATATCTCCAAGTAGATTGAATGCTATTTCTTGTCTAAATGTGTTAACCATTAGTATACAATATAATTTTTTTTTTTTAAATCATCTCCTTGGCTTCTATCAACAAAAAGGAATCTCCATGATGCCTCATCAGCATAGGTTCAGTGATCATTAAGAAAAATGTCTGGCAAAAATTTCAAGATCTTTGACAGTTGGCACACAAACAACAATATCATGAATATGGAGTAACATGCTCTTGACTTATCCATGAAGATTTTGTGATTTTGTCCCAACTATGAAAAAACACATGGATATATTACGCATAAGCAGAAATAAACATTTGTGTACCTCCAAGAAAAGATCACCAAAATATATTTTTTCACCAGGTTCAATGAAAACATCAGCACTTGCATTGCTCGCTTTGGAGATGATAGATTTCACACCAGGTGCCTTACTCTGAAAAATACAATCTTAACTCAATTAAGAATAAAAACACAAGATCCCGAGCAACAGCAAGCTTAGTGGCCAGAAAAATAAATACTAACCTTAATCAAACCAGTGCCAGTTACATGGTCAGCATGCACATGTGTGTTTAAAGCATATACGAGCTTCAAGCCCAATTCTTTAACAAGTGAAAGATCCCGATCAACAGTTCTGTCTACTGGATCAATCAACTGCAGTTAGATTAGTTCCATTAGTAACATATATAAACTTACAGCCAAAAGAAAGTGATGCAGATAGCAACCTTTTTGCTCCTTCAAACCAAAGAAAAATCAGGTCAATGGATTTAGAAATAACAATCCAACAGAAATTTAACTATTTGCAGTAAACTAATATGGACAAATAGAATCTAGCACATACAGTGTCAATACTTGAAATTTTAGTTTCATAATCTTCAACTTTTAGCTATTTACTAGTCAAAATATTTAGAATTTAGAGTTAATAACAGCTGAGGTCCTCTGAGTATAGTGGCACCGCCACGCTTAGTCCTAAACTTTCAATTTAACCACCTATAGTCTTTCAACTTTCAAGTTACACTACCCATGGTCCTTCAAATTTCAAAATTTTAACCAACTCTAGTCCTAACTTTGCCCTTACTTAAACTAACGGAAGGACCACAACCAGTTAAATTTGAAAGTTGAAGGATCAAAATTGAAAGTTTAGAACTAAACATGGTTGTGCCACTATACTCGGAGACCCTAGCTGGTATTAACTTAAGAATTTATAACCCAAGCCAGTTTTTCCAATAACGGACTATAAACTATAAAGCTTCCAATATCACTGACCAAACCGGATTACAGAAAACACATTGAAATATCCATTAATTAAGCTCAATATTCATCAAGCTTCTTGATCCTCCACAGAAAAAGATTACAATTTCTCTTAATCTAAATAAACAAAACAGTGAACTTCATAACGGCACATAAGGATTTCAAATTGGGGAACAGGAAAATTTACCAGTGCAGGTTTTTCAGGGTGGAGAGCATCGGCAAGAAGGTAAGTGAAGGTGGAGGAGTCCTTTTCGAAGAGCTGACGGAAGAGGAGCTTGGGAGCAGGAGACGACGTCGTATAAGAAGCCATTTGCGAATGGAACTTAGTGGACGCTGAAATTGAGGAGCGGAGAGGAAGACGAGAGGAGAGATGAGAAGGAGAAGGGAAGAATCGAAATCGAAGAAGAAGCATTATTATTTGTAGAGTTACGTTGGAGTGATCGAAGACTCAAAGTGATCCAAGGATAACGAAACCTTGCTGTTACAACGAACAAGATTGACAGCGAATGGCGATATGGTCAGAACGTCGATAATGGAAGGATATTGTGGGTGGGCCCCATATCATATGCTTGCGTCGCAACAATCGAGATTGATTCATTCCATCTTTCCCTCCATTTCTATGTGCTTTACCTAACTTCTGCAATCAAAAACCAGTTTCAACCTATTTCTTAATTTTAACTTTAATTCTCCACAGACCACAGTAATACGCTTCGTGAGATTATAAGCAAGTAAGGATTTAATTCACTGATTTAATAGTTACTGTTTGAAAGAAATGACTAAGGTTTAAATCTTGATAGCAGTAGTGTAGAGATTATGTTTAAAATGGATATTAATTTTTTATATATATTTTTTTAAACACTAATTTTTTATACTTTTTTTTTTTTTAAAGATCTAATTTTTTATACTTAGAGAATCGTCTGACTACCTAAATCCAAATACTAAATTCAAACACCCCAATACAAGCTATTTATTATATCAATATACAAAATCACTAGGCTCCGTGTATTCTTTTTTTAAATTTTAAATTTTTTAAAACTTAATAATTATAAATTATTTAATGCTTTAATAATTAATATTAAAATATTAAATATTAACTTAAAAATATTTAGAATTTAAATAATTTAGAGTTATTTATTTCAAAACAATATCGTTTCGAATGAAATAACTCATTTTTTTTTTAAAAATAGAACAATAGCTAATCAACCTACTAGGCAGTCTAGTCGGTGCCTAGACGATGCTTAAATCACCGATTTTGGTGATACACTAGGCGGACAGCCGGTGCCTAACACCTAGGCACCAATTAGGCGGGATTTTTACAAAGATTATAGTTAAAGAATAAACATTAAAAAGTACCCTGTATTAAAATACACATGTACTAAATAATATTTTAATAAAATTCAATAATTTTGTTGCTCCAAAGATTAAAACTATAACTTTTTTGAAGTGTTACTGTGTTAGCAGTATATTGCAACGTTAAGAACTAAAACAACTACTAAGAAACAATTGAAGATCTAAAAATGCATTTTTCCCTATGAAATATGTATATTGTATTGCATCAACCTCCCAAAGGTGACTATCAGTGGGTTCATTTACATTTACAATATAATAAAATCTTATGAATCATGATCTATATCTATCTACAGCTACAACAATTTGACTGCACATAACAGAATATACTTCTCCTTTCCCCAACTATACAAGATTGTTGCTTTGAAAAAATTTTGTGCTGAGATGAACTCATTATTTCTGTTTCTTCTTCCCATACAGAATAGAGTGAATCTGCAGGCTCCTGTTGAAAGCCTCGTTGAAAAGAAACCGTGTTTGGAAGGCGGAAATGATTGGCATCCAAGCCAGGCAAGCTAGAGGAGCAAAGATAACTACTCCCATTCCATAATCATAAGCTTGAGCAAACACCTGAGTGAAATGCCATAGCCCGGTTCCTTCAATCATCGGTCTCACAGCCTGTGCAACCTGTGAACCAGAAAGCAATATAATGAGATTTTGATTTATCATCAAATTTTAATGTTTAGGGAATAAATATATCGTTGCAATGTTACCAATATCAAGCCCCATCCGGTTGGCAGAAACGCTAGACAGCAGACGATCAAATCTCTTACTGATAGATCACAGATGATTGAGAGGGTTATAATCGTAGACACAACTCCCAGGAAAAGCAGTGCTTTGAAGAGCCGGAAGGCTAGGTGATAGTTTGCGCTGAGAAAGTGCCTCCCGATACTGACAGCCTGTGTATCGTGTTCAAATGATAACATGAATATCGAAACAGGGTATGATTAAAATGAACAACTTATACTGAGAGAAGGAGAATTGCAGGATAGAAGTTTACCTTGACCAAAAGGAAAATCATGACAATGACAACCCACGAGAGCAAATAAACAATGAAATTTTTATTGTTCCCGGATATGTCAAGGTGATAGACCAACCCATATTGGTAAAGAAAAAATCTGAGAGAAAGAAGTATCTCAATCAACCGAGAAAGCAGCCCTGAGTGACGGAGATGAGCTTGCTCGTCATACCACCAAGACTGCCAACTTTTATCCTGTTGGATTCCTATACCACCTTGCTGCTGTATCCACTTGTTCCAATCTTTCCAGTCATCTACTATCTTGCCCCAGTCAAATCCAGAGGGGTTAAATAGAAACGGTGCAAGCAACCAAGTCATTGACATGAACCAGACGGCATAAGTAATCAGTACATAAACCATGGTGTTTTCATATGCTCGTCTAAATAAATCATAAACAATCAACAGAAGCAGAAGCTCAAATCCTTTTATAAAGTGGCTCCGTGAGTATAATCTATAGTTTTCAGTGAAGCTTGCATGAAAAACCACAACCTTGCGCCCAGTTGGCCTATACTTGGCACCCCCATGGAGGATTGTTCTACCAAAGTAGTGAGATTTGGTACCATATGAAAATGTAAAGAATACAGCAGCCAGTTGCAGTTGCATGAGCACAAAATCTTTAAGTGCATTGAGAAACCCTCTCTCGAGCCCAATCTCTATAACCATTGGTAAGCCTGTCAAGAGCCCAAGCTGGATAAATGACTGTGAGGCTAAAGCCGTTTCAAGTGACTTTAAGTTTTGCACTTTTGCCTCAATCAGAAGTGCTTTTTGAAGACCGCTTAGGACTAGGTATAACTGGCCGTAAAGGAACACATAAATTGTTATCACTGATATCTGCAGAATTTTTATCATAATAATGATAACAGATGTTAAATATTGAAGCAGCCAGATATATCAATGAACAAATTAAAACTTAAGAGCTTCAACAGAAAAAATGATTTTTTTTTTTTTCATTTAAGAAAGTATCGTAATCTAGAATATGGCTCTTGAATCGGCTTTAGATATTTTATGCAAAATATTCACTTCAAAAGTATAACATCAAATTAAATGGAATTTTCATGTTTGAAAAGCAAAAGAAAGGAGACATTTGGGATTTGACTATTACCAGGCTGTTAAAGTAGAAACCTATTGTTGTGAAATAACAAGAGAGCATCCGAAAGAAGTCAAATCGATGTCCAAGGCGGTATATGTCTCGACTAATTGTTTGCTCACTGTTGCCATTTGCTACTTTCGCTTCAAACTTTGAGATCTGGTTGAGTCCTACATCACGACCTTTGCCAACTTGCATATACTCAAGATATGTAACAGATCCCCGTCGTAGTGTAGTGTTAAATCCTGCATGTATATCCAGAGATTATTAATTTAAATTTAATATGACTTAATGATGCCAAATAATATTTCGAACCAAGCCAGTTGCAACCTGCGAAAACATCCTCACTCAAGTTAATTGTCTTTGATGCTTTGCTTATGCCTCCCCTTGTCAAGTGAAATATTCTATCAAACAAATCAGGATGACCATAATGGAACCTGACCCTGTATTTGATTGTGAAAAAATGAAGTCAAACAGTGAAAATGAAAAATAATTATTGATCATATATAGAAAAAAGTTTAAGTAATGTTTGTTATGGTTAAGAGGCAGAATATGGATTTCTTCAAAATAACTGATGGTTTTAAAAAAAAATACAGAAGACCTTGTTGATTGAAAGGATACTTGCATTATTGTAAAGGGAATATTGAGCTGAATTTTAATTTTCTAGAAAAAAAAAAATTCTGAGATCTGGTTTAGCAGTATTTTCTCTATATCTTCAGAATAAGCATGCAAAAGCAAAGGAAGTTACCTGAGTGGGTTAGCTAGAAGTCTTTGGCCAATTGTAACAAAGCTGGTTTCTTGATAGGACATGAACCAAGCTAAAGAAGAAACACTGAAATCATGAAAGCTTCTTCAGTTATAACTTATAACTACAAGATTAAATTGATATCTAAATACATTATGAGTTCTTAAAATGTCTAGTTTTGTGTGAAGAAAAACCTTCGTATTACTGTTTAAAGAAATATGGCGTCTATTAACAAATTACTACATTTTCAAGATTTTAGATGGTAACCTTCCAGTAAATATATGTTCTCTCATGCCAATGATCGTGGGAGGCCTATGGCCTCTGTTATTCAGAAATTCCTGCAAGATATTTCTCATTTTGATAGCTTCTTCCATATAATTATCCTGTCAGAGTGTCAGGGCATGTTATTAGTACAAATTTGTAAATCTCTGATTCCAAAAGCCAAAACTTAAGGCAGTGAATACTTGGTTCATGTCGATTGCTTGGAGAGCTTCCCCGCGTGTAAAAATTATGGCATGATTTTGATTCTCTGGTTTGCCTTCTCCAATATTTGGTGAACCAGGGAGTTTAATGCGATACACCTCCTACAATATAAAAATGGAGTTATATAGTGACTATAACTAAAAGAAGTTTATAATGATAAGGCATTTCTTGATTAACTTTTATTTTTTGAAAATCACTGACATAGAATTGCAGATGCAGTTTACCTGGTCAAAACCATTGACAGCTTTAACCAGTATAGATGAATAAGTTTTTTGAGATTTTCCTTCTTCTTTCTCTTCAACATATGCAACACGGAGAGCAGGATACCTTTTGAGCAAGAGTACCAAACAGAAAAGATGTTATTCCAAGATCTTGTCCTTAGCCAAGAATTATATGTGTGTGTGTGTGTGTTAGTTTTCATTCAGAAAGTACATTTTCATCAAATCAAGTATGTCTTGTGCCTGTGGGTCTCCGGAGGACTTTTGAGATCCAAACATTTGACAGGAAACAACATGAGTAAATTTCATGTCTGCTAATGCTTCAAGTTGAGCTGCTAATCTATCATTTCCCCTTGCAATTGTGTCATAACCTCTAAGTATGTCTGCATAAAAGAGTTTGGATTTAGGAGACCAAAAACACACACACACGCAAAGAACATGTAGCAAGCAGGTCCCAACAAACCATCATTCTCAGCCATGTCAAGAAAAGCTTGCAACTTTATAGCTTCCCTGTAGTACATCATTCCTCGCACTGTTAAAGGAATAAAGAAAATATTACTATGCATGATGAAAGTAGTACATCTTCAGAATTCATATTAGAATGAAAATGGATATCAATGAACTGGACCTGTCTTGCTTAGAGTTTGCCCTCGAAAAGATGCCCATTTCCTGAGATCTTCCTCATAAAGGTCATCATTGGATTCATTTGATATTTCCATTCCTATACGTTCTGAAAAGTTCTCCCATTCATCTGAATAGAAGAGTCAAAGTTAGATCCTATACAATGAAAGAGAAATGGTTTTGCACCACTCAGCTACTTAAAACAAATTGTATGTGCCAACCTGGATATATCTTCTTCATATAGTAACTAATGGACACTCCTTGTTTGCCTGAACGAAGCTCTTTTGATGAAAACTTAACTTCTTCCATGTAGTGTGGAGTCAGAATGCTGTAAAATAAATATAAAAAATAAAAAAAAATCTGTACAAAAGCATATTCTAAAATGATCTATAAGTAAATAGGTAATTGTCAGTACAAAAACAATAAACAAGTGAAGTGCTAAGATTTAACCTGAAAGACAGCATGTTGCGTACTTTTGGGGCACTTGGCATGTCCATAAATAGAGATGTGGCAAAAAATGAAATCCGTCTCCGAGCCTCCAGGTTCTTGGGCACATCCAATGCTTTATCTTTGATAGTGATCAGCAAAAGAAATCGTTTGATCTACCATAAAACTTAAATAAGTTTTTGTCCATGCTTTACATTTTCCATTTATAATTTAATAATACAACACTAAAAATGGCATTTATTGAACACAAATGTAGAAAGTATTAAATAAATTATTTTATTAGGAGGCAAACATAAGAAGTAAATTGAAGCACCTTTTCCATTATGGAGTCAGTATCTGGCAACGGAAAATGGATACAGTGCTTTGATGCAAACAGTAGTGGTTCAATTGGACTAGAAAAAATTTCAGTTGGCTCCTCCATTTCTTGTTGAGCGTGAAGTGAAGCCAGTACTCTGTATGTGATCAAGAATTTAGCAGACAATATGAAGTTAAAAATCTCGATCACTTGCAATAAGAATCTTAGCATCTAACCTTGAACCATTTCGCAACAAATCACTGGTTACGAGCTCAAATATATCTTGGAGTACCAATACTACTATGCTATGGTCGTCTTCATTTCCCTCAACCTTGATACGGCAATTTATGTTGACATGAACAACATTAGTTGGAAAAAATGAACAAGTAAATCATCTTTAGTAAAAGATTAACTGAAATTATGTGAAAAATTACCAGAAGTTCAACTAACTCGATACATTTCTCACATAACTTTGGTAGTTCGCTTATCTTTAGGTCCTCAATAAAAGTTGATCTTCCAATACTCTCCTCAATTTCAATGAATATACTAGAAACAATCCTGAAAGGCAGAAAGTCATGATAGTCTACAACTAATTAAAAAGAAAAAAAAGAAAAAAAAAAAAAGAAGCCAAATATCATGTCAACTTTAGATTACTCATTAGATTATGCACCTTCTCTCCAGGTCACCAACAACAAGGATTTCTAGGATGTCTTTCAGTAACTCATAACACTCAGTTACAACCAGGTACATGCAGGTGTCCTTTTTAATCTTTCTCAAAAGTTGTGCATCTTTTCCCACAAAATCTCGGGCTATACAAAGTGCTGTTGAAAGCTAAAGATGAACAATGAACCATAGGTTTTAAACAAATGTTAGGAGAATTACAAGTAATTGAGAAAAGAATTCCAAAATTTACATGGTACCTGGTTTGCTAAGAGGAATACAGGCCAACGAACCCGGCCTAAGAGTAACTCTGATGACACAGGTATTTTCATCAAATCCACCTCCCTGTTATTAGTGAAACATAAAGTCATGTTTAATGATATTAAGATTAATGGGCAATTCTAGTGAAGTTACATTGTGTAGTCCCTCTTTGCAGGGTTGGTGATCTCTCTTCATGGAGCTATTGGTCCTGAATTGTTTGGCTGGCCATCAAATTTGAGGATAAAGTTGTAGCTAGTTTTCATATGTAGGCACTTTGAAGCTTTCATGAATTAGTCTAAAGCATTCAAAATCCCCAAATTGAGAATCAAACTCCACATGTACAAAAGGTGAAATGGAGTTTTTAATAGAGAGTGGAGTCTGATTTTGACTCTTAATTTGGAAAATTTGACTGCTTTAGACTAACTGACAAAGGTTTCAAGGGTACCAAAGTAAGGAAATTACAATTTCATCTCGAATTTGATGGCCAAGTGGCCAACCAATGGAATCGGTAACAGAAGGCTGAATCTAGCAAATTTTCAATAATCGAGGACTAAATGTGATTGATATTAAAGTCAATAACCACAGATAGAAATACTTAATTGTCATTGGAATTAACTCTTAATTCCTGTTGTAATGTAATACATTGTATACTTACCATTTCGAGAAAAAAACACTATTAAAAGTTCAATGTAAAACAAATAAATCTGACAGACATTATTAACCTGTTGCTTATCAAGTCCTCTTCACGGAAGCTATAAATAATTTGGTTCCATACAAGAACAAAGTTCACAACACCATTCTTCTCATTTCCTGAAGCCTGAAATTTAACTTAAAAGGTGAACAACTTTGGAAAAACGGAGGAGGTAACTGAAGTAGCAAGTTCATTTCAAAATTTAACAAGATATAACCTTTTGAAATCTCTGGTGGAATAACAACCTTTTTATTCCATTCGGACTGTCTTTTGCTTGTGGTGGAACAAGATACTTGTTGAATGCAGAAGGCAAAGTGTGAAATTTGCTTCTCAGCATTCTTAAGGTCCTAATCTGTGTTGAGAAAAGAAAGAAGAAAAAAAAAAAAAAAAGAAATGAGAAACTTGACAGATTTGGAAAGTAATCAAATATGGAGTCACTTACTTCACCAAGGTGGCGCAGAATTCCATACACTCCACCAAAAACAGAACAATAAACAGAATACCAGATTTGTGCATCCATGAAATATACCTGGACAAAACCACTACTAAGTATGCCAAAGAAAACACATTATGCAACAAAGTGCATCTAATACAGGATACCAGTAAGATAGGTAATGAAATGGATTTGTGTTATGAGATCAGGACTATAACCACTATAAAAGATTGAGAATGGAGACACAAGAGGAACAAAGGGTTAACTATTTTTGGCTTCTTTAGTTCCAATATGAGTTGGTCTTTAGCCCGTTTAACGTAAGGGGTTACAGTTTTGCAGGCATCACTTTGAGTTTCAAGCATAGTTTACTAAATCAAGTTCAACATAAGAGGGATTCTTATAGAAGCTTACAAATATAATAGGTGCCCATATAGCAACGATCGCTCCACAATTACTCTGCACTGAATGGAGAAAATTCATTCAAATGATCTCAATGAATAAAACTTTGACTTGAGTCTTGAGTCATGCAGGAAGCAAATAAAATAGTTGATAAAGCTAGTAAAGTAGTACCTTTGGGGAAAAGCTCATGCCAGTCGTAACCTTTAACCCCAATTGTCATGATCTGTCTTGTAGGTGATATAAGTGGTTTTATCTGTATACAAACAAGAATTTGATTCTGAGATTCTACTTTACATTCCTATGCCTAAGTGCACATTGCAACTGACACCGGTACTACCATTCCTAGGTCATTGACCAGACTATTGCGCACTGCACATTCTGAACTTTGTAATATGTATAACAGCCAAAGGGCTGATAAGCTGATAAATATTGAAACCATTTTTAAAAACACATTCCTAAATGTTAAAAAGGATGCGAAAGACACATATGTTTCTTTCGGATTAACTACACACCTCTACTGATCACAAACTCTATTAGCTGGGACATGCTCTCCATCTGAGTCCAAAACAATTCAACAAGAAATGCAGCACATATTTACATGAGCCTTCAGAACCAACAAAGCATTTAGATAATGCATGTGTTTTCCCCCTAAGTTGGCTATTCGGATTTCTTAATGAATAATAGAATGTGATATATCCAATTCGAGATTTTCAGAGAAAGATCTGGCATCACTCACCTCAAATATATAGCTAAATGTGAGTTTGCTGAGCAATAACAAGACCCAAAAGAGTGTATACCTACAAGCAAATATATACATACTTTGAGAAGCCCATCTAAAGAATACTCCAGGCAAACAAGCTCAAAGTTAAGGATACAAGAAATACTTCAGAATTGAGAGTTGGCTTTCTTGCATTCCTCGTCCAACAAATAGTCTAGGCTGCATGTTGCAAAGGAACAAAACTTGGTAAGTGTAATGAATATTCCATTATTACTACGGAAAATATCTAATCCACCAACAAATTATGACAGGTATGTGGGTGCAATAATAATAATAGGTGTAATGACTCCATCATCACAGGAATAGAAAATCATTGTAAACTCGTACAATTCATTTGGCTTCTCATAACTAGATTAGGACTCAGGCAACTATAACAGTATGAGACGGCAGATGAAAGACTTCTTTTTAAAAGTCAAAGATGATTGATTTGCTCATTTTTCCTATACTGATCTTCTGCATTATATAATTTTCAGTATATCACATAGATTTGACATGAACTGTAAAGATAATTAGTTAGAATAACATAATAATATCTGGGTCTAAGATTGCACCTTAAATACCACTTGTCTAACACATTGCAACTCGTGGAGCAGGGTAATTATTTTTTACCTGTGTCCACCAAGACAAAAGTGTGCATACACGGAAATTGGAGGTCTCAATGTATTTTCCAACCGCAGGCACAAGAAACAGAATTGTGTCAAAAGCGTTAGTCATCAAATAAAATGCAACTGCAACCATATAGGAGGAATAACACCACTCTCCAAGCCAGCTTCCACTGTCTGTTGAATAACAAGTATATTTTCGTCGAGAATTTGCATAAAATATTGGAAGAATGGTGGTCCATATCATAGCAACAACCACCTTCAGTAGACATTTTGTAGTGTGTGCAGAGTCCATTGTACTTCTTGCTTTCCATGTAAATACAATGTCCAGAATAGCTGCAAGAATAGGAACCTCTTAAGGTTCTTCTATTTTACATTTTGACTACATAATAAGCCACTAAATGCTTAAATAAAGAATAAAAAGGTAATGAGAAATAAAAATTAGAAAAGAGATATTGCAGTTCTAAGGTAACAAAGAATCAAGAAAAGCTAATATAAAAGATAAGTATGACAACTATCTAAACTTTTCATGCAAAAGGGGTCAATTCTAATGTTAACATGAAGAACAACGTCCAAACCTATAAAACTATCATGCCCTACCAATGTGAGACACAGATTTAGGTGGTAACGTTAGCACTCATTCACTCTAATTTTAAGAATAAGTCTAAAATACCTGTGCTTAAAGTGCTTTTTCATATAGACATTTTATTTTTATTTTTATTTTGAAAGCTAATGAAGATCTTTAGTTTTCCATCAAATACATTTCATTTAGAAAATTAACCATTTATATACCAGGTTATTCTACTATGAGAAATCATACCATGTACAAGTTTAAGGATGGCAGACGTAATGAAGATACTCATAACGTCCTCCAGTATTGTAGCATCAAACACTTGTAGAGGAGACTCCAAATCATGAGATGCCATAATTATCATAGCCTAAATGGAATAAATTAAAGAAGATAAGGATAAGGATAATAACTTAACAAGTGTCAGTAATTTGGTTAACTATCATAAGACAAGGAATTGTAAGCACACCTGAAGTGAAAGGATAAGAAAGTTCCATAACCTATCAAAGCTTCTAAAAATCTGCCAAAATGAACGGATCTCCACAAAGTTTGTCTTCCCTAACCATTTTGGTTTCCGTGGCTCTTCTTCTTTCAACTAGAGATCACCAAAAAGAGCTTTGTGAATAGTGTGATCTAAAATTACTAAGGGTGTGAGTCTTTAAGCATGAACCTTATTTAAATTTTTCTGCATCCCACTATCAAACTACTATGACAGCAGTGCAGTATGTAGTGGAAGAGAATAAACAATACTTTAAACACCAAAGAGTTTACTGTTCTTTTCCACAAGTAATAATAATCAACTGAACAACTTTGATAAAATATGTGATTGTCACACACAAGGATCATCTCAAATCTGTCCCTTACACTTCAACTAAGGTACGAACATAGTACAGTTCACTAGTAAATAGTTTTAGGCATAAAAGAAAACAACTATGACATGGTGCAATGTCAGCACATTTTTCTTGGTTTTGACACTCAAAACTTGATTACTTAACAAAGCTGGAAAAACTATTTTGGAGGGAAGGAGAAGGAAAGAAACAAAATTATGTTATAAGACTAACCAAACAACCTGGCAATTGATTTGTACTATGGAGTATTATTTATTCTTGTCCATAGCCACTTCAAAGATATAAAATTCTTATTATGTAATCAAATTCTTCAATGAAGAGACAACGTTTACTTTCCCAGAAAATTATCATTGAGTTCTGCAGTTATATAGTGGATTTGTATCTTGCAGAGCTATAAAGCAAGGATATTTCTTTTGGGAAATTAAAATAGTCATTGATTAAACTGCACCAGGACTTAGCTCAAGAATGCATATATGCTACATAGTTTGAACCATCACTCTGCTCTTGGAAGGCATAAAGACTAGTTAAAATTAGTACTTATTTGGACTGAAACAAAACCATAGATGGTTTTACTATAAGAGTTTACTTATCACCAGCATTATCTAAATGGTATACTTACCCCCATTTCTTCATCTTCATTTTCATCTTCATTTGCATCATTTTTTTTGTCCTCAACATTTCCAACTGGACTCCGAGCCTTTTTCACTTTCTGATCTGGTACAGATTTTATACAAAAGAAATCATGGTCTGGGCGCATGGGCCAACCTATTTGGAAACAATCTGGAGACCTGAAAATTAAGCAATGGGTACCTCATAACTAATCATATTTGGCAGCTATAACAAGATAAGAGATATATTGAAAGTTTACCAGAAAAACTCATTGAGATCATCATAGTTCCTCCAGGTTGAATGATCAGTTGTGCCATTTTTGTTTTTCTCGGCTTCCTTAGGTATTTGATGGAAAGGAAGAAACCAGATTAGTAAAGACTGAAAGATGGACTGCACTCCTGCTATCCTTTCATATATACAGAAAAGCGGGTTGCAATCCTTTTATAAAGACTGTAAGATGGATAGCATCCAGGACTTTACTGGTACCTTACTTATAACTTCGTATATTGGTGAAACTACATTGTTAAGAAAGGACTCATATCCTCCTCCATAAGCTGGCATAACTTTTTCTCCAGTTGTCATACTTACGGCATCAATCAACATGCTGTGCAATTCATAGGCCATCTAAAACAGAGATAATGCATGCATGGCAATATCATTTAGTATTTATATAATAGTTACATCCAGCGAAAATTCATATAATACTTGTGCTGCATACATGTTCAGCATTTACAAATCATTCATTTTTTGCATAAATTGCAAAGATCAATAACTCTATACAAGTTGATGTTAGAAGAGACTTATCATTTTGATAAACTATCAACATAAACCATTATTTTCGTCTTAAACAATAAAATTACAGGAACTGAGTGAGAACATTTGTAAGAAAAGAATCAGTAATTGAGATCGAACTTCTTTTCACTGGACAAAAAAGCTGATGTCAAGTTCTGAAAATTGCAATTGAAAAGGAAAAAGGAAATGTTATGGAATGTACAAGAAATATTGAACCTATATATATTAGGCAGCTTGGAGATTTATAGGGATTTTAGTAGGTAGTCATATGGAAACTTGTTTCCTTATTAGAAGTCTTCTAGCATGTATTTATAGGGCTGTGTATTCTCTTTTCTAATATGCAATACACAACTTATTCAAAAACTCTCTCTTTACTTTCGTAACAGGAAAGAACAACAATAGCACAGGGGTCTCAACTTACATTGTGAAATATGTAACATAGGCACTCTGGCATCAACCTTAAATTAGCAGCCTCTCCCCATATTAGAAGATAAAGTCCAATATATAAAAGTTTGTACTGCTGGGCCTCCTGTTTCAGGAATGGCAGTCTGCATTATGTTGAAATAAGAATTGCAAACTGTGACCAAATCACAAACCAGAAGACCAACATTTATGCAAGTAAATAATAATTTTTTATACCAAGCCTGCAGGTAGTTGGGGGGTGGAGGTGGCAAGTGAGGCTGTAATATTCAAAGCACAGATATAATGAAGTAATCTTACCTAATGCTGCTGTTTCTACCCAAAAATTTGCACCAATCTGAATAATTTTTGAAGAACCTCTTCATGAGCTCATCAACAGCAAGATCACCTGACTAATACACAGATATATAAAAAAAAAAAAAAAACAAAGTAAAATATAATACAAAATTAAATAAATCAATTGAATACAAACAGTGAGTTGCACAGTTGATACCTTTGGAACTAATGTTTGCTTATGAGCTAGCCTGATATTGATGTTAGCAATAAGAAGAATTAAATGCTCTCTCTGGTTGTCAACATTTCCTTTCTGACATAAGAAAGACAATTTGATATTCAAGGATATAAGAAAATAAAATGTTTAAAGCAATCAGAACTGACAATATCTTTGTTAATTTGACTAAGTTGTCAAAATATGAATATAGAAATACATAAAAATGAGCAAGTTCTTTTAATTTGTATTTCCTGAGGGGAAGGGGAGGGGTTGTATTACTTGAAATCCAAAGCAAAACTGGAGCCAATCAAACATATCCATGTAAGCCAATCGTCTTCCACATTCTTCAAGGAAGGGCAAACCACGAATATTGCGAATAGCAGCAACAGCAGCTTTTATCTGCAGAAAGTTTTCAGATTTTCAAAACTTATTCTATCATCATATAGTGATCAAGCCAGGTGCAGAGAGCTTATAATTAATCGGGAATGCCAAATTAGTGTCTTTTACTTAACTAATTGGATGCTAACAGCTGCAGCAATAAGGAACACAACACCATAATGGTTACTAAAAAATTTTGATAAAATAACTAGAAGCACACCTCTGGAAGTTGCATAATTGGATGATGAACCCCTCCCTGATCAAGAGGGAGGATGTTATATGGCACAAATAATTCAGATTTAGTGTCAATGCTCTCATTGTCAGCAAGGGCCTATTAACAAGATAGAGAAAACAGAAGAAGAGAATGTTTCAATTTGATGGAAAATTTTGCTTCAAGGAGAAGTAAAAGAGAAAAGAGAAAAGAGAAAATAGTCCACAAAACCTTAAAACCTGCTGCACTGGAAACTATGCTCAATACTTCAAACAAAACTGAACCAATGGCTCGAGCTTTGGTCAACTTCTCTCTATAAAAATAGTCCAGAACGTAACATCAAACTATTATACAACAGAAATAATGAATTTGATAATTCCAGAAACAAAAAGTAAGTAGTTTGAGAGCGTAATTTTATGATATAGTAGGAAATTTAACCTATTCTTAAGATTGGAATCTCCAACATGCTTGATGATGTAGTTTTTGAACTTATGATAAACACGTCTAAGTTCACGCAGATCACTCCTTTCCTTCCTTTTCCTAATAGTGGTTTCTTCATCCTATGGATCATAGCAGAAGCATTAGATGGGACGGAACAAATTCATCGAAATGTAGTGAGGAAAAGAAAAATTAGAAAACAGGACAAGTAGGAATGAATTCAAACAAGCTAGTAATGGATTTGGTTACTGTATAGTATAGATGTGTGTTTCAAAATCTGCGTGAAGTAATTGAAAAGAGCAGTGAAAATTCATACTTACATGTTCAAGGCGTTGAAGAAGAGCAGTCTTGAATTGTCGTACGCCTCGTCCATTTGAATTCCGGTCCAAGTTGTGGGCTACTTCAAAAGCATGGAACCGACCTGTAAGTTCCACAAACTTAAACTCATCAAATCTCATGCACTAATGAGTAGCGATCTCCATAAATGAATGCATCAAATAAAATGCTTCTGTTAAATGTTAATGCTTAATACACTCAGTCTTGTCTCAAATACAATCTACTGAACCACCAGTGAGTTAAGTTCGTGCAAATTATTTAATACATACATTCCTTTGGAGTATTTATCGCTTAACATCCTAGCTTTAATAATAATAACTGAGAGTCTGACAATTCAACTAAATTAGTTAAATTATTGTTGATAATTAATGTTATAAGTTTAATTGTTAGTAGGAGCAGTCTATTCCTATTTTTGAATTGAGCCAATCAGTTATCTTATCTTGTGACCCTTTGAATTAGAAAGCAAAATTTACCCGATAGACAATTTCAAGTAGTAACTTTTTTATCTTAAAAAATAATAATTGAAAGTCTAAACTTATACCTATAATTTAGAACTAAGTCATGTTCTCTAATTCAATTGGGAAAAAATGACTTAGGACTTAGGAGCATTCAAATAAAACTTGGATAACCAAATATTAAATTCAAATTATGAATAAACCCAATGTAAATTTTAGAATTTAATAAACTCTAAAAACGGCCTAACCCTATCTTTCCTCCTTCGACGCTATAATTATATAAATAAATAATGACAATTTTATAATGCTGCATCCAAGAATTATACACTATTTCTATTTCTTTATTCAAACTTTTTGTGAACACGTTCTAATTGAGTCGTAATGATAAATTATGAAAAAGTATATCTTTATTAAGATTTAAAAAAAAAAAAAAAAGAAAACGAAAAAAAAAAGAGTAAATGGCATATATATTTCGTCCTCAGATGTAAATATTTTTATTTTTTGTCCCTCCAATATTATTTTTAAAGTGATAATTTTTATTCATTTCATTAACACTCTATTAGATTTGGATAAAAACAATTAATAAAAAAAAATAACAAGGATAAACATGTAAATTTGGCATCGTCTTCCCAAACACCCAACATTGTTAAAAACAAGTGAGATTTCTCATTCACTACACTCTAAGTGCTGTAGAGACAGTGTATGTTTAATTATTTAATAAGTATTAAATTCTAACTTAGTAATAACTAGTAAGTAAATGTAAGAGTTTATATAAATTGAGACCATAGTAAAGTTAGTCCATTGTTAGATTTTTGACTTGATAACTAGAAGATAATAAGTTTGACTTTGGACCGGGGCATATATGTGGCCTATATAGGAAATCAAATTTTCATAGCCATCATTCCATCAAAAAATATATATATAGGATAAGTATTGAGAGATTTACTACTACTATACACAAGCTAATTAAAGCTAGAATTGAGTGTATGAGTGAATATATAGAAGCTAGCTAAGGATGGGAAAAGAAAAGCTTACAAAGATAGGCTACACGAGGCTCCTCCAGTTGAATCTGATTGGCAACACGAAGAAATCTCTGAATATCGGAGGCCAAAGTGACGGGCAGCTTTTCACTGTCAAAGGGCTCGGGCTCGGGCTCGGGCTCGGGCTCGGGCTCGGGGGCCTGCTCACGCGGCCAGTAAGTGATTGACCTTGTGAACGCCGGCCTCTCGCCGCCGCCGCTTCTACTGTAGCTCGTACTAGCCCCCTCATCGCCGTAGGAAGTGCCTTCGCCGATGGGCTCTGCAACAACGATCTCCGACGACCAAGACATATATTATATATATATATATGCTACACACACAAAACCAAGAAACTCTGATCTTCTTGCTGCATGGGTTTGAGAGTATGTATAGTATAAACTAAAAATGGGATCTTTGGTGTATATACATATACATATGTATGCGATTGCTTTTCCTTGTTGCTTTTTGGGATATGTCGTCTATCTTTTTTGCTTTTATTTGCTTTTTGATTGATCTTGAATATAATGGTTGTGTTAACGTGCATTGGAGTTGAAAGGGGAATTGTTAATTGGCATGAGGGAGTTTCTTTAATTTGGCGGGTATTTTCTTAGTGTATGTATGTGTGTTTAAAGTGGAAATTAAAGCCAAAAGTTCAAGAATGGGGCCGCCCGCCCATTGTTCACTTGCTTAAGGAATCAAAATGTACGTGAATCATCCATCGTATATACTTATGAATTTGTTTTTGCTTACATACACTATTTTGTTTTTCTTTTGGTTTCTTTATTTTATTTTACTTTTTTATGAAATCTTAGGCGGAAGCCTAAACCCCATATATATATATATATATATATATATATATATATATATATATATATATATATATATATATATATATATATATATATATAATTACATTCATGTAAAAACAGGGCTTAAAATACAAACGTGTGGACATTTCTGGATCGTTGAATTTTGGATATCTAAAGTTGTGATTAGTGTTTATAATTTTGTGTGTTGCCCGCATGTCATTGTTCATGGACGTGTGCATGCCGGCCCAAATATTACGGATTCACACATGCATACTATATTGGATGTGTGCATTGTCGTCCACGAATTTGTGCACATTCGCATTTAGGTGTGTGCACGGTATATGTCCACATGTTTGTATTTATTAAGGGTGTTTGCATGTGAATGCAACCCTAAGATTGCATTCACATGCAAACACCCTTAAAATACAAACATGTGGACATATATCGTGCACACACCTCAATGTGGGTGTGCACACAACTGTGGACGACAGTGCACACACCTCAATGTGGATGTGCACACATCCTTAGTATGTATGTGTGAATCTACAATATTTGGGCAAGTGTGCACACGTCCATGAACGACAGTGCACACAGGCGGACACAACACACAAAAACATAAAAACTAATCACAACCTTAGATATCCAAAATCCAACGATCCAGAAATGTCCACACGTTTGTATTTTAAGCCATGTTTTTACATGAATGTAATTCTATATATATATATATATATATATATTATGAATTGGATGTATTTGGAAGGCAACAGGGTGCATTTGTAACAATCCATTTTTCTAATTGTAACTAGTTTGGAACAAAATGACTTGAGATCCAAAGCGATTAACTACTTGAATTACAATTATTTTTTTTCTCTTTTAATTTTCATCTAGAGATATAAAGGTCTAGTCATGCACTCTTTCAAAGGAAGGCTATCTAAGTATGAATTAAACAAATAAATGCTTAATTGGAAGTTGTATAAATAAAAATTGTTATAATAACACCCCATTTTTTATAGAAAAAAAAAATTGTGTTTAACTCACTCACTCTCACGTTAAAGCATATTTATCTTTCCTATTAAATATAAAAAATGTTCTATCAGTTTCCTAATTCCTACTATGATTAAATAATTTCGAAATTGACAATCTTAATCTTATTAGTTAAATGATTCGATTTGTATGATTCATTACTAGAAACCAATGACTTTATAGTCCAAATTGAATTAACTTGGAGGGTGTGGTTGAGTGGAAAGGGACTCATCTATCTTTAACCAAATGTCAAGGATTCGATTTTTGACTTTACTGTGTTCGACAATGAAAATCCTGAGTAACATCCAAAAAAAAAGAAAAAAAAATAATAGTCCAAATTGAATTGAACTTAATACTCTTAAAATTTAATTAGTATTGTTTTTTTTTTTCTTTTTTTTTTTTTCGCTTAGTATTGATCGGTTAGGTCTCAAAACTTGTAAATGAAGTAATAAATAAAAACTCTCTGAATGTGACACAATAACAGTTAGATTTCTAAACAATCAAAGTTTAATGTGATTATAGAATATCAAGAGGTCATTGTACAAAATAAAAGTTTGTTATGAAAATTAAATAAATCAAGTTTAATTACTATATATGGTTAAACTTGGCATAGTGAAAAAGCTACTTTTATTGCTCAATTATTTTGGCTGCACATGCATGTTGATGTTAATATATGAAGTAGTGCTCTCCTAATTGTCTTTCTTTAATTTCACCAGATAAAAAAAAGGAGATGTGAAGAAAGTTAGGAATGAGAGGAACTCGATCTGCGAGTTAGCAAATAAAGATTGGGACACTAAGTAATTGGTCAAAAATCTTTATAGGTGGAAAGGTTGTTGCTTTCTGGGCCAAACTTTTTTTTTTGGTGGTTAATTAAAAAACATTAAAATGTGGCACCTTAATGGGTGGTTTGTCTGAGAGGCCGGGTGTGTGGGGTTCATCAGCTTTAGTGAGTCTTGAAAAAAGTGCTGAAAGTATGAAACTCTCATGTACATGACTCCATGCATCACAAATGGAAAACAGACAGAAATTATTATTTTTAAAAAAAAACATACTTTTTGTTGTTTAGAGGAATTTCTTCCCTGTTAAGAATAGGAATAGTTAGTCATGTCAGAGGCAAAGACTGATATGAGTAAGATGTTTGGTTACGTGTCACAGGTTGGTGATTATTATAAGAAAAATGTAACGAATTGCTTTCTCTATAGTGAAGGAAAAATGGGAGAGAAGTTGGAGGAAAAAAATTTTTCTTTTAATTTTATTCAAATTTTTCTTTTAATTTTTCTTTTAATTTTATTCAAATTTTAATTTATTACTAAGACAGTTTAATATTTTCTGAAAGTTAAAGCTTAAGACATAAAGTAAAACAATATTTTAAAATATGCTTACTTAAAAATAAAAAAGGGAAACGACTAATAAATTAGGAAATAAGATAACTAAATTGATTTCCATAGCAAATTGATAGCATGATTTGTATCTTTGACTCACGAGATTGTATTATTACACCCTCCACGCAGATCAAGATTGAAGTAGGTGATGACGTTCGGGTTGAATTCAGGTGATTCCTCCGTGTGCGTTTTGGCTGAATTCAGGAAATTTCTCCGTGGATGCAAGTCAAGCAGACGGTTCTTCGCCGTCTTTAAATGTCCATAACATAAAAAGGTGGCGGCATTTATATCCGAGAAAAAAATGCTCATCACAGTTATAACACAATTTATTGGCTCCCCTCTTGGCCTTTTCCGCTGGGGATAAGAATTTATACAGAGGTCAGGGTGATTTGGTGTGGTTGGGTGGTTGTTGTGGGGGTAGTGAGACACGTGCAGAGGGAAGGTGTGGCAGGGGTGTGGGTCATTGTTGGTCGTTTTAGCAGGCAAAGAAGGCTTAAGATGTGGCATTTTTGGTAGAAGTCACATGTTGTACTAATGGCTTTGTTTAGAGAACTAGGCTTGGTCTTTTCTACATCGATCATAAGTACCTTGTCCAGAGCACCGGTAAAAAGATCAACACGTTGGTCTAGGAGTACTGTGCCTGCACATGCAATGTGAGCTCGAAAGTCCTTGACATAATCATTAACGTGCCTCCAGTTTGAAAGAGCAACTTCAGTTCGCCTAGTGGATTAATGCTCCGGGGTGGCCCAAAACTCAAACAACACTCTTCCTTAAACAATTCCCAGGAAGCAAACGGTGACACCACAGTTTCATAATGGTACCATAGTTGGGTCTCGCCAATCATGTGGTGTGCTACCAGAGAAACACGTTCGTTGTCTAGTGTGTCAACATGGTGAAATGAAGACTTACAACAAAGTAGCCAAACCATAGGGTATTCCTCGCCCAAAAATAAAGGGAATTCGACCTTAGGATATTGGGAAAAACAATACGAGTGATCCCCTATGTCTGCCATAGTAGAGATCCCTTCGGTGTGAAGGGTAGTAACGGAGTCCTCCTCCTAAACTGGTTATTTACTTTGATTGGTCAGTATCTGTTTGACTAGCTTCTTCAGTGGGATGCAGTGGACAAAGAAGAGACAGTAGTGGACAAGTTCTCAATTTTGTCATGCAAGGCTTATAAATGTGCTTGTATGTGAATACTCCGACTAAAAATACTTTAGAACATCGAATCTATAAAGCTTGAGTCTCTTTGATCTAGATGAATGACGTTTGTGAGCTTTGTAATGCTTGAATGCTTGTTAGCTTGTAATATATCATGTGTGTCTCTTCCCCATTCATCCCTTCTATTTAGTTGAGAATTCAAATATGTACGTTAAAGAGAAATCAATTCGAATCACCCAATTGTCAGTAAAATAATTTTTGTTTAGATTTGACATGTGAAGATAGTGCCTAATGGTTGCTTCTACTATTTATCATCCTCTGTTATAAGCTTTGCTGCTTATCAAGAAAGCTTTGGTGTTGGTCCTTGAAAAGCCTTGTTGCTTAATAGAAGTCATAATGCTTTCCCAGGCATGTTAACAATGCGAAGGGCCCTTCGAGTCCACCATTCTTTCAGAAACTACACCTCTCTTTCAATCCTTCGTTACTTCATTTCTGCAACTCGAACCCTCGAGAATTGCAACGCTGATCGGATCAAATTCCTCATATACTGCAATTCCCAGATATCGGAAAATGGCCGGAAAGGAAACATTGAAGAGGCTGAGTCAATTTTTTATGGCATGTCCGCTAAAAATATTGTATCTTGGACGGCAATGCTCTCGGCGTACGGTCAAAACGGGCTGCTCAAGAAAGCCCGTGACCTGTTCGACAAAATGCCACAACGAACAGTTGTGTCGTGGAATGCGATGTTAACGGCTTATATGAGGAGCAGAGTTGAGATTGATGAGATATTCAAGTTTTTCCGGTCAATGCCAGAGCGAAATGCAGTGTCTTTTGCGGCTATGGTCACGGGGTTTGTTAATGCAGGGAGGTTCATTGAGGCTGAGAAATTGTATCACAAGACTCCAGTGGTTTTCCGTGAGCCAGTCTGTTCAAATGTGCTGATAAATGGGTACTTAAAGAATGGGAAGTTGGAGGAGGCAGTTCAGGTTTTTGAGAGTATGGTGGAAAAGGATGTTGTTTCTTACAGTTCAATGGTGGATGGGTACTGCAAAAATGGGAATCTTACTGAGGCTAGGAAGTTGTTTGATGTGATGTGGGAGAGAAACGAGGTAACTTGGAGTTCTATGATCAATGGGTATATGAAAGTAGGGTCCTTTGAGGATGGGTTTGAATTGTTTCTGCAAATGAGAAGGGAAGGTGAGATGAGGGTTGAGCCGACTACATTCACTATAATTTTCGAAGCTTGTGGGAGATACTGTAAATATGAACTAGGTTGTCAAATTCATGGATTGGTCCTACGTTTAGGACATGAATGTGATGTTTTCTTAGGCAATTCCATCATAACCATGTATTCTAGATTTGGTTATATAAACGCAGCTAGAAGTACATTTGATGCAATGATACATAAGGATATAATTTCATGGAATTCTCTTATTAGCTGTTATGTTCAAGGTGAAAGACTTGAAGAGGCTTATGAACTTTTTGAGATGGCCCCAGAGAAGGATGTGGTTTCTTGGACCACTATGATTATGGGGTTTTCTAACAAAGGGTTGACTGAGATGTGCATCTCTTTGTTCAAAATGATGCCCGAGAAAGATGTCGTTGCTTGGTCTACTCTGATTTCTGGGTTTGTACATAAGGGCGAATACGAGGAAGCTATTTGCTTGTATATAGAGATGCTTAGAAGTGCAGTTAGACCAAATTCTATTACTTTATCCAGTATGCTCAGTGCTTCAGCTGGGTTGGCAGCATTGAATCAGGGCTTGCAGGTACATGCTCATGTTTTCAAACTGCGTTTGGAATATGATTTGCTAATCCAAAGCTCCCTCGTCTCAATGTATTCCAAGTGCGGAAGCCTAAACGATGCGTATAGAATATTCAAATCTGTCAGGGAACCCAACATTTTTATTTTTAATGCCATGATAACTGGATTTGCCCAAAATGGTTTAGGCAATGAAGCACTTATATTATTCAAAGAGCTGGAGAGTGAAGGTGAAAAACCAAACGGCATTACCTTTATCGGTGTTCTCTCAGCCTGTGCACACACCGGGATGGTAGAAGAAGGATGGAACTACTTTAACTCCATGAGATCATTATATATGATAGAACCAGAACTTGACCACTATGCGATCATGGTTGATATCCTTGGTAAAGCGGGTTTGCTTGATGAGGCAATGAGTTTGATCAATTCGATGCCACTCGAGCCCCACTCTGGGGTTTGGGGTGCTCTTCTCAGTGCAAGTAGGACTCACTTGCGACTTGATCTCGCTAAGGTTGCAGCTGAGCATATTTGTAAGTTGGAGCCGAGTAACTCTGCTCCTTATGTTGTGTTGTCAGACATTTACTCTTTTCTGGGGAAGAAGGAGGATGAGGAACAAGTAAGATTGGCTAAAAAATTGAAAAGGATAAAGAAGAGTCCAGGTTGCAGTTGGATCTTGTTGAAAAACAATGTTAACATGTTCCTGTCAGGAGATCTTTCTCATATGAACTTTAATGAGATCAAGATAACATTATGGATGATTACAGATCAAATGAAAAGGATATACAGTATAGATGACAATGAGTTATACTTTTATAGTTGTTAATAAACTTTGTGAACACAGATATGTTCTACTATTAATCAGAATCATCCACTTCTGGTTCAATGTTTTGGCCTCAGTTTTCCAGTATGGGAGTTTGTTTTTGGAGCTATCTGAAATGAAACTTTTCCCATGCCTGTTTTCTTGGCATGTATGCTTCATGTTTTGATGAGGACTAAAGGTAATTTCTTGAAAGCCTATCAATTAGGGGAGTTTGGATTCCACAGATTATGATACTCTCTCTATTATAACTTGCTGATTACTGTAGTAACATAATTGGCAAAATCCCAAAATCCTGGTTGTGTTACAACAACACTAGTACAAAAAAATGACCAGATGTTGAGGGAGGACATGCATAGTCTAATTAGGAGATGGTGTGTTTGGTTCGCACATGGGAATCGGAATCAGAATGGGAATCAAATACTTGGTTATGAGAATGTGTTTTGGTAAAAGTATTTTACATGTTTGGTAGTAGGGTGGAATATGAATGATTACCAATATTACTGTTTGGTTATGTATGATCTTATAATGAAAGTAAATGTTTTAAAATACAAAATAAAAAATAAGACAATTTATTATAATATAAAGACATTCAAAGCACCAATATAAACAAAAATAAAAATAATCCAAATTTAAAAATCAAATTACCAATTAAAAAGGAGAATAATGGAATCTTTATTTTATTAGGGAATGAATATTCTAATTAAGGGATAATCAAATTCCATAATGGTACTCTAAAAACATGTCAACACACACATCTTATGAAAATGTAATTTTTTTTTTGGATCCTGCGACGGCCCCACATCAACCAAACAATAATTTTTTTATATCTTGTGATAACATTGCCAAGATTGATTCAATCTCAACAAAAAAAATATTTTTATTTGAAAGATTTTCGAGGAAATTGATGTATAGGTTCATTATTGATGTCTAGGTTCATTACAGAAATAATGACGTGCGTGCTTAAAATACATTTTCGTTTCAAAAGATCGCATTCAATTTGAGCAGTTTTAAAACGAATATTCGTCGCCTGAGAGATTCGAACTCTCGCGGAGAAACCCCATGTACTTAGCAGGCACACGCCTTAACCACTCGGCCAAAGCGACCTATTGATACAAGCTTCTAAATGATTTTATTAATACAGTTTTATATAACGCTTTTAAAAGTTTCCAAAGAAAAACGTGTACGATATACAAGAATACTTACTCTTGAGATTGATTTGCCATTCATCATAGCTTTTGAATTGTTATAACGGGGCATTTGGTTAGAGAGAATTACAATTCTAATCTCACTTAATTTTTACATAATTTTGAAGGTAAACAAATTCTTTTGTTTGGTTGGAGGGAAGCAATAATCTATAATTACTGGTTATCAACATGAGCTTCAATGTTTCCAAATAAAATATTTATGGATTTAATTACAATTTTTAAAAGTTTAGTGGTTTAATTAAATTTTTGAGTAAATAAAGTTATCAAACCTTGAATTGAACTCTCTTTATTAAATTAAATATATATGACAGTTTTGTACAATACATTAAAAGAAAACAAAAAAAAAAAAAAATTATAATCGTTTCAAACAAAAATATATACTTGTTGCATTTATTTTTATTTTAATAACTCCTTTTACAAAAATTGATCTGATGGCCGGCAATACGGCATTGTAAATTACTCATCAATTGTATGTTTCTTCATTATTTGATGTGAACAAATGGATGGGATGTTCAACGCAGGAGTTTAAAAGTTGTTATAGTCACAATCACTATACCATTTGGTGTGAACAAATAAATGAAATAATAATAGTCTGCAAATTGACCATTTAACACTAATTAATTGCATGCTCGTAAATATTACGTAAGCAGCCTAGGGAGGAATACAGGAATGTAAGCGCAGATTATGTGGGAGGATTTATATATGTGCAATATTGGTACACATGCAACGTGTATGAGGCTCACTGTGTGTATAAAGTTATATATTTTGATTTTAAACATAATATTATATGCAATAATAACATTTTATCCAAACGCCAATATAATTCATCAATACAATCATCATTTACTTTAAAATACAACTAAGTATAGTATTTTAAAATACATACACAACAATCCATTATCTACTTCAAAATACAAAATGTGTAATCCCAGTCCTCTTTTCCTACGACCAGAAAAACTAAATCCAAAGTGGACAGATTCTTTATGCGCACTGACATTTGACCCTGTCTATTAACCTATTGAGTCACCGTGATTTACATCCTCCCACATGCTCTGTCGGGTCGGGAGTGTGAGGGCCCTTAGGGTTGGAGATTCAACATTTTGGCAGAAGAAAAACTAAACCCAAATTCTCTCCCAATTGCAACTAACCCATAACCTCATAGATCATCAATTATCACTGCTACAGAAACAGTTGACTGTGGCTTCAACAACGGAACCAGCATCAATCTTAACACTACTGTCCCTGGCCTCCTCCTCATCTCTTGCCACAACACTCAAACGTTTCCTTTCTGTAAGCCTGCACAGTAAAATAAACGCCACTATAAAAAATGCACCGACGCCTAAGATCACTGCACCTCCCGTCTCCATCTTCCTCTACTCTCACTTGCGCTAGCTGCCTGATGACCAGACGTATATATATATGCTTGCCTTTTATACTTGCGTAAAACTATAACTATATTTTATCTATTGCTGATTTGCAGGCCTTTCATTCTCACTTGCAATAATGTTGGAAAGCTGACAAATTTGACAACATGAGATTCAAGGACTTTTAAATTATAGGAAAAGGATCAATAAGTTACTACTTATAAATTAATTTCATCCCTTAACTTTTAAATTACAATTAAACTCATCAACATATTATTTTCTTGCATATAAGCCAAAATTAGTTATTGATCTGTAATAGCATGTCTCATGCATATGGCCCTTTTTAGATGTTTGTCGCCCTATTCTTGCAAATAAATGAGGCCCTATAGTATAAGTGCAATCTTTAAAACCAAATCATAAGAATCTTACTAACCTACTATCTTCAAAGTCCAAACAAACAGAAAAATAAAATAAAATAATAAAAAACATCTTAAAACTACTTGACTAGTGGCTACCTGTTGGGCTGCCACTATCGTTTAGAATGCATGTAGAAAGATCTGTTAGGGAAAAAAATCAATGGAATAAGGTTCTAATTGACCACTGAACGTAACTTGAAAATGCAATTAGACCACTGAACGAAAAAAAGATGCAATTAGACCACTAAACACCCAACAACGTGCAATTAGGCCACTGAACACTCCAAATGTATGCAATTTCACCTGATAGCAGGTTACCATCAATTTTAGCAGGTTACCTGCTTACGTGGCAGTTGAGTTGGCATTTTTAATAATTTTAAATAATTTTTAATAACTTAATAATAATTTTTTAAAAAAATTGAAAAATAAATAAATAAAAAAATTTTTAAAAAAATTAAATTTGTTTTAAATAATTTTTTTTTTTAAAAAAAACTTTATTATTAAACTTTATTAAAAATTATTAAAAATGCCAACTCAGCTGCCACGTAAGCAGGTAACCTGCTAAATTTGATGGTAACCTGCTATCAGGTGAAATTGCATACATTTGGATTGATCAGTGGCCTAATTGCACTTTTTTTTCGTTCAGTGGCCTAATTGCATTTTCAGGTTACGTTCAGTGGCCAATTTGAACCTTATTCCAAAATCAATTTCCCAGGCGGTATTGGTGGTGAACGAGTGAATAGTACATGTTTCAAGTTATCTCTACATATTCAGGGCTTGACATCATTTGTGCCGTTGAGGAAACATAACGGTTTTACCATGCGGTATACTCAATTAATTAGGTCCTAATTATTAGGAGTGAGAAGTGATTTGGGGAAAAAACTGATGAGTTTCAAGATTAATTGCATATACTCCATATATATATATATTTTATTTCTTAAGTAGCTAGGTAAAAAATAAATATTGCACCCCCCCCCAAATTGAGGCCACGTGCTATTGGGCAAGTTGCACACCCTAACATCCGGCCCTAGCGTGTCTAGGCCCAGCCCTGGGTAAGGGCAACAGTCGTTATATCGTGCACCAGGGCGCACAATGCATAGTGCTCCCTAATCAAAACGACAGTTTTTTTTATTGTTTAGATTTTATGTGTATTATGTTAAGAGTTTATGTGTATTCTGTTATGAGTTTATGTATATTATGTATTATGTTAGATTATGTGTATTCTGTTATGAGTTTATGTACATTTGAAACAGGGATTTTTTTTTTGTTTTTTTTTTTTTTAATTTAACAGTAGAAACGAGAAACAGAATTCTTTAAAAAAAATATGGTCAAAACGACGTCGTTTTGGCCAGGGCGCATGGTATAATTTGCCGTAAGGGCAAGGGGCAAATTATTCTGTGGACCTGGGTCCACCTTAAAATGTAGATCCGGGTCTAAAGATACAGAATTTATATACTAAATATTTACAATTTGTGATGATCTTGGCCTTGTTTGGTAAAATGGCTGTTAGTTGATTGTGTTAATTAGAGGGTATAAATAGTTGATAACATTAGCTGCTTATAGAAAAATGTTTAGTAAATTAGCTGATAACATAACTGTTTGGTATAATTTATTTTCTCAAAAAACTAATTGAAAAAGTTGTTTGAAGTAGCTTTTTGAATTTTAGCCTTTTTTAGAGTTACAAAAAGCTAATTAACCAAATATTTATATTGATATTTTAACTAAATCAAACAATTAATAGTGGTCAAATAAGCCAAAATTGACTTATAGGCCAATTTTTTTTTACCAAACAGGGCCCTTGTACTGTGTTTACAAATTCTAAAAACTTAAAAACACAATTTATAATCTAGATGTTGTTCACAATTCCAATACTAAAAATATATAATTTAGGACTAGGTAAAAAAAATTGTAACCACTCTTTTAAAAGTAAATATACACCAAAGAAACAAAAAACAAGTAAAACATGGATTACCAATTGACCATGATCACTCCACCCAAAATTTCAGAATATCAAGGAGGACATAGTCTGATTAGGAGACAATATCTTGTGAAAATGAAATATTTATTAAAAAGAAAAA